CCTCTTCACTCATCCAGAGCTTAACCTGGCAGCACCGTCATCACCTCATAAGTACCGCATGGCACATGATGGGACCATCCCACATGCCTACACAAACTAGTTTAGCGCACGTCCATCACGGTGCATGAAAACGGCGCAGTATAAAGTTGAGGAGCCCACCCAATCGTGGGGACTTTTCCGGTTTCTTCATTCAACCTCAGCCAGCCCCGAGTTGCTACTTGCAAACCCCAAGGCCAGTCATCCGCCAATTGAGAACACCTCGCTCTCCTGCAGTCACAGTCCTCCGTCCAGACCACGCAACTGCTTCATTCATTGCTCGCATCAAGCATCCGCTCTCCCATCCACCCACATTGTATCTCCCACCAAACGCTCTTCCTGGATCAAGACTTTTCCGATAACCAACTCTCTTTGACAGTAAACACACTAGCCAAAAAATGGAAAAGGCCGTCCAATCATGCCCGGGCGACGATGTGCTTTTCGTGAAGCGTCGAAAAACGGCAGCGAGCCGCTGAATGAAAATATACAAGAAAAGAAATCGTAATCATGTCGATGGTTCGTCACATCGTGGGCGCAAGGACCGACATCGCTTTACAACGAAGCGCTTCGGTGCATCGAAACTCGTTCCAGATCAAAACATCGACGGCATCTGGAACACCCTAGTTGGGGCAGGCGCTCTGGACGTGGCCGGGCTGCTTGCAGCGGTAGCACACACGCTCGGATGAAGTCTCCTGGGGGCAGTCGCGCGACAGATGGCCGACCTCACCGCCTGAAAGGGTTAGTCGTCATCCTACTAGGTGTGTGGAATATATACTCACAGTTGTAGCACTTCTGGCCCTGTGTGCAGTCACGGCTCATGTGACCGAAACCACCGCACGAGTAGCAGGTGGTCTGGCGAGCACCTCCGTAGCCACCGGCACCGCCACCGTAGCCTCCACGGCCGCCGCCGTATCCACCAGCAGCACCGCCGTAGCCGCCACCCTGAGAGCAGTTGCGGGCAATGTGACCGACCTGACCACACTTGTAGCACTCTTGGCTGCCGCCGCCACGGCCACCCATCTGGGCACCGCCGTCCTTGGTGCACTCGCGCGAGATGTGGCCGGTGCCACCGCAGCGGTAGCACGTCTTCTCAGCCTGGGGAGAAGTGCATTCACGGCTAACGTGGCCCTTCTCACCACAGTTGTAGCAAGTTGGGGTACCCTTGGTGGGGCACTCGGCAGCGCGGTGAGACGAGTCTCCGCCTAAGTCTTGTTAGTCAAATGTCGCGGCATGATAGGCATGGTATCAACTCACAGTTGTAGCAGCCACGGCCACCGGCGCCAGCAGCAGGTGCTTGGTAAGAGTCCATTTTGGTAGAGTTTTGAGGAAGAGACCTGGCTATGTTAGACATGATATAAGCGCAAACATCACGGGCTCGCTCTTACCGAAGTATCAAATGTCCAAGGGAGTGACGTTAGAAGATTGTTGTCTTCTGAAAAGGTATGCAAAGAGTCGCTCGAGGTCGCACACCACCAATTGATTGATATATCGGAAGCTGAGGGGTTTGAAATCGTTGGAGAGAGAGCGAGGGGCACAAACTGATATTTTCAGTTCGGGGTTGTGCTTGCGCTAGTCTAAGCGAAATACGGTCTAGCTTCACCGTTGATTCCTTCCAAAGTGTGGGTCGCTCTGTAGGACTGTAAGGGACGAGTTTGCTATGGGGTGTATGTACACTGACGGTCCGGAACACTCTGCCCCTCACGCCATGGTTACGGTGTGGTGAGCTTTGGATCCATGTGTGATTGGGAGTACTTTGAATGGTATGCAGAGACGTCATTGGAAGCGGAAGTGTCGCTTGACAGGCCTTAATGCAGCCCTGATCTCCGACTAACATCTGCAGCTAGCCTGGCGTGGAAGGAGTGCGCAACCGAACGATCGCACACGTGGCTGCATGTAATTTTCGATGTCTGGGCATGAACAGGTGGCATGAGTTAGATCGAGAGATCTGGTACTGTGGGCGATGCCAACTCAAGGTCCAGAGGAGATGGCGTCACAGAAGCGGTTCTTGTACGTCAGTATACCAAGCATTCTCATAAGTTAGATAGACATATGCATGAAGCATTGCTCTCAGAAAGAGCTTAGATAGGTATGTTATTGATCGTGCAGGAGACCCTGAAACCTCGGACAGGTAGTTGATGGTCTGGAACAATGCAATTCTCCACACTAAAAGTCAGTTTAGTCCAGCCTATGGAGACATAAGAACGCTATTTGCAGTGAAAATTGTCGAGATCCCACAATGATCTAGAAGACATATTATAACTAGATCGTCAAAATTCCATCAAAAATCGGGCTTGTGGTTTAGTGGTATAATACTCCCTTAGCATCAGCTTCTGAGCGTTACAACGCACAGCATCAGCTTGGGAGTGGTCCAGGGTTCGATTCCCTGCAAGTCCATCTTTTTGCCGGCGTCGACGCTGGGGTTATCGTTGTATTGTGCTGCTCTGCGATGTGGTTCAGTTACGAACTTTTTGCAGCTCCGATCACTTCGTTTTTGTAGCCCACACACCACCCACAATGTCGACTGATACTAGAGAGCTCATTAGAGGCAGAGAACATTGACTTCAACCGAATGCTTCAGATGTATACCATGCAGACTCCCGAGTACTCTTCCTCGAAACCAGCCGGGAAATTTTACATGAACCGAAAAGATATCCTTTGAGCAAAAGTGTGTTTCTGGATAATAGTGCCGCTAGAAACATCTACCACACGGAACGCTGCTATCTCCAAAGGGTAGCGAGCGAGTATCAGTGTACAACCTCTTGATGTAGCACCATAACTATTGTCGCGCTGCTAAGCCACAAGCAACGAACTGCCCAAGTGTGTTTCTTGTTTCACAAGCTGTTCCAATTCTCGGCCTACAAAAGTAGCTCCAATCGCTCGTCCATCAATACTGACATCCTCCAGATACACGGCGTGTATGACAGGCTATCCACAGTTATACTAGTTCAAGTCTCCATAGAATACAAGATAATGTTCTACCTGGTAGTCTGCCTACTGTACCTTCATAAGTCGTCAGGATCAACCACCTTAGGTATGCTACGTCTTCGTCCCATCACCAGAATTAGACAGCGCAATCCACCTGCCTCATCTCCTTCTATATTTTTTGCTGTCTAGCCCAGCACCATTTTACAACAGCCTAGAGTATCAATCGCAATAACAGTCGCTGCAGTAACTCGGCTGCGAAGATACTATGTCTTTGATGAACTGCATCTTCGACTAATACAGATGTACTCCAACAAGCAGTGTACAAGTCAAGCGAACAGCAAGCAGTTAATGCGAAATTCGTTTGCAAGGTGACCTTGAAACTACCAACTGCCTCCAAGTCAACGAGGGCAGTAGTAGCATAACGCTAATGATTGATAGATAGGTTATCTACCTCAACAATACTATGAGCCGCCGGACCTTGACCTAAAGAGAAAGCCGGAAGATTGTCGAGAGGACACAGCGCCACCCTTCTTTCCGCGTCCCTGCAGTTGACAGGAAGGCTTGGTAACCGTATCCTAGTAGACAAGATCGTTGGGTTCTTGGTACAAACGACGATTGAACATGAAGAAGTACATGCAGGCTCAAGATCTTCGTATACAGAGTTACTTAGGTAATCGCTGCTAACGTGCATTTCGTGGACTGGAGTCCTCGCAAATGTGAGCACGCGAGGTCCTCTGGTGTCCTTGTTCGTGCCATCTGATCTGCTGCAACGGAAGTCTTGAAGCGTAGTGAGAGGAATGATATTTATCGATAATCCAAAGCGAAAGAAAGATATGGTTTCATTTCCCCAAGATGCGACTACCTCGCGGCATACTCGGCCACTGCGTCTGTGATTGCGCAATCGCATTACGACTGCGGAAGTGACGCACCTTGCGCAACATCTGTCCCGACCTTGATGACCGTTTGTGCAACACGACAGGCTTCGACCTAACGAACCATGGATTCCGTCGCCTGATGCCGCCATGTTTCGTGCTTCCGCGGATCCCGTGAAAAGCAATTCGGATGGCATGCTCTACGTAGTAAACCGTAGGTTCCTATACATCAGTACACTTGAGCCCAACGTTCGGGTCTCGAGACAGCGGCGCCGAAGTCTTTACCGGCCGCAACATGCCAAGAACATATTACACCGCACCCGTCAGCTTTATCGCCGCATCTATGACAGCGCCAATGGTCGAAGCGGTGATAAAGTCGGCCGCGATATCCCATGTATCGTGTTATTCAACAAAGGATATAGCTTCGAGTGCGGAGCCGCATACCTGAGTGCGTTCTGCCAGCTCGCTGGGCTATTTAAAGAGTCTGGAGTAAAAAGGGTCGGAATCTGGACCGGACCCCAAACTTAGGACCACGGATCTTTCTACGCGAATCTCGGGCGCTAACGCAGATCTACACACCCGATTTGGAAACGATCCAGGGGCGTGTCTTGGCTGATGACCGCCACAAAGCCACCGAGCTTAAGATGCTTCTTCGTCATGACGTGAGTCGCGAGCGGAGGTTCTGTTCGGATTCCGACAACAAAAGAACATGAAGATGTCTGAATGCGTGCAAGCGTCATTGGGGACTCTGTTGAGAACCTCGCTGCGATGAACTACTCAAGCGCTCACACCGCAATTCCCAAGGATGCCATACATTGCTAACTCTACGCTAGCCGGCTGCCTCCTGTATCTCAGTCTCAGTGTCAGCCTCGACCAACTCTGACACGCGCGGCGGCGGACCCGGCCATAGCCAAGCACAATGGGCGTCTCTCTCATCATTTTCCAATGTCTGGGCATGCGATTAGTCGTCGCCTCTTATATGCCTTAGCACCCATGCCTTTCGTTCCTTCTTCTTAGTCTATCTTTTTCCATTCTGTGCGGTGAAAAGGGCGGTCTGTTCACTCGTTTGCAGTCGTCGTCTTTACCGATATCAGACTTAATTTTGGTCGATCAACCTTTTTTGATCATACACTCGTTTCACACACTCATTCATACTGAATTATCATAATGCGTTTCTCCGGACTTTATGCTGCGGGCCTGATCGCACCTCTTGTGGCTGCTCACGGCGATTTCCCCGTCCCGAAGATCGTTGGCTTGGGACCGAGGGATGCTGGAAAACTCAGGGCCAGGAACATTCTTGGTGGACATGCGGCACATGCGCACGTCGCAGGACCCGAGCATCGTTTGAAAGCTCGTCAAGGAGGTGCTGATGGTCGATGCGGACCGGAAAATGGCGGTGCTAGCTGTGCTGAGGGATATTGCTGCTCTGTAGCAGGTTACTGTGGTCAAGGAAGTAAGCCGTTCGCGTACAACTGCCTCGGGAGAAGGATGCTGATTTTGTCCAGATGACTATTGCCAAGCGCCTGACTGCCAGTTCCAATATGGCCCAGCCTGCGATGCCAATCGGGTTCCAGCTGGAGGTAGCACTCGTAACATCGCTCGTCCTAAGCTTGGCAACCAACCCTATGGGGGAGAGGGTATCTACGACTGCACTGAGCCGAACACGATTGCTATTACGTATGACGATGGTCCTTTTGTCTACACTGACGGTGTATTGGATCAGTTCAAGGCTGCTAATGCAAAGGCGACTTTCTTCATCACTGGAATCAATATTGGCAAGGGCCCGATTGACGATGCGAGTCTGCCATGGTCTGCTACCATCCAGCGTATGATTGCCGAAGGACATCAAGTGGCAAGTCATACGTGGTCGCATCAAGATCTTAGCGCGATCACCAAGGAACAACGGTACGATCAAATGGTTAAGAACGAGGTATGACAGCCTAGCCGAAGCATTCCAAAGCATGATACTAAGTCGAGATCTTAGATGGCATTTGCAAACATCATGGGCAAATTCCCCACGTACATGCGCCCACCCTACTCCTCTTGCACGGCCGCATCAGGCTGTCAGCAAGATCTCGCGGATCTAGGATACGTTGTCTCGTACTTCGACTTGGACACCGATGACTACAACAACGTCACCCCAGACAAGATCCAAAACGCCAAAGACAGGGTGTTCAACGCTATCAACCCCAGCAACCCCCAAGTCGACGCTTTCCAAGCCATTGCCCATGACATTCACCAGCAGACAGCCCAGAACCTGACTGGCTATATGATTCAAACGATGCAGGCAAAGGGCTACAAGCTAGTCACTCTAGGTGAATGTCTCGGTGAACCAGAAGCAAACTGGTACCGAAGTGCTGCGACCGGCCGTGTAGCGTCCTCGTCTTCAGCACCTGGATCGACAGCAACATCATCTGGTACCGGCAGTGCTACATCCAGTGGACCTGCTGCCACTCCCACGGCTGTCTCCACAGATAGCACTTGCGGAGGTACATCTGGCTTCACCTGTCTTGGTAAGAACCGCAAATGATGGTGACAGGAATGCCTCGACTGACACCAACAACAAAGGTTTCGCCCAAGGCGAATGCTGCTCTCAGTACGGATACTGCGGTAACACGGACGGCCACTGTGGAACTGGCTGCCAGGCTGGGTTCGGCAAGTGCGGCAACTCTGCCTCTGCTTCTTCAGGTTAGTACTGTCTCTTGGAAACTGCATGTGAGATGATAATCTGACTCCGTACATCCACCGCTTAGGTACCCCATCCTCTGGATCTGCCGCTGCATCTACGGGTACTCGCACATCTTCATCTGCATCAGCTCCGACTTCTGCGCCCAGCGGCCTCGTAGTCTCAAGTGACGGATCCTGTGGCGCGGCCAAGGGCTTCACCTGCGCTGGATTCGCGGAGGGAGAGTGTTGTTCGCAGTATGGATGGTGCGGCACCAGTGCTGACCACTGTGGAACGGGATGCAACCCTCTGTTTGGCAAATGCCCCGGCTCTGGTTCGTCTTCTGCTCCCGCGGCGTCGAGTGCGGCACCTGCACTTTCCTCCACCGCTCCCTCTACTGCGGCGACGAGCTCAACAGCACGCCCCACTAGCCTCAGCACATCCACCCGTCCTGTCACTACTTCTATCTCGACAAGCACTCGCGCGGGAACAAGCAGCACACGCACTTCCTCCGCCCCAGCGGCTACGTCATCGGCAGCCAAGCTGAAGGTTAGCACAGATCGTAGGTGTGGTGCGAGCAGCAAGTCGACGTGCAAAGGTTCGGCGTTTGGTAACTGCTGCAGTCGATCCGGAACCTGTGGGTCGAGTTTGTTGTACTGTATGAAGGCATTGGGATGCCAGTCGGGTTTTGGTGATTGCCCGAGGTAGATGAGTTGACTTCGACAAGGCTTCTTCCGTTTGTATAATAGCTTTTTTATTACTATTTTTTTTTTATCTCTCTTAAGAGATGAGTGTTGATTTCCAAGGTTACGTCAAGCATGGAATGGTATATCTGTGTAACATGAATATCGTTTAATGAACGAAGTTTCAATTTTGTGTCTTTGGGCGTGTGTCTTCGGTACACCTTCTTCCGGCGCAAATGGTGAGGAATCAGTCCAATCTGACGGGGACACGAGCAGTGCGGAAAGACAGATTGCACGCAAGTCATGGCATCTGAACAGCTCATATTGTCTTGTTGAGGTGATAGACGTGGCGACATGGCCATGGGTCAAGTCATGATGTGTGGACGTCAGCGCTTCTCCACTGCCAACCGCGCTAGCCTAGCTTGTTCCCGACGCCAACTGATATCATGTCGAGCTGTCGCCCTTCCTCTTGCATCGCCAATTGACATCTGCGCATCACCGCAGCCCGTCGCCCTCATTTCCAGTCTGCTCGTCAGCTCTTCTCTTTGTGATAATTTCTGTTCGCCCACTACAGCTTCGCGCTTTCACCACCTGGGCTTCGGCCACGCACTTGAATTTTGGGTCTGAGTAAAGTACGTCGCCCATGGCGTCACCGTGCCATCGACGGCAGCGGTGAAATCGCGTCTCTCACCTCACTAACACCGACGCAGATCTGCCCTAGCCTCCCTCGTCATGGCGGACCTGCAGGAGCTGTTTGCCCGCCTCAACGGTGGCGCGTCCGGCAACAACCAGCAGCAGCAGCAACAGGGTTATCAACAGCCCTCTGTCTCCTCGCCTCTCTTCTCCCCCCAGCCAGGTGGCCCGCAGCCGCACCACCAGTCTGCCATCATGTCGCCCAACTCATCCATGGCCAACACGCCCGCGCCCGAGCACGTGTCGCAGCAGACGCCGCAACAGCAGTCCACAAACCTTCTCAATCTTCTCCGCTTCAATTCGCAGGGCGGTTCCGGGCAGTCCAGACGCGTCTCGCAACAGTCGCAGGCGCCTGACCTGAACCTGGCAAGTGTCATGGGTACCAGGACGCCTTCCCAAGGCGCTCCCGCCCCAGCGCAGTCGTCGCCTCAGCAGAACCCGCAAGATCTTCTTCTGCGCCTGCTGAACCACCCCAAGCCAGCCCAGTCTAGCGGCAGCGTGCGCTCATCTCGGGCTGCCTCCGCCGTGCGTTCTCCGCCAGTCGCATCCCACAAGCCTGAGACGGTTGTGGACGACCTCGCGCAGGACCTCGCAGACGCTGAACAGGAGCGTGTATCTTCCGGCCCCGCTGTACATACCCCGGGGCTTGCCGATGCAGCTCCACTCGCTCCCAAATTCACCTACGTCAATCCCTTCGACACGCTTGAAGCTGCCAGTCCCCGCAACCGTACCCCCACCCAGCAAGGCTCCAAGCCTCCTCCCCCGAAGATGGAGATCCTCAAGAAGAACGCACTCGAGCCTTCTTCGCCTGCTCCCCACGACGACGCTCCCGCCCAAACACATGAAACTGTGGCTGAGGCTGTGAGCGAGTTGGGCGAGCACGTTGGCCAGCAGATTGAGGATGCGTTAGCCGAAGCTGAAGCTGAAGCTGCTCTCCCCAAGCCCGAGGAAGTTGCACAAGTCCAGGAGACTATGACTGAGATTGCAACCGAGATCAAGGACGAGTTTGCTGACCCAAGCACAGCCAAGGAGATTGAGGCTAGCATGCCCAAGCCCATTGCAGCTGCTTTGAAGGAGGTCGCCACTGAGATTGCACAAGATAATGTTGCCGATGACTGGGAGACTGCTGAAGCTGAGGAGAGTCTCGCCAAGGGAGAGGACCAGACGGTAATAGTCTACAGGTTTCCTATGCGCGCCTTTGCCTCGATTCAGGTCAACCAAATGCCGCCCCGCCGTCTCTACTTCGCCAACGAGCTCTTCATGGATATTGCTCGTCTGAAGAAGGACTTCGACCAGATTGACCGCTCCCTTGTTTCTGCCAGTAGAAATTTCATTGTCTACGCGCTCGTCAAGAAGGGCGGTTTCCGTATTATCCGCCAGGAGAATGGTCATTACCGCCAGGTCTTCGAGAACCACCAAGAACGCATCTTCAACATCGCCCTTTGCACTTCGGCAGGCGATTCCCAAGAACCCCTCGAAAGCATCCTTGGAATCGGCGTCAATGGCACCGTCTTCTGGACTTCTCTCGACGCTGCTCGTGAAGACCAATTTGGCGAGAACCTCGACTCTCAGGGTTTGATGCTTCCCCCATCGCCATCTCAAGATGATAACACATCTGGAGGCCAGCTAAAGACTCGCGCGAAGCCATCTTCGCGCCATCCAGAGTTCTTTGCTGTCGGCAGGGGCAAGTCCATTCACATTGTCTTCCCCAAGGTTGCCGCCGAATATGCTCGTAGTAAGAGCCGCATCTGCCACACCGAGAAGTACCTCAAGGAGCGCTCTCTCAAGATCCTTACTGGCAAGGCTGGCAAAGACTTCACTTTCAGCGAAGACGATACAATCATCGTGTCACTCGACAAAGCTGGCCGCATGCGCTTTTGGGACATCCGCGCTCTCACCGAGCCTGACCTGGGCAACCCTCGTAGTCCACCCCGCCAGGTCGAGGTCTCCGAGACCCTGCTGGAGTTCCACACTACTACACCCAATGCCAAGTCATGGCCCACTTCGGTGTTCTTCTTTGACAAAGACAAGCCGTATACTAAGGGTATTGCGCTGCGATATGTCATGGTCGGTATGAAGCAGAACCATGCATTCCAGCTCTGGGATCTTGGTCTCAACAAGGCTGTACAAGAGATTCACCTACCCCACGAGAACGAATCGGACGCCATCTGCAGCGTATCGTTCCACCCCCGGACTGGTATCATGGCTGTCGCCCATCCCACCAGAAACTCGATTTTCTTCGTCCATGTCTCTTGCCCAAGGTACAACCTCCCTGCTCTGAGCCAGGCTGCCTACATCTCCCGTTTGGCCAACAAGGGCGACAGGGGCCAGAACCCTTTGCCTCCAGTCAATGCTACTGCTATCATGACTAGCATCACGGAGTATTCTTTCGCTTCCAAGGGGCAGATCAGGAGCCTGCACATGCTCAACGAGCCCGCTGGACCTTCTGATGTCGATGACCCTGATAATGCTGCTCTCTTCGAATTGTACGTCATGCATTCCAAGGGTGTCTGTATTTTGCGCATCCGCCGAAGCGACCTTGGCTGGAAGAAGGAGGGTGAGCCCATGCACCCCAAGGAGGCTGAGGAGGAGGGCGTGATTACCATCTCGCAGCTCAAGCCACCGCAGCCTGTCACAGACGAATCCTCTACTGCTGGCGACAATACTGCACCCAAGTCGGTGTCTGATCGATCTGCTGCTCGAGAGCCTCTGAAGAGGGAGAACAGCAACGTCTCGAAGCCATCCGTCAATCCCGAAGCTGCTATGCGTGCATCTACCCTTGCAAAGGTCGAGAGTAAGCAGGATGCAGCTCGTGCAGCTATCATCAATGGTGGTGAGAAGTCTGAAAAGAAGAAGAAGAAGCGCTCTGCCGCCACTGAGACAGCTTCTCAAGTCTCAGCAGCACCATCCGCCGTGGCTTCTACTGCTGCTTCTACCCGTGCGCCCCCGGCCATGCCCCCGTCATATGCGCAAGCTGCTCAGGCAACCCCGCAATCCAAGTCCCCGGCACCACCCGAGGCGCCTGTCGTGCAGGAGGTCGCCAAGTCTAAGCCTATCGACACCACCGAAGCGCCCGAGTGGGCCAAGCAGCTCATCAACAAGCACTTTCAGCAGCCAAACGCTGCATCCACCTCTGCAGCTTCTGCAGAGTTTGATGCCAAGAAGCTTGAGGAAATTGTACAGGCTGAGATCTCCAAGGGCTTCTCTCGTGAACTAGACGTCATGTACAAGCGCTTTGACGAAGACAAGCGCGTCTTGAACGCAACAAACGCCGCCAACCAGCAGGCTGTTCTACGCATGGTGTCTAGCACGCTCAACGAGAATGTTGAAGGCGTGATTGGGAAGATGGTTGAAGATAACATCAGCAACGTCGTACTCCCTCAGGTACTAGCAAAGACTACTGCCACTCTTGAACAGGGTCTGAGCACCAACCTTAAATCCGTTTTGGCGCAGCAGTTGTCCAAGGAAGTTCCTGATGCAGTCGCTCGTGCTTTCAAGCAACCCCAGGTGTTCCAGTCACTCTCTGACCAGGTCGCGAAGAAGATCAGCGGCAACTTCGAGCCTATGATCGCTGCTTCCGTTGCCACGGTTGTCAACCCGGCCATATCGAACTTGACAAACATCATCGAGCGACAAATTGGCGCGGAGCTCCGACAAGCTCATGCTCAGCGCCGTGAAGACGCCGCCAAGATCGCCGCGCTGACTGAAACCGTGCACACATGCCTAGAGACCATCCAGACCATGGCCGCCACCCAGACCGAACTCCAGTCCCAGGTTGCTAAGCTCCTCGAAGCACGCCAAGTCCCTGCGCCTCAACGTGGAGGAGAAGCCTCATCCGCCGCTGCCACGCGCTCCCCACCCCGTCAGAAAACGGAAGAGGAGCTTGAGATTGAGTCCATTACGCGTCTCATATCCGAAGGCAACTACGAACAAGGTACCATGCAGTGGCTGCAATCCCCCCGCAGCGCCGCACTTTTCGACACGGTCTTCGTCCGCTGCGACCCCGCCTACCTCCGCCAGGTTTCTCCGCTGCTAGCCTTGTCTACTGGTGCAGTGGTGTCTGAGTCGCTGAACCGTAACCTTACCGAGCGCCTTGTCTGGCTTAATGCTGTCTTCCAGAGTGTTAATCCTAATGTAAGTCTACTGCCTCCCAATCGCCATGTTGTTGCTTCAGATACTGATGAACTTGTACAGGACGCCGAGATCCGTGATATCATTCCCAAGATCATGGATGTTGTCATTCAGCGTCTTACTGCTGCTTATATTCAGCTCAATGAGAGTACGCCAGGTAGTCCGCTTTTGAGGGCTATCTCTCAGCTCGTCAACAGGTGCAACGAGATGACGAGGGCTGCTGCTCCTTTCAGTCCCCGTGGTTGAAAGACTGAGATGACTTGGCCAGCTGGCCATACCTTCTCCGGATAGTGACGATGGTTGGTCATGAGCTGAGAATGCCTTGATTCTGACCTAGTTGCTTTGACGACTGATGGACAGGTCTTAATTGCACTTACTTGGAGCGTCATGGTCACAGGCTATGAGATGGAGACACTACCTTCGGTCACAAGGCTTGTGTCCTTGCAAAATTTCCTTATACTTTCCCTTCGTTTGCCTTTTGTTTTACTGCTTTTTTTTATTTCGATGTACACATAGATTCTTTCCCTTCCTGATACCCACTCTTTACCTCTCGGCGAAGAACTCTGAGAAGTTTTGTCAGAACGGTCTAGTGATGCTGGAATGCTCATTCTGATTGTTCGTCAAAAGTTCGTACGATGAAGCGCTGGGTTTGCGGGCGAGGTGGTTGGGATGAATGAGCATGCGAGAGACGTCATTTTCTCATGACCTATTTCCAACTCTAAGGAGTAAAGCGACAGTGTGTACGATACTATTGCGATGGAGGATATAGTTGAAGAATTAATGGAGTAACGGAGTGATATACTTAGTGCTGAACTTTTTTACTGCGCCGTCCCCTGCCTGTTCTTGGTATCCAAGCAGTAATACCCCGCGATTGCCCATGTTATTACTCAGTGTATAAACGATGGAGTTATCTCAAATGCCGATGCACCTTTGTAGTTCTCTGTACACGAGCGACTATGCGCTCCCAGCCAAGGTGAAGGTAATTACAGGATTGCAAGGCGATATTACTGGGTCAACAAGAAGAAACCGACACCCGCAATACACCTAGCCTATTGTAGGTGTCGATTTTTTCTTGTCAGCCCCGTGACATGATGGCAATGATGGCGATGAGACATCCCCGCGATCGCGGGAACCAGGGTCGTCGCATAAAACGTCGCAGATTTGCACCCGCGTCCACTTTGCCAATCCGAAACGTGGTCTGACAACCACTCAGCATCTCGAGTTGCTGTTCCGCATAAAGTTTAGGGCCATTCTAACAGTCATGTCGCGGCTGGGAGCTGGTGGTTCCGTTCATTGCGCATTGTGCGGCGAGCAAAGTGTCAAAGAGAGGATTTCTTTGCATGGCTTTTATTTTGGGCGAACAGATGGTGGCATTACTACTTACGTTGTACTGAGGCGTTGTGATTGAAAATAGATGGATGCCTGGCATGGTTTGATGAGTGTTGTGCCTTCTTTACTTCGAGTTTGATTGTGTTTCTTCCCCTTTTGTTTTCCTACCTTGAACTTTACCCTTTCGTGTCCTCAGTTCCTTCCTTTTCTTTTCTTCTTCCTTGGCTCCTGGGTTCCATTTCTTGACGCTCATTTTTTTTGATCATTATTTCACGAATATACGCCAAAGAGACCTGGTTGTCGCAATTCTTTTTCCCCTTTCGAGACCAAACGCTACGAGGACGAAGGGATATACAGAGCGCGACTGTGATTGCTAGACAACATTGGACCACACTTGCTCCATATCGCACACCTCGCTCCCATCATCGGACGCCGGGGAAAAAAGAGTCAGATAAGCAGAAAGAGTATACTGGGGAAGACAAGAACCGTGCAACACAGCAAAAATGGCAATCAACTGGGTCCTCCCCGTGCGCGCTGTGCAATTCGTCCTATCCGTCGTCGTCCTCGGATTGATGGCATATGGTACGTCCTTTCCCCTTTTGCTCTTCCCTCCACCTTACATCCATCTGACTTGCCTTCTCAGTATCATCATGGTGGTCAACACACTGGCGCCAATCCTCCCCCAGTGAAATAAATTACCTCATCTTCACGCCCTCATGGTCGCTCCTCTCCCTCGTCCCTTTACTCCTCCTCCAACTCGTACCAAAGTTCGAGAGTTTAAGGGACAAAGCAAGTGTGAAGTGGGCGCTGCTTGGACTGGAAGGTTTGACAATGTTGTTTTGGTTCAGTGGGTTCGTCGCGTTGGCTGTGTTTTTGAGTGGGAGGATATGCTTTGGCATGGTAAGTTTGTCATTCTTATACACATTTTGTTTTCTTTCTTTTCGGTACCGAATGCATGGACCATCCACTGACGCGAGATACTCAGGTATGTGACGTAGCCCGTGCAAGTACAGCCATTAGTGCACTTTCGTGGCTGGCATGGGCTGTTACTTTCGTCCTTGGCGCTATCAGTGTTGTCAAGGGGAGGAATGGTAGTATGAGCTTTGGAAACAAGGCGTCAAACAATAAAGAGGTAGATATGCACCAGGGTGTATAGACAGAGGGGGGTGGGCATGTCGGAGGCGTTTTTCATGATGGTATATATCGATTGAGGGCTTAGTACGACAGTATATGAATAGCGATCATCAGGTATGATTGCGGTGTGTGGTGTTAGATATCCTGCTTTGGTTTGAGCAATGGTTTAGTCATAATGCAACTTCTTCTTTTGAACGCCAAGATATGTACAGCAGCTAGTAGGCTTCGTGATATGCCGCGACCAGTCGTTTGGAAAGGCAACCTGGATACTCTGGGATAAGAGCTACCGAGAATAAGAAAGATTTGGGATGTGCTGTTGGCGATTGTTTCTGCAGATACTCGTTTCAACTACAGCAGGTCCAGCTATATGATCGAACTAGCTTTTACTAGTACATGGTACAGTCAAGCCTATGTCTTGCTGGTTTCCCGATCTCCCCTGCTCGTCCAGAGACAACCAAGAACAGACATCTTACCAATAACGACAGACAGAACACCGGCACTCAAGATGTTGTGTCTCGGCAGCTGTGAAATAGCCTCTGGTTGCCTTTCCAGGGCTCAGGCAAATGTCATTAGCCGTCCATTTGTCAAAACCCGTATGTCATGCCTTGATTATAAGGATGTCGACAGCCGATCTCGCATGGTCAATTGCAAATTCTAGGCCTGTTTCGAAACGCTTGGCTACGTTGCAGTGCTGCCGAGGAAGAGATTTTGGAGGTGCCTTATAAGATGCGTTGTATGCCTGATGAAGCTGTTCTGAAACACAACAGAGACGTGAGATGCCTGGAACGGCAGACTTCGGCCGCGATGTTCGATGTGATTGCGCCAATACATTTCGTATCGATTGAGCAAGAGAGAAGTCAACAGTACAAATTTTCTCTCGTCAAGAATTCTTTCATGTTAATCCAGGCTTGTGCCCGTGAAGAATGATGCATTTTTGGGTCCAATAGTTCGTTGACACTGCTACATCCGTCCTAGCGCGGACGCTAGCGTCTAACATACTTGCGGCGGATCTGCTCCAGGGTCTTGACACCTGCAACACCACGCCACTAATGCTCGTCACAGAACATGTGCATTTCCATCTCGGCTGACACCATCTGACAGCGTTCTACTCGCGTTTCTCGGTTCTCGGCAACGCGTTTTCTACGACGATGCCAGTATGAGCGTACTCTGTCTCCCGGAGACCCGCATAGAAACAAATCGGCCAGACGCTATCCGACTGATTATAGCAACCATGGCAAGGAAGGCAATTTCAATGGCATGACCAGAACGGCAATGTTGCCGTTCTCGACTTGTTGGCGGGGTGCTTGGCGGGGTGCTGTCGTTCCCAAACCTTCCGCAAATCTGGATGCAGGGGCCTTTTGAAGCTACGCTCGAGCGCACGCCTGATACGTGTGCGATGCGTGTCAGCACTCATGGCTGGATCTCCCTCTTATGGCCTGCGAAACAAGTACATCTTCTCTCGCTGCTTTGCCATCCAAACATTCTTTCTTCCCACTTCTCCAGCTTCACGCGCGCGTTAAACATCGATCGCATCCACAGGCGATTCCTTGAAACATCAATCCAGAGAAGCTCTACCTACACGAGCCACTTTACCAGAGGTTACGATCATGCCGAAGACTGCTGTCTTCACCACCATTACGCCGTTGCCGGCTGGTATCACACGGAAGAGTGTGCTTGATATGTACCGCGATCATCTTGCCATGATCGACCTGAACCCACTGGTCGTGGAACGGTTCAAATGCAGACCACCAAGCTATGCGCCAACAGACGAGTACTGGGCTACGTGGTATACCATCAAGGGTGAGTATTGTTCATTCACAACCCCTGAGTGCAATGCTAACATCGTCTAGACAAGGTATCATATTTACCGGGCGGCCTAGCTACAGGTTCTGTATCATACCACGCTTGTTTCACCGACACAGCCGAGGGTCTTAACACACACGTGTACGCGCCACTGGGTCTAGATATCCAAGGGAAGTGGACTGTAGGAGGAAGATTGCCTGGCGAGCCAAAGCCTCCAGCTGAACCTGGACTCAAGACACCAAGACACGGACTGTACATTCGGGAAGACGTCAGGATGACCTGCTCAGCACTTCTAATGAGCTTTGTCAAGAGGACTTTCAAGGACTCACACGGAAAGCTTGTTGATAAGCTAGTGGAGAAGGCGCATATCCTGGAGTCAAACTTTGCGAATGAGAGACTACAAGCACTCCGGAATGTTGCTCCCGGTGAGCGAATGGGTCATGGAGACATCTTCATCGCACCACCACCAGACTACGATTACCAGCCTTCTCCAACATATCTCCAGGTTCCTTCGCCTCGCTTCGTATCCCACACAAGAAGTCAAAGCGACCCAGTGCTGTCTCCTGGCTTCTCTTCTTCCTCGACACTCAACGATCCCAATGAAAGCCCCTTCAACAAGAAAGATCGGCCAACATCATTTACGTTTGTACGTGAAGAGAAGGAGGTCTCGTCATCCGCTCCCGAGGCAACCTCTTTTCTGCTGCCAGCGACAACATACGACGGCGGGTTCTCACAACGCCGTGAGCGATCAGCATCATTGTATCCTGGCAGTTCGTCGGACGAACACTTCGAGCGCATGAACTCCGAGCGAATGATATCTCTATTACCGCTTAGTCCGACAACTCCGGCACCACCACAAGATTGGAACGCTCCAGAGCACGCACCGAGGATCTCGTATACACCCGAAGAGCGACCTATCTCATTCACTTTCCCCTTTGACCCGAAGCACCCTTTTGATCGCAAATCGAGATCGGAGACGTCGCAATCGGACCAACAAAACCTTCTCAACGACATCGACGACGCAATTGACGAATTCATGTATACATTACCTGCGGCTACATATAAGACGCTGCCCGCAACCACATACTCGCCCGAACCAACCCCTGAGCCGATACTATCTAGCGCAACATATACCCCAGAAACGACGCTATCCAGCGCTACCTACAAACCAGAGGCCATCCTGACTAGCGCGACCTACAAGCCAGAGCCGATACTTTCGAGCGCGGTCTACGACCCAAGGCATGCGCGAAAGGACTCCGCCATGCCGTCTCAAGACTACGCCGACGAACGACCTCCGGTGCCTTTGAAGGACGATAAGTACAGGAAAGGTAGCCTGAGGGGATAGATGGAGGGAAAGCTTGGCTTATGCCTTTTGATGAATCTTCTGTACAATGTTTACCTCTGCTTCGATTGTTCTTCCATTTGGGGAAGAAAGAGCGCGTTTGGTGTTGGAGGGGTTTTCTTTTTTGGAATCTCATATATATACCCGCATGTATCAGGCTTACAGGATAGGCTGGATGGAGTTAACCCTTGTATGAACCCCTTTTGTATATCACAACCATGACAGCGGAAAACGCGATTTACCAATCTTTGAGTCTTCTATAACCTCGACCCAGCGTGACAAGTGTTCATAACAATAACAATCTTTGGCGATAATCTGTACGTTGACTCCTTCTTAGCCCTGTTTCATGTATTGGTCTTTAGAGTAGTATGACGAATTATGCCCTTAAAAAGACCCAGGTCTGCCTTACCGGTCGATACCTAGTAGCGGAAAAACCAATCCGGGCCCTCTCTCTCATCACGAACGCCACCAGGAGCGTCCTCGGCAGTTCCTTGATATTTCGATTGCCGAGCATGTCCGCATAATTCTCCTACTTATCTGAGTGATCTAAACTCCAATGTCCCCACTCTTGATCATGCTGTCATACTCCAGCGCCGCATCCAGCAAGACCTGCGCCCCCAGTGCACAATGCTCTGGACTCGTATATTCTTCTGGGTTATGACTTATCCCCCCTCGACTTGGTACGAAGATCATACTCGTTGGACAGACCCTACTCGTCCATGCGCTGTCATGTCCCGCCCTGCTCTTCATCTCCATGACCTGGTCTTCACCAACTTGCCCCACTGCTGCCTTCCTCACCGCCTCGATACAGTTAGAATGAAACTTTGACTCTGGTAAGCCCCACGTGCGTTCCACAAGGTACTTGGTCCCATTATCTTCTTCCGCAACGACCTGATCAAAAGCCCGTAAGATTTTGTCGGAGAGTTGGGTAACGAGTGCATCAGTATCGCATCTAACATCTATCACGAACCCCACCCCAGCAGGTATAGTGGCTTGAGAACTCGTATCACTGCTGATAACACCCACGGTAGCAACGCCCAGTCGGCTGTTGAGTGCAGTGTCACGTACAGCTGTTATGAGCCGTGAAGCTGTGACCAAGGCATCTGCCCTCCCTGGCATGGGCGTCGTACCCGAGTGGCCTTCTCGCCCTGTCACTCTAATGGCATACCATTTCATACCCTGTACGCTCGTCACGACACCTACACTCTTCCCTTCCTTTTCTAAAATAGGGCCCTGCTCGATGTGGAGTTCGAAATGAGCGGACAGTCTATTCTCGCGGTAATCGCAAGGAATGGGGCCCAAGTATCCCGTGTCGCGTAAAGCTGTTTCCATGGATATACCGCTAGTATCGTGGAGGGCATGGCAGGCTTCTAGATCCGTGCTGCTATGTGTGCTCCAGACACCTGAAGCCATCATCGCACCAGGGAAACGTGCGCCTTCTTCGTTTGTCCAGTTTATCAGCGCAAAGGGACAATGGGTTTGGATGTTGTTCTCGTCGAGTGTGCGGAGGACTTCTAGGGCGGAATGAACGCCTAGTATGCCATCGTATCTACCTTGAAATCAGTCCAATCTGGATTGGAAAAGGAGAAAGGGTGAATTTACCGTCCACCTGCAGGTTGGGTATCCATGTGACTACCCATGCCGATTGGCGCTTTGTCTTTAGCGGTACCTGGGCGTATGGCGAAGATGTTTCCCATTTGGTCGATTTTGACCTCGCATCCCAAACTCTTGCATTCACTGACCAACCAGTCTCGCGCAGCTTTGTCCGACGGGGTTAAAGTCAGGCGGCACATGCCTGTTGATGGAGCTGCGAGGGCGCCATATGCCGTGCATGTTTCTTGCAACGTGCTGTTCAGCCTGTCGCCGTTGATTTTTGGGCGTCTGACAGCCATATTGGTATGTTTAAAAGTTATGGTATGTTGTAGGCTGGTGTTGCGGGTTGCCCGTAGCGGCGTGAAGTCATCAGGTACGGTTGTTCCGACGCGTCGGCTTCTACACACGCGTCTCCATCACGTATGACTAACGAGTATTACTTTACAGAATACCGTACCCTTCTCAAGCGCATTTGTACCGCGAATAGGCGTCAGAGTTGATAAGGGACGGGTGAAGACAATGGGAGAAAGGTGGGGCAGCGCGAAAGAGGGGTCGAGATACGCACCTCACAAATTTGGACTAGCCTTCCTTCTACAAGCACGATAACCGCTGAAATGTATCCTCTAGTATCAGTAAGTGACTTGAGAATCTGTTTCCCGAGATTAGACCATCTGAAATAAGGCTACAAAGAGGTGGTCATGGAGTACGACCTCATCATCGTCAATGGAATTGTGGTTTCCGAAATCGAAGTTCAAGAGTGGGATATTGCTATCAAAGATGAAAAGATATCGAAAGTGGTTCCAAGGGGAGGCCTGAAAGATGCAAAAGCGACGAGGACGATAGATGCTGAAGGCGGCTTTGTTATGCCAGGAGGTGTAGACGCTCATGTTCATCTACAGGAACCTCCGTTGTTTGGCAATGGCTCAACGGCAGACAACTACGAGACGGGTAGTCGATCAGCAGTATGCGGTGGTACCACCACAATGGTAACGTTTGCGCCACAAAAGAAGACTGAGGATACTCTTCTTGATACCCTGGCGGCTACCCATGAACGAGCAAAGAATAACTGCTACATTGATTATTCCTTCCATATCATCGTGGGAAACCCCTCAGAAAGGGCACTGTCGGAGTTCAAGACTCTTCGTGAAGAAGGCATTTCTTCACTCAAGATCTACATGACCTACGAGGCGCTGCAGCTGCACGATGGTCAGATCCTAGACATCCTACTCGAGGCGCGAAAACAAGGAATTACAACAATGATCCACGCCGAAAACGGTCAAGTAATCGACTGGATGACTGCCCAACTGGAGAAGAAGAAGCTATTCGCACCGAAATACCACGGATCCTCCCACCCTCCTATGGCGGAAACAGAAGCCACCTACCGTGCCATCAGCTTGTCAGAATTCATGGACACACCCATCCTCATCGTCCACGTCTCCACGCCCGCAGCAGCCGCCCACATCAAAGCAGCACAAGACCGCGGCCTGCCCATCTACGCGGAAACCTGCCCACAATACCTCTTCCTCACGAAGCAAGACCTCGACCAACCCGGTTTCGAAGGCGCAAAGTGCGTCTGCTCGCCGCCACCACGAGAGAGCGAGGCAGACTGCGATGTAATCTGGGAAGGACTTGCAAACGGCACCTTTACGATCCTTTCTTCGGACCACTGTCCCTTCCGCTACGATGATGCTCAAACGGGCAAGAAATCCAGCATCAGCGCTGAACACCCGCTCGGCCACTTCAAGTACATACCCAACGGCTGTCCAGGCATCGAAACAAGACTCTCCCTTGCCCTCAGCGCGAACCGCCTCAAACTTACCAAATTCGTCGAGGTCACTTCTGCCAATCCTGCCAAGCTGTACGGCTTGTACCCGAAGAAAGGCGCGTTGGTGGAGGGACAGTCCGATGCCGATGTTAATATCTGGTATCCAGAGGGTAAGATGGAGGAGTTTGAGCTGACGAATAGCATGTTGCACCATGATGTTGATTATACGCCTTTTGAGGGGAGGAGGCTGAGGCAGTGGCCCAGGTGGACGATCTTGAGGGGAAAGGTGGTTTGGGATAGGGATAATGGGGGGTTGTTGGGCCAGAAGGGGTATGGGAGGTTCACGAAGAGGGATGCGAGCAGTCTTGCCAAACCTACAAAGGAGGGCGAGTGGGTGTTGCCGCTGTAGGTGTGCTTAAGATATTGCGCACACCATGGAGGGGACATTCCTCGTTTGGGTATTACTTGACGCTTGTGGCGTGATTCAGCGTGTTTAATCTGTCGTAGTACGGAGAGGCACAGTACAGCGGTACGTCATACCTAAGCTGTACGTAGGAAAGCTCCTGTTAGTCTATATTAAGTAAATGTAGTCTGTACATAGTCTAAGCGGCTGTATTACAGTTGTAGTTTGTGCTTGGAGTTTTTTTTCAGTGCTGCTGTACGTACAACACTAGTATTTAACCTGTACATACTTTATGATAGCTTTAATTGTACCGGTTTACTGTACCGTGGACAGGCTGGCGTGTCTGCTACATACCTTGAGCCATGCTGAGACGAGTGCCAACCGAAAGTCGGACGATATGACTACTCCGCGTCAAGAGTCGGACGCTGGACACGGCGGACAAGAAACGTCTCTTGGTAGAGGCTGGTGTTGTAGCCAAAAGGCGCTGGTTAGGCTTGACGCGCAGGTGCCGCGGCTCAATCCTTATCTTATCAGTTCACCCGCGAGGGTCGCGTCCCACCCCATTCTTGCTTCCTTCGCGACAGCACCTCCGATGCGGCCATCTCCATTGAGTCAAATGAGGTCATGCATGACTAATAGTATATGATTGTACTCTTATCAATGGAGCGGCTGTCCTTTGCCGTCTCCTATATGGACGGAAACCCCATAAAGCTTATTGCGCGTCAACAGGGCCATGCCTGAGCTTGAGGAAGCTTGTCATACGCCAGAACTAGGCTCCGCCGTCGTATAGAGGATATGGCGACTCCTGAGCCACCAGTAGAGTATGTAGATGTACTCGTGGTAGGTGGAGGACCGGTGGGTACGTGTAGCTCCAGCACCCATCGTGTACACACCGTCGTACTAATAAGTACTCACAGGCCTCATAACCGCCTACCAACTCGCACGTAACCTCCCCCAACCTACCCACCGCATCAAAATCATCGAGCAATACCCAAAATCCTCCCAAGACAACTATGGTCGTGCCATCACCCTCTTTCCCCGCAGCTCCGAGGCAAGTTATGACTGTGCGAGATGCATATGAGACATACACTGACTTCATATCTCCACATCTGTAGATGCTCGACCAGCTTGGTCTTGCTGATTCTCTTGCGCAACAGTGTTTTGCGTGCCGCGAGACAGTCAACTACGACAAACATGGCAACGAGGTCGAAGGAAGAGGCTGGGCGTTCATGCAGAACATGAAGGACACAAGATGGGACTTTGCACTGGTGCTACGGCAAAAATACCAGGAAGAGGTGTTTAGGAAAGCGTTGGCGAAGGAGGGCGTCCAACTCGATGCGCCGTATACACTAGTGGGTATTGAGGTGATACAAGGGGTTGAGATGGGTGGCCACAGGGTGCTGGCTACCATCGAACATGGCTCGACCAAGGCTAAGAGCGTGGTCAAGTGTCGATATCTAGTCGGTGCAGACGGCGGTCGATCATTTGTACGACGAGCTATGAACATCCCCTTTGACGGCTCCTCGAGCGAAGACAAATGGGTTCGCGTTGACGGCGTCATCGAAACCGACATCCCAAAGCCCAGAACCTACTGCGCCATTGAATCACCTACTCACGGAAATGTCCTCTGGGCAGCGCTAGACCGAGGCGCAACGCGCATCGGCTTCGCATTCACAGCCGAGCGACAGAAAGTGTATAAAGTCTTCGACGAAGCTGCCGCCGTGAAAGAAGCCATTGCATCCGTTAAGCCATTCAACCTTTCATTTAAACAAGTAGATTGGTGGACTATCTACGTCGTCGGGCAGCGCATCGCCCGTTCCTTCTTCGTAAACGACTCTATCTTCCTCGCCGGTGACGCATGCCATACGCACAGTTCTGGCGCAGCGCAAGGCATGAACACCGGTATGCACGACGCTGTGAATCTAGGCTGGAAACTCTCCCTCGTCCTCCGGGGTCTCGCTAAACCGGACCTCTTGCATTCGTACGAAGCGGAACGGCTGCCTAACGTACAGCGGTTGATCAATTATGACAAGGATATCTCGCGCCTCATGACGATGCAGTTGCCAGAGGGTTGGACGGGTGATCCAAATGCGGATCCGAATGAGATACTGGGTGTAGTGATGGCGGAAGCGGCCACGTTTAGTAGTGGTTTGGGTATCTACTATGAACCGGATTCTTACTTGAACCTTACGCAGAGTTCGGGTATATCGTCGGTGCAGCCTGGTCAGCGCGCACCAGATGTCAGGCTGCAGAAACCTGCGACGTTTGAATCTACGCGACTGCAAACCGAGACACCGAATACGGCAAGATTTTATGTTGTGCTTTTCGCTGGAGAGGTGGCGCGCACGAAAATCGCTGTGGCGTCGTTTATGGCAGCGATCGAGAAGCTCTCTTGGCTGAGTGATTCAGACGCTCCGGTATCATGCCTTTCCATTATCGCAGGGCCGGGTGGGTCGTCAGCGTATGAGACATTGGGCGGTATGCCGTTCGGTCGCGTGTTTTACGATGAAGATTGTAGTGCGCATTTGAGGTATGGTGTTGCAGCTGAGAAGGGGGCTGTGGTGGTGTTGCGACCCGATGGGTGGGTGGGTACGACTGTGGAACTAGGTGAGAGTGCGGGGGAGAAATTGTTGAGGTATTTTGGGCAGTTTTTGGTTGCTGCTGCGGGTAGCCATAAGGTTGAGGCGAAGTTGTAATGATGCTGCGGAGTTGCAGTAAGTCCTTTCTGACGGGGTAGCCTGCATGCTGCAGCTGTTGGTGATCACGTTCTGCGCGCAACTACGAGCCTATGGAACCGGCCCCCACAGAGTCGATGAGCGCCATCTGCACAGCCAGCACTCAATGCATAAGCTGTTTATCCGCGAAGTTTCCCGCAATTGTGCTCATCCAATCGCTTGTATTGTGCGGCACTATTTTGAAGGCCAATGTCGGTTGTCCAAACATTCGAGGCTGCTGCGTATGTATTGTCCTTGGCAACTGAGCCAACATTTTTACAATCTGGGCAACCCCAGCCTTGTCTCGCCAGTCATATTGTCTTCTTTTCCTTCTCCTTTCTTTTGTTACGCCGCGTTTCCCTTTTCAAACAGCGTCATGGCTGAGCCTGCCAGTCAAGTGGTGTCTGAATCTAGTGCAGCAGAGAGAGAGTTTCTTAAAGCTGCTCAAGGAGACAGATACAACTCCCGTTCTTGGAAGGATTTGAAGACAAGCTCCCATTTCGAGGATTGGCAGGGAGTCGAAATGTTTCTGAGGTCGAATGATCGAAGAGATCACGTTACCCACTTTCTTAGAGTGCCAGTAAAGGACGGGACAACATCGTCGATTTTCAAAGACAGACTTGAACATCTATTGCCACTCGGCTCACCAGAGATTACAAGCGGCCATGACAATCATGCTATGCGAGGTCAAATCGGTACTGTCAGCGTGTTGGTGGAGACGCCTAGTCATTGCATGCCGTACGTGTATCTCTCATTGTTACAGGAAAGGTCTGAAGTATCGACGGTAGTGTTGGTGTACGCAACAGAGGATGATCCGACGGACTGGCTAGATGAGGATGACAGCCAACCGTCTTTTACTTTGGTCTACAAGCTTTTGCTTTCGTACATGACATCCGTCATTGGAAAAGCTAAGAGAATCGACGCAAAAATTCGCCTCGTAGAAGCGGCCTTGGAATCAAGAGACATGGCCAGTCTGAGCGACCTACTTCACCAACTAAATGTTATCAGCCATGAGATCAGAGCCTCCAACTTCGAGCATCAGGCGCTTTTCAGTCGAAAAGCTGCCATATGGGTATTTCCCGCTATGGAGCGCGCAGGCCGCAGTACATGGGGTCACCGGCTGCGGGAGATAAGTGATTCGATGGAAGCTTGGCAGCCAAGCAAGCAGAAAGAACGCATTTCGGAGCTGCGCATACATACCGATGATGTTAGGGACGAACTGCGTCAAAAACGAGAAGAAGAACGGCAGAAGCGGGAAGACGCTCGGCAAGAACGAGAAGAAATACGAGCAATAAAGGAACAAGAGCGTCTCGACGAGAGCATAAGGATTGCCAAAGAGACGAAACGCGACAGCCGTACTATGCGTGGCATAGCTTGGGTTACCATTGCGTTCCTACCCGCAACGTTTGTGGCCTCATTCTTCGGCATGAATTTCTTTAATGGCATTGCAGGAAACGTTCCATTCGACGACGCAAGTCACAATGTCTGGCTTTTCTTCGCAATCGCCGTACCAGTTAGCGGCGTTGTTCTGTTTACGTTCTACTTTTGGGACGAGTACGAGAGGAAGAAGGATGAGAAGAAGGTGGATGGAGAGAGGACCTCTACGATCAGTTCGTGAAGACAGCACCGGGAAACCAGTGTATCATGGTCATGCACCCTACATCGCGTTCGGGCAACACAAGATATTCCTCTATCAGGTTTCTTCGTTCTCTAGGAAGCAGCTTTTGTTTCTTTCTCTTCGTCAGACTATCAGACCCTTCAACACGCAGGTCAGTCATGAGCCGAAACACACAACACCTCGCTCGCAGTCACTACATGAGCTTTTCACCGCCGCAACAGCTCTTGTAGCATTCGGAGGGACACCATTTTACGACATGTGGGTTCTCTTTCTACTTTGTACATATAGTGCGCGTTCAGCTCCTCAACAGAAGATTTAGAGAATACTATCCGAGCTTCCGCTAGAACGAATGATACCTGTAAGAATGGAACTATGTCCCCGAAGCAATCATTCGTAACCTGTTCTTACCAACCCCGTCCGACTAAAGCAACATGAGAATGAGCTTGATATGCTATAAAGGGCACGCTGCTCATACAGGGTAGTTTGTGAGAGCATGGATGATGGAACGATGATATGTATCAGATGAGAGGGGATAGCAGAGCAAGGTGTAAGACATGCAATGGTAGTAATCCCAAGGATACTGCAAGAGAACATAACCCACTTGGGTAGCTTCAGATTTTTATGATCCTTGCCCATGCAGTAGAAGGACATGAAACAAATAACAACGGCCAATGCCTTACCATATTCGCACTAGCACGTACAATTAACAAAATATGTTTTATGCGGAAGGGCAATAGTACACCGCGGAAATTCCCCAAACAGGCCACCAGGCACACACTGTGGAGTATGATCTACCGAGCCGAAGTGGGTCGACCCACTTCACCTCAACTCTCTACACTGGTGTAGTACTGCGATTCATTATCTACCGCGGCCAACATTTCCGGATAGTAGTGCGGCAAGTGGGCGAGAACACGCCGGTGCGCGGGTGTCGGATGGCTTGCTGTCGCCACTTTCTTGGCCCCTTGGCTTCTACACCGCGGAGCAGTTTTGATCTACATTTCGCGAGGAGTTACTGAGTGTTGCGTCTCGTATCGAGAGTGGTCGCTTGCCAAGAAGTGTTTTGTAGGATGCGCAGATGGTGGGAGCATCGCGTACAGTTGCTGTGTGCGCGCAATCGCGAAGCAATACCCTAGTAATCCGATAACATGCAATTGATGAGCTACCTATTACTTCCAGCATCTTCACGATATTTGTGCCGAAGAGAAGCTCTCAAACGAGAAGTATTGCAAGCACAAGAAGTAAGAGCGTGTCGCAAGTGCAACGACCTATCCCAAGAACGAAGGTGCCATTCCGTCCATTAAAAGTAAAGTAATATTGGGTATTCCGTATTTCGTAGATCATGAAAACTCGCATTCTAATCAAAGCCACCTCCGCGTATCCATCGGTGTCCCCTCTTTGGGGTGATACGGCGGCAAGGCTTGTATCTCCGACGGATGCGGACTCCCCCTGTCAACACTATACTCGCTCTGCACCATGATACCCCCCAACGGCGACCCTACAACGGGCGACGGCCCAGCCGCCAGCGGTTGAATATCCTCATTCGACTTGAACGACCGATCCAGCGATCCGTCCGACGAACTTCGTGTTGGAGTACCATTCCCAGTCTCTACAATACCTTCCTTCGCTCCCTTGGTGACGCCCATCTCATACTCGTCTAGCCGGACAAAGTCTTCCTTGTCGGCTCGACTCAGCCTTAGGGTGCTCAGTTGAGAGCGATCGGTTTTCGGTAGCCAGATGCGGGATTTGATGTCTTTGCTGCCATTGCTTTGCTTAGACTTTTTACTACTGATTCCAGAGTTCTCTTCGTAGTAGTAGTTGTTCGTCTTCTGCTTCGGCCAGATGCGTTCGCGGATCGAGCGTTCCAGTTGGCGGATAGCGGGCAGGCAAGCGACGATGGCACCAACTTGAGCTTCAACAGTAGACCAGTATCCGATTGGTAGGTAGTCCCAGGTAACATTGGTCGTTTGGGCAAACTGAATCATGAATTTTAGTCGGACGATGCTGACAATGGTTACACTAAATATTTGTTAGCACACGCCCAAGGTGAAGTACGGATGGAATTGAACATACAAGCCTCCACCGAGGAACATGAGCATGATGCCGAACTTACGACGGCGGCTCATTTTGAGCTGGCTGAGTTCCCGCATGGGTATAGTAATGACGATCAGATCGAGGATGATGTTGACTGCGGCCGATGCCCAGGCGTCGGCGTTGAGGTTGATGCATTTTCCGTGGTGCTCGCCGTCCCAGCGTTCCCAGGCGATGCGGATTGGAATGCATTGCAGCGTGGTCGCTGTGCCGAAAGCGATGATGTACATGATACAAATGACTATTGTGACATAGATCCAGCGTCGAAGGCCCTGATCAGGAAATATGCGGAGGTAGAAAAGGAGGATAGCTATCTTCGTCAATGCCACCGAAACCAGGTATAACAGTTCAGTGTAGTAAAAGATCTAAATCGCACTTTCGTCAGCTCCAGATCTCAGTATTCGGATACTTCAACAACATACCTCAAGGATCTTTGTAATGTTTTCAAAAGACACATACCACATATCTTGTCCCAAGCCGATTTGGTTCAGAATGTATGCGCATATGGAAAGTGGGACGACGAGTATGATAGCGACAGTCATCACCCAATCGTCCAACCCCCAATTTCCTCCAAACCAGGGAAGACGTGCAACAACGCGTAGGACGTAGGCCACCAAGGCTGATATTCCAAAGACCAACGTGGTAATCGTTCCTTGTATCGTCTTGTTACGAATTGGCGTGTTCATCATGTCTGCGAGAAACCTCTTTGCCGCTAGTTATTCGATTAGCGAATATCTGGAAACAACAGAATGATGAAGAACTTACTCAGTGCTTCTTTTGGCTTACAGCCAGCTAATACGCATTTGGTGAGGTCATCTAGAAGCGTCTCGTTGGCTTTGATACAAGCAAAGTCTGTGAGCTCGCATGGTGACGCCGTGACGATTGTCAATGTGCATTTTAACTACATCTTGTCAGTTTTGAATCACAATGTATTGACTCGGTTGGCGTACCGCGCATGGAGGCAGGTTCTTGACTGCAAGGGCGAGGACGTCAGTTCCATTCTGACTTTGCGCAAACGACAGCAGTGGCGCAAAGACGAGGAACAACAATGCCGAGAAGAACTTCATATCGAAAACCGCATGAGAAGGCGCCGTACTCCGCGTGCCGTTTTCCAGTCGACCGTATGAAGACAAGGCGCTTTCCAAGAAGAGGCAGTACAGTCTACCTCGGATGCGAAAGAGGAAGGAGGAGCAAGGAAACACGATAAGCGAAAGCAGTTCGCATGTGAACATGGGCTCTTCATAATCCCATATGAACCAGGATATGTTATAAACAGGGGGGCTGAATGCTACTATGCGCGGCAATCAGTAGCACAGCACTGTCAAAACTCCTAGTCTCCGCGCGCAAATCAAGGCGCCGTTAGCATGTTACAAGCTCGTAGTAGTGGAGCTGCCGACTTGGTCACGGAGCAGACTCCATGAGGCGTACCACGCACTGTTGCCATTATTCGGGCGCAATCGGCAGTCTACGAGCTAGACTGTGCCCTGACTTTAGTTCGCAGTCGTGTGCCGCAGCTACGGCAGAATCCACGTGGAGCTTGCGCCCAACGAGGGACTAACCCTCCGAATTTTGCCTCTTGCCATGGCTTGATACGTTGGATGTGTCGTGTAGATCGACCTACTCTGAACATAAGGTAGTTGGTACAGTCGAATGTGGAAAAGGGCGTTTGGAGATGACGTGCACGAAGTAGGATTCTCGGGACCGGTATGTGTGAATTCACACATATTCACAATAGTCATGGCTGTCGCCCTATTAGGTATCACGAGGGATGAAATTCAATGCGAACCTGATCCGTTGCTTAGACGTGACGATCCCTCTGGCATTTCTCATGTCGCCACGGGACTCGCGTTCACTACACATGACGGCTCCAACCCAGTGGCTTGGCTAGCGGAGGAATCCTCGACCTGCAGCAAGACCGAACACGACCGGAGGTATATGAACCCGGTGAAGAACGGTATCTTGTGGCTTGATGATGGCAATCGTGTTTGCGCAAAACGTGGGTCTTTCCCTGCATACTAAAATTAGAGTTTAGCCCCGCATGTAGATCTGCCTTAGTACAGACTTTAATCACGTCCAGAAACACTAGTGCAGTCTGCCGACCACAGTCGCTGCGATAGAACCGACTCTTTTTGGGCGCGGCAAATGCAAGCGCCGTTGATAGAAGGATAGGCGAGTCTTCGCGAACCTGTCTTTGCACAGTGCTCTAGGGGAAGTTTGAACTCTATATAATCTAGTCATCTGGTTCTAGCTGCAGTGACTTACATAGGGCCGTTCAGTCATGAGTCGCGCATTACACGCGATTACAATCAGGCCGCCATGCAAGTCTGTAGTGTGAGGCATTAGAGCTCCATCGCTTCTTGTTGATCATACTCCCTATTCTTTCCTCCCTTCTCGTCCACTCTCGTGAGATTCACCCTGAAGGCCGACAATTCCAGCTTTCTGAAGTGACCATCTTCTTGCTCATCCCAGAACGCGACTGCGTTCAAGGGTATACCTGCATAAGAGGACATGTCCCAATCATCGATGCAGAAATCATCCGGCGGCCCACCTCCACGCTCCTCAACAAACATCGCACGCCACTCCTCGCCTCGCTGTGTCTCCTCGTCGCGATAGAGGAGTGTGGGACTGAGTTGTGCGTAGTAGTGCTCCGGCGCGCCATCTTTGACAATGGGTGATTCGAAGACATCCGTTCCATTCGATATCCAGGTTGTGACAACAAGACCGCGGTGGTCGGCTGTCAGTCTCACCGTAGAATTCAGTTTTGGATCTGCAGCGCTATACGTGCCGGCGTAGCGATCACTCAACTGCCGGATGGCAATCTTCTCGGCTACTTGTATCATGGTCGTCAAAACAATACTTTGGATTTTGGCAAAGATCTTGTTGGGGCCGGCAATCAGAATGGTAATCCCTAGGTCGTACTCTGGAACTGACATAATGATGGAAGTGTAGCCTGGCAATCCTCCGCTCTTGGATACGACGCGTACTGTGCGATTGGAGTCTGGGAGTATGCGGTCTGTGGTGAAGATCTCCCATGGCATACCGTAGAAACTATTGGATCCGTGGGAATGGGAGACCGGGTGTAGCCAATTGATCGCGTGGGTAATGGCATTGAAATGAGTCAAGACATAGCGAAGGTACTTGGACAAGTCACTCGAGGAACTATAGATGCCGCCCGTGGGATTCTGAACACCCTCTTGCACGTCCCAGAACTGTGGGCCCGCCGGAATGACGCCAGCAGAGTCGGCGGGTTTCGAAAGGGTGCTGGTCGACATGTTCAGAGGCTTGAATATGGCTTCATCGATGTAAGCTTCGTAGGTACGATTCGATACCCGCGAGAGAACGAGACCGAGTAGCTCGAACGCGAGATTAGAGTAGGAAGATTTCTGGTTGGGCGCGAAAAGCGGCGCGAGCTTGTTGACCTGCTTAAACAAATCTAGGCATTCTGCAGTCAGCATTCGGTCTCGACGATCGGACGACGAGACGCGAACCTCTGGCCGTGCAAGGCGTCTCAAAATTTGGCGAGTACTCATCACAATGTGGCAACCCTTTCCGTGAGACATCAGGCGGTAGGCCCAAGTAACTCGGATTCAGCTTTTCGTAGTTTTGATTGATCAAGTCGCCTTGAGCCCCTAACGGAGGGAATCAGCATGCGTACCTTCTTCTGTCTGGCACCCATCAAACAGATTGTGCTCCTTGTCAATTGGCAGCTTACATTCCCGCGGAAGGCCGCTCAGCTGGCTGGCCAAACTACGCAAGGTGATGTCCTTCCATGGTATGCCCCCATCCGATTTCTGTCCTAGTTCTTTGAGATATGTATTCACTGTCGCATCTAAACTCAAATTACCGGCTGCGTGCTGGTACAATATGCCGAGGACGGTGAAGGTCTTTGTTATGCTGGCGATACGATACAACGCGTCGCCGTTGACTTCGGGGATATCTGGACGAGAGGCGTTGCGTTCGCGCGCCGTGTTATGATACGACCATAGGGTTTCCTCCGATGAAGTTATCTCGACAGAGAACGAGCTTCGAGCATGTATTGGCGCTGCCACAGCAGCCGTAAGTGCTGTGTTAATGGATTCGAATGCTTCTTGAAGCAGAGGATCGCGTACATTGTACTCAGGCGGCGGATGCGCAATATCAGGTTCGAAGCATTTGGCACCTGCCAAAGCAACAAATAAAAGAGAAGCCAGCAGCATCATGTTGGTGTTTGAAGCTTGTAGATTCTACATGGTGAAGCCTACACCTATATGTGGATGCCTAGCTTCGCGACGCACTCCCCGCGCGCATAAGAGCTTGGGCCGGGTTGACATCATTGTCGTGCATCCTCCTAACTTCTTACACTCTAGCACGATACCTGCGTCTGTCGCAACCTTCGCATTGTCACCGCCCTTCTGATCCGTGGACGCTCTTTGTATTCTAGACTCACATCGATGTTGCAAGCAACGTACGCGTCGACGCGCTGCCGGTATGGACACCAATTCAACACGCGGACGAGACTTGCCCCAAACTCATCCTTCCTGTGATCACATCGCGCATAGCAACCTAAACTTCAACCATTTTGAAATGGTTTGTGTGTAATTGAGCTTTTCTACCGCCTGTAGTGGTGCAACAGAACCATCCTTGGACTACTCCCAGCAATAGCCTCCAACATGGACCCAGCGATATCCCAACCATGATGCATGCGTTGAATGCGAAATTTAATGCATTTGCGCGGGGCGACGAGGCTTCGGGTGGCCTTTGTGTCAGCCTTGCACTGCCCCGCACATTCAGCTCAGCAGCATAGCTTCGTAACCTCGAGCGCCGTTATCTCTTCACTTCCTTCTTGACACAATGCTCAATGTCGCAGAGCATTCGTCCATCGTACTGATAGTCCCAGAACGACTCAACCGAGATTGCAAGACGGATATAGTGGCCGAACAAATCTCCCGTAGGCCTGGAAGCACAGCAACCCGAACGAACCCAATCACCAAGCTTCAGGCTGCAACCTGCCGAGCATCATGAAACATCTTCGTGAGCCAGAAGATTCTGAAAACAATCTTGCGCGAAGGAAGTCCCCGCGACGGACTACTCAGTCACTTTTCAAACATTCGCCTCTAAATCTTAAGACGCCTTCCATCCGACTAGTGCGTATCCACCCAGACCCGTCTTCGGACGGACACACTCAATTGGAAATTCGCCATGCCTCGACTCATAGCACCTATATCTGTCTCTCGTATGTATGGGGAGAAGAACAAACCCTTCGCTGGATCAGATTAGGCGGACGACGCGGACGACTCTTCCAGGTCCGTCAAAACTTGCATGCCTTTTTGGCATCAGCAAGTAAGAAGCCGCATATTTGCAGCGAGTGGCTATGGATTGATGCATTGTGTATCGACCAGTCGAACAACTCTGAGCGGTCACACCAAGTGCAACAGATGGGGCAGATATTCAGTCATGCGATCAAAGTAATCTCCTGGCTTGGTGACGACGAACGAATTGCACAATTTCTCCGCGAAAGCTCCTCACCCCTCAGCTTGGATATGGTGTATCCTCAGCACAACCGCCCGGGTATGTCGCATTTTTTCAAGAGTGATTATTGGGATCGCGCGTGGATAACCCAAGAAGTCGGTCTGGCGCGCTCGATCACCTTCATGGCATGCAACGAGGAAGTCGACCGATGGCAGCCGCCAGAAGAGAAAGGAGACGACGCTATGGTACCTCGCAATCCTAACCCGGTGTACTCTGAAAATTATTCGCACAGATGGAGGGGTAAGAGTCTTGTCTACCTAGTTGAACTCTTTTTCTACAAAGAATGCCATGATCGTCGTGATCGCATCTTTTCTTTACTGGGCTTGTGCGGCGAGGGTTCAGACCTTGAGGTCGACTACGGAATCTCGCGTACCGATCTGATCATGCGAGTCTTGCAAGTATGCAGCAACTCCTTCTGCCTTTGCGCGATCAACATGCTCGACCGGGTGCTAGGTTTGGGAGAGTCGAATGCAGTCGTGTTGGAGCAGCAGTCATTCGGAACCCTCTCCTTGTCCATATCCGATTCTCCGTACTCTGGTGAAACAATAATACTGGATTCCCTTGGCAGAGCCATCGGAGGCGGTTATCCTTTGGCAGTCTATGTGTCTATGCCCACGATTTGTCAGTCATATTCGGCTTACGTCTACTTAAACATATACCCGAAGGCTTGCTACGGCGCTCGAGAAACAGACGATAGAGTTACTATGCATCACTACAATTGCGATATCGTTCTCAGGAGGTCGAAAAGCTCAGGTGACGAAGAACTAGGGCAGAGTGTACGTGGCTGCTCGGTTAGCTACGACCGAGACGCACAAACATGGGACGTCACCTTTCCCTCTTTAGTACTTGTCCAGATCGCATACTCGAGTAACTACGGTACTCTCTGCACAAGAGGTAGTGGTGCAGACTCTACTTTCATGGAAACTCACAACGAGCCTGTACTGCGCATGTCTTCTGGCAGTGATCTGTACATAGATGCTCCTGGTTTGAGCCTTCCGATTCCAGAAAACCCACCCCGGCCGTCACTCGAAAGTTTGCGCAGCTTCAAAGTGCAACCGTATGTTGATGACAATGGTCAATCTCGGTACTGCGGAGTTTTCGTGTATGATCGAGAAGATGACAAGGGTGCATCCTAAAGGTTGTCATGCAATCATCAAAGACAAGTACTCTTCCTCGAACTCTCTCACATCGTTCATCAGTCGACGCATACAAAACGGACAGGAGATTGTGGATGGTCAGATTTCACCGACTGCTCGCTAAGATGCTTGCATTTATCCGCAAGGAGTTGTGCCGAGCATGCGTTCTTTCGGTGCATCTCGCGCGTACAGCACCATATTAACGATCCCTTCATCCGAGGGCATGGCTATATGAGAGCCCCACAAACAACGTGGAGTTGTATGGTCGTTTGACATCAAGAAAGGAGATGATCGGACGAATTGGTATAACTTGACCAGTACAGAGTGCCGTTGCAGTGCGGCAGTGGTTCTTAGCGAAAGGTTAGATGATTAGAACGCCAGCCTTCATATCCAAAGGATTCTTACCTACATTATCTGCGGGTGGTTTAGATCACGAGATCACTTCAATTCGTATTGACTCAACTCATGGCCTTTGATCCGAGAGACTCAGCCTTTAGTCCCTCTTAAGCCCGTCATAAGCGTCGTCCCATCATTTCGTCACCGATATCTTGCAGTCTCATCACGAGCATAGGCACCGAAATGCGCACCACTTTCTTTACGATCTTGACTTTGTCAACCACAGTTGGCGGTACACCTCTGGGAAACAACTTCGAGAACCTCGTAGACATCCTTGCTCGGCAGACAAACACAACATGTCCAACTACGCCAAATCCCATGCCCAAAGCAGCCGCCTTCTCCTCCGTCAAGACCATGCCAGATCCCTTCCTCTACCTCGATGGTAAAACTCGCGTCCAAAACAAAGACGAGTGGCTGCGATGCCGCCAACCTGAGATCCTCAAGCTCCTCCAGGAATACCAATACGGCTACTATCCAGACCATTCGCAAGAGACGCTCTCAGCAACGCGCAGCGGCAATACCTTGACTGTCAGCATCGCTGCAGGAGGAAAGACAGCTAGCATCGCCGCGTCGTTGAACTTGCCAAGCGGAAGCGGACCATATCCTGTGGTCATATCGATTGGAGGCATGGATACGAAGAGTTATACGAATGCGGGTATAGCAGTAGTCACATTTGATTATACCAAGGTTGCAGCAGACAGCAACAGTAAGAGTGGTTCGTTCTGGACGTTGTACAACGGCAGGGATATTGGTGTGTGAAGTGTTTGCTCTCTTCTACTGCATACTTACGGTTGTTATAGGAGTCCTGACTGCGTGGGCATGGGGGTTCCACCGCGTCCTGGACGGCATCGAACTCGAGGTTCCAGAGATTGACGCGACCAAGTCTGGGGTCACGGGCTGTTCCCGTCTGGGCAAGGCTGCTTTGGCAGCTGGCCTGTTTGATAGGCGTATCGCTGTCACTATGCCCATGTGCTCTGGCGTTCAAGGCGCGGGACCCTACCGCTACAGCTTGAGCGGACAAGGAGAAAATTTGGAAAACGCAGTGAGTACTCGCGTCCATAAACTCGCAGCGACTATCAAGGAACTGGCGTACTGACAAGTTTTGAAGAAATCTGGAGCTGGATGGTGGACCTCCTCCGGCATCTCCCAGTTCGTCGGCAAATCCACCCAGCTACCCTATGATGCGCATACTATTGTTGCAGCCATCGCCCCGCGCGCAGTCATCCTGTCGCAGAACGCCAATGATCAGTTCACCGATTCCAAAGGCACTGCTCAAGTCACGTTTCCTGCGGCCAAGGTTGTGTACAACTGGCTGGGTGTGGGTAAGCAGCTGGGCATGAGTATACCGTCTGGTGGACATTGTGATATGAGCGGGTACGCAGACATTCTGCCTTTCGTACAACAGGTGTTGCAGGGCAAGAGCACGACGAGGAACTATGACGACTTGAAGAACTGGAAGGCTATGCCCGAGGCTTATCCTTGGGGCAGCGATGTGCCAAAGGGGAAGTGAGTAGGAGTATTCAAGTGACACTTTGGACCAAGAGTGATTTCTGCACGATGCATGCCGTGATCCGAATGCAGCGGTGCCATGTGGGGGCGATCAAGTCGCTAATCTGCCAAGGCTTGGGCGCGATGACGTACCCCGCGTCGCAGGCGCATCCGCCGCGTCCACCATCCACCACGGCCAACCATGGACTCGAGACTTGACTTGATTATCTTCGCCCTCGCTAACCATGTCGACGACGAAACCGCTTACTCCCGCGCAGACACACGCTCTCTTTGACATACTGATCCACCACCAAGTCTACGCTGAAATCGAAGCCTTCAAGTACCCCTCGACCATCGACCACTATGGCTACCCCTTCCGCAAGGCCGACGGCGTGCAGTCGACGAGCCCGCTGCTCCAGAACATGCTCAACAAGTTCGCCCTCTGCAACCCCGCCATACGCAACTTTGGCGAGAGCTGGTGGTCCGACAAGATCCAGACGCTGGTTGCGAGGATGGCTGAGGCCGAACTGAGCGAGAGTTACGACAAGGGCGCCATTGGGAGCCGCAAAGCGCTGGCGACGGCGGCGAGTAGCATTGCCGAGTATGTCGCCAGAGGCATGCTGGGCGGGTATCCAGCGGCCAAGAAGAAGGAGAGCAAGAAGGAATACGACACGAGCAAGCCCGAAGACGTCATACAAGGCTTCGAGGAGCTGGTCAAGGACGCCATATACGGAAATGCTCTCGACGACCTGTACGAAAAGGTCAAGGCAACCCCGCGGCTCGAGGACCATTCCAGCAGTCTGCAGGCAGCCCACGAGTATATGCTGTTGAACGCCGCATCCTTCCTCCACCACGTCTTCGTCATGTCGCCCGACGGCCAATACCTCGTCCGCCTCGTCGAGAACCTGCACCGCCTCATCCCATACACCGTCATCAGACAGACATTGCGCGTAGGCAACGCAGCCACCATGATCAACGGCATGGTCAGACTCGTCCTGGCCAAGCTCTCCGTCACAGCCATGACCAACTGGATCGGCCTGACCAACAACACCAACGACGGCATGAACCTCTTGCAGCAAATCATATCCACCATCCTGGCATGGGACACGACCGAGTTCCAGAAGCGAGCAACCAAGCTCGAATCCTCACGCAACGCCCCCGACAAGAAGGTCTTCAAGGCAATCAAGACGTACGTCTACGCCTCGCGCGACAAGCACGAAGCAGCCCGCAGCCAGTCCGTCTCTGAGCAAAAATCCATCGCAGCCGTCATCCTCGAAACCTCGGATCCGCCTTACAAGGTCGACGCCGACACGCTCAACGAACACCAACACAGCGTCGCCATGGAGTATCTCAGCACCTACCTCTCCATCCGCGACCGCGAAGAACTCACAAAAGTCCTGTGCAAATCCAACCCTGACGTCCTCACCTCGACCATCCGAGACGCCGTCGCAGCCATGGACCCCGTCATCCGCGACATCCACAACGCCGTCGACCTCAGCGGTACCGTCACCGACGCCGAAGCCTTCATCACCGATCTCATCAAGACGGCCAAGCCGAAAAAGAAGGGTACCAAGAGCCGCGAGACGAGCAAGTCGAGACCGAGTTCTCCAGACCCGGCGAGTATCTTGGATCAAGAAGCGAGCGATGCCCCTACTGTCGAGGACTTTGTCCAATTACTAAAGAAACATGCACCCTCGATGCACAAATTCTTGCACCACGTCACCAAGAATGCCCCCCAACTCGCGCAGGATTACCTCGTTTATGCCAAACGCATCTTTTCTGAATTCCGCGTTGATGACGCTGCTGCGAAGCAAGAGGAAAAGGGCGAGGGCGGCGCAGGGAATATGACGGCGCCGCTACACTCGTTGTTTGAGACGCTGGGTAAAGAGAAACAGGAAAAATTGAAAGCGCTTTTGGATCAGCATGAAGAGCATCTCCAGACGCTGAAATCTACTAGTCAGACGAGGCTGGAAAGTATCATGCGGCCTTCGTCGTCGTCGTCTTCCCAAAGTAAACCAAGTGCAGGGACGACACATGGTCCCGGTATGTATCTCTCGAGATGGAACGCCCTGCTGGATTCTACCCTCATCTCCCCTGCGACGATTCATGGGCCTGTGCGGAAAGGGTGGGAGGTCAAAGGCGAGTTGGATGGGAAAGGGCTGAAGACTAATTCTACGTTGTTGGACAATAGTAAGGATAGGAAGAGGGATAGAGTGAGTGCCATGATGGCGGATGGGACGGGGGATAAGACGGAGAGGAAAGAGCGGAGGAGAGATGGGTTGGAGGAGGAGAGTATGGAGAGGGTGTGGGAAGGGATGAGGGAGGGGTGGGTGGGCGTTTGTCGGGGGTTGGAGATTATGGGGCCGCGGGAGTGAAAGTAGGGTTTGTGGTTATGGTTTCTATTGTAGACTCTTTTCTCTTCCTTCTTCTTCTTCTTCTTCTTCTTCTTCTTCTTCTTCTTCTTCCTTTGGTTCCTTGCGGACTTTTTGTTATGCATTGCATGAGGGTTTTAACGCACGGAACTTGGCATATATATGTAGACACTGAAGATGAACTTGGGGACGGGATAGATGGATTGTTATCACTTGTTCCTTTCTTTCCAACTTTCTCAGATAGAGATATGATTAATATCCAGACTTTTGCTCTTCATCTTCCTATCTAACCCAAATTTTGAAGCATGGTTCTAGAGAAAGGTAGGTAAGTAAGTCAAGTTCGGCAAGAACCCACATTGGAAAAAAAAAGGCCCATGCGATGCACACAACAGGGAGTCAGGGGCCTACATCGTTAGTAGAAAGCCGGCGCGACATTCTTCTTCCCGTTTCCCCTTTTGCTTCGCTCAATTCGGGTCCCGCGCGGGTCCGCGCGTTCGATTCGGAGAAAGACTTCTCTCGGTCGGCTTCCTTGCAGTATGCAGATCCATTTCTAGCCCACCACACCTCGGATGTCCGGATGTTAGCCGTTGCCGTTTCCGGGCGACCCATCTCGCAAATAGCCCTTGTCATGTCTTGGAACATCATTCCTTGAATGGGGACTGATGATTATGATGACGGTGACAAGACATGTATCTCGTGATCGTGGCAGGTTCGCGATCTCGTGTTCAAGATGCACGCGGCGGGCGGATTGAGAGAGACGATATGGCGGAACGACTCGGATCTGCTGAGGGTCTTGGAATGGTTAACTTGTGCTTTGTCGCATGTTACAATCGCTGTTCATCGATAACATGGAGATATGTATACAGATCGATGATTAAGGTTGCTGTCCAACAAATATTGGTATCTCTACTAGACTAAAAAAAAGACAATGTGAATGGTATCTCGTTAACATGTCCCAAACGCCAAAGCCAAATCGCCAGGAGAGAAACGCCTCTAGCCCATCTCTCACTCTCTCATCTCCAATGTTTATACATGCAACATGCTCAATCCATCGGTACGTACCATGAAATCATGCCATGACAAACTTGCCCATTGCTTCCACATCCGGTATCCTGAACCCAGCTTCTCCATCGCTCCAAGCCACAGTCTCCACACTAACACACCACGCCACAACCACCATCCTCGCCACAAAAGCCACCATCTCCACACTCAACGGTAGCTCAGCCTTCAGCACCTGCTCAACCTGTTTCGCCAGACTCCTTTCTTTGCCGCCGCCGCCGCTCTCCTCTACTGGAAGCGGCGACAGCACACTTGTCTCCATAACCTCAGAGAAGGTGCTCGAGCGATTCGACTGCCTCCTAGGACTACGCCGCGAGGAAGAGGTAGATTGGCGTTTTGCTGACTTGGCAGGTATATCGGGAGTATCAGATACCACCGATACAGGAGAAGTGATAGTCTCGACGCTGCTCTTCCTGCGCGCAGCAGACGAAGAGTGACTAGCAACAGCAGCTTGGTATGCAGATCGTATTTCGGCTTTGGCCGCTTCTTGCACTGCTGCCAGGACATCCTGCGATTTAAGATCCGGGACCAAGGCCATGAGACGTTCGAGCAGCGTGGTGTACCGCGACACACGCGCTGTCTTGTCGGCGAGGGAGTCGGGCGTCGCTGCATCGCTGGCCAATCTGCCAAGACGCTCGCGCTCGCGGAACAGGAGCCCGGCGTTTTGGGGCTCGTAGAGGGGGCCGAAGATGTTCAGGTGCGGAGCGTGGCGGTGCACTTTGTCAATGAGTTGCTCTAAGCGCTGCAGTAGGCGGGCGTGGGGGAGGCCCGCGGATGCGATGAACTGGACTGTTCTGATCAGTGGCGCTGATGCGAGGGGCGCCAGGCCACCAGAGAATGGGAGTGCTGCTATGGCGTCTAATAGTGTGTTTGAGGTGTGGACTTCGGTTGACGTGGCGAGGATGTGAAATCTGGGTTCGCGCGAACTGGGGAGAGATGCGAGGAATTTCGATTGTGCTGTTCGTGCGACATATGGATGAGTGTAGAGAGAAGCGCCTGCCTGTAGCGCCTCGAAAGCTTCGTCGGTGATGAGGATGCTGTTCACGCCAATCTCATCTTGCGAGTATGGGAGGGAGCCGGCTGCGAGGTGCTTTGCAAAGAGCGTTGAAACGCTTGAGCCTGAGGCGTGCCGTTGCGACCTGCTGCGTCTCTGTTGTGTGAGTGTGACTTGGTGTTTGGCGTCTGTCATTGGCGTAATAGCTATCGAGATGCCGTATGCACTGGGTTCAAGCAAGGCGTCCGTGTCGGATCCAGTACTCAGTTGACTTCCGAGTATTATGGATAGCGATGCAAGCTCCCCAGAGGTAATCTTCACACTCATCCTTCCATCCTCATACTTTGCTGTCTGGCCCTCCTTCATCCAAGACCTTTGTGTAGCTTTCTGGGCATCGTCATCGCGCAGCCCACTTCGCATTGGTACTAATGCAGTTGCCGGCCTCTTCACAGATAGGCTTCTAGCCAAACCCATCTCAACCACCGACAGATCCAAGCTCTTCCTCGCAGTCTTGGGGCTAGACTCTCCTCGCTTGACGTTGGACATCGATTTCGACCGCCCAAGGCCCCCTGCAGGCTTCTTTGCTCGCCCAAGGAATTTCGTCATGTCTCCGGTGTATGACGATCGCTCCGAGATCGGTCGGGATCGCAATTCGGTTGCGAATGCATCGTACAGGTTTTCGAGGGGTAGTTGTCCAGGATGACCTTGGAGGTTGGCAAATAACGCGGAGAAAAACAAACCCTCATCCCCGGCTTTTATGATGCCCGACAGGTTTGGCACCCAGTAGCGTTTGCTTGAATCTTGCTTTGGGAGCAACAATCTTTTCCACGAGCTCGATATATGTGTGAGCTGAAGCTGCCCCTCTGTCTTGCCGTCTGTGGTAAACATGTCAGTTGTTGTAGTGGTTTTAGCCTGCTTGTGCTGCAGGAAGAATCGTGTAACGAGTGCCATGGCTGCGACGAAAACAAGTCCAAGTACAACACAAACTGCGATAATATCCTTGGTCTGCATTCTGGATTTGGCGGGCGTTGTACTTTATACAAAATGTCGCTTGTTGTTAGTAGGCCGTTAGACCCTGGCCATTCTGACAGGAGGGTAGTCTTGTCGCCCAATCGGATTGCAGGGAAGTTGCAACTAATCCCAGGAATGCGCTTTCGGGCGACCTGGCTGCCGCTTCCTTCGTCAAGACGATCCCTGACGGTCAGGAGTCATCCATCAGCGCGAATCAGGCTTCCCTGTGGTTCGCACCATTTGTCAGAGATGTGGAGCGAACGAGGCAGTCATCATCTCCCAAAGACAACAGGCTGACCGCAAAGTGACAAACAAACGTGCACGTGTCTCGGTGTTTCTGCAGGGTTGCAGAGAATGTACAATCGAAGCGTCTGGATGCTTGGTTTCCTAGACAGAAGTGCGCTGTCGAATGCTGTCTCAAACATCCTGGCAGTCCAATGTCGCCAGTCAGATCTGAACGTGATTTCCATTGTGCAGATCTTGACATCCTCGCGACCCCACACGTCGATTCAAACTTTGGCTCCACTCGCCTTGAGACTCTTTCTGCCCTGCAGGACGAGCATCGTGGCCAGCGGAGCGTCGGACAACGGCGAGACGAAGAGGGTCTTGGCGCACGGACCCTTCAATGATGCATTTACGCGCGAGAACGGGCTGGAATAAAGCGCCGGAACGGCCACAGCGAATTACCCTTTCTCATGTTTCAATGCAAAATGAACGACCGTGCTTGGCAGGCATTCCAGGCGAGCCCGGCGACGTCATAGGGTGTTGAGATAAGATGAGAACCTTCGAAGCTTAGCAGTTGAGCTACCTCCCCACTGGATGCAGGCACAGGGTAGCTCTCTCGCGACCCACACCCGCAGCGGTAAGCAACGAAGATTTTCCAACACTACCAATGAAATTTTGCACAAAGGATTGAGTTTTTGTCCGCAATCTGAAGCGCCTGTTCTCGAACTGCAAAAAAGCATCGTGAGCGGATCTTGCGGATGTTCGCAACCCGAAAGGCCCGGCGGCTTCAAGTCGGTCTTGCATGATGGACACGGAGTGGGAAAGCCACAAGATGCGGTCAGTCGCACATCCCGCAACGAAAACACCCCGGACGCTGCGTGGAAGGCTGTCATACGCCGTGACATGATCGGTTGGAAATTGGCTAGCCGCATGCGACAAGATTGACAAGATTGCTTCTTTGGTTTGTACGACTGATCAAGTGTGCATCAGCAAACGTCGTTTTGTCAGCGGTCAGCTTGTGGCTTTGGACGATCATCGTGAATCATCGGTGCTGTCCCGGGACTTTGTCTCAATACCAGTAGCTATAGATGTGGCTGTTTTTGAACTCCACTCGACTCGCCGTTTCCTGGTATTAGCCGTATGTCCCGATGAGTTCTTGTACTCTGAAGAGCCTCTTCTGCGACAGTAAGATAGGCATCTGATGTTTGAAGCCTAACAAGACGAACGTACGCATAGAATACATGGCCAGACACTGCCGTACCCGAGGTTTACACGGTTTGCTGTACAGAGGCCGCTGCAACATGGTAGGAATGACGGTTGTGCGGGCTGCAGCCGCACCAACAGTTGTTATCCAATATAAAACACCAGCCATGCCATTCCACACATTAGCGAGATCTGTGCGCTCCAGTGCCTGCAGCAGCAATTCGCTGAGATGGGTTGTGAGCAAGATCTGCCTGTCATGTGGCTCTCTGAGAGATTCAGCTGCCGCCCACAATAGGTTTTGGCTGGGATGAGCAGCGATGGACAAGGGCAATCTGCAGACGATGGACGCAGTGTAGATCATCGCGGTGAGGCGACATGCCTCATAGACCCAATCGCCAGTGCCTTGATGACCCGGAAGATCGGCTGAAGGGAGGAGTGCCAATCGTTCGCGTATTCCAGCCACCTTCGTGCTGTAGTCGGGACCAGTAGAGCTCAGGTAAGCAGCCGATACATCCGCAAGATCGCTTTCAACCTCATTCGCGGCGTTTTTCGATATGAAAAGATCAGTCAAGTCGCGCATATCTCGTAATAGATTACATATGGAAGGTGAGCAACGCTCGTCGTTGGGCACAGTCATGAAGTCGACTCTAGGACAAAATAATGGCGATTCTGGTATTGAGATATCGTCGTCTGCAGCGTAATCCAGTGGTTGCCATGATATCAGTGTTGATAGTGGCTTGGCTTCGCAGACAAGATCGCATTGAAAACAACACCTGAGAGTGGCATTAGATTGTAACCTCGTCGAGTGATGGAAAACCTACGATGCGGAGAGTTCTGCGACGTACGCCTTCTCGAAATTGACCATGCCACCACAAAGGGTGATCAGCTTTGCGATGCCGGATACGTGAATCCGCAGTATGCTTTCGTCGCACCTCCATATCTCTCCGGCCAACAGGTGCACTATGATGATAATGGTCGACGCGGTGTCATACATGTGGGAATTCTGAACTCGCTCTCTTAGCATGTGCATGATCTCGGCACGAACAAGTCCAGTCCTTGTGCTCTCGCCTGGAAGTCCCTCGAGCATGTCAAGCCAGTTGCAAACTAGGAATACTGCACTCAAGAGGACGTGAGGATGGGACATCATAGCAGGCACCCATTTCTCGACATAGGCTTCTGTGCCAAATGCCCGCATACCTAGACACATTAAGTTCCGTACTGGAATGAGTGAAGGGAGCATCAAAGAGACGGTGCACACTGACAGTTGCGCAGAAGGTACACGCTATCCAACCTAGGGTTCTCGAATTGAGGCAGTACCCTGAAAGGATCAACCCCATCCCCGATCTGGCAGAAAGTGGTCGCTAGTAGGCGTATCTTGTTTCCTTCCTGGCTCTCGGTGTATTCGTACTCTACTATCCTCCTGCATACCCTGGATTGAGATTTCCGAAAGCTTATGTCGCCGCTGGGTCGAGGTAATTGATCGCCATCAGATGCGGAAATCTCGCTTGCGTCTTTGAGCGACCTTGTCCTTGTTGATGCAAGGGTATCGACTGACTGCTTGTTTGTGTAATGAACAAGCGTCCCAAACGCACTGGGCACTGGAGTTGGGGTAAATGAGTGTGCTCTGGTGTTCGCAGGCCTAGCCTGTCCAGCGATCGTCGGCGCCAGTACCCTTTCGGGCCGTTTCGCAGTGGTCGTCTTTCTATTGTTTGGCTTGTTTCTATGATACCTCATCGCCTGGGAGCGGACGCTACGCCTAGCATCTCCATCTTTGAATTGTGAGGGATCCGTCGCTGTAACGAAATGAAGCGTAAAAGGTCCATCGCGCTTACCCCGGCGACGCGTCACTTTTGCTTTCATGCCGAGCGCATTCGGCAGAATTTTGCTTTGTGACGGGGATTTTGTACTGACAAGGGATGCAATACCAATGCAAGGTAGCGCAGCTGCAGCCTCGCTGGTGGACGTCGAGAGTGAAGTCATGGATGCAGATGTTATCTTGGTGCACCAGCGTGCCAAGAGGAAAAGTGGGGTCGAATGTCCTCTGTGATGTAGAAAGAGCACCTTCAGGCTCTTCACATCTTTTTAACTCTTCGCATCTATCAGCCAAGATTGAGGATACAGCATGGCGACCGATTTGGATGCTTACCGGTTGAAATCGCTTCCAGGGCTGGACCGCCACAGTGCATCCATCTACGGGTTTGTCGCCCCGCATCACCGGTACCATCTGCATCAGGATGCGTCTCGGGATGCAGTTCTTCGGAGGACACCATTTGTGGGACTTTCGGCTCCTCTCCAAGATTGCATGATCTTGTTGACCAACAGAAGATGCCTTGAATATCGCCAGTTTCTGATGGATAAGCTCATCTGCACGTCGACGATTTCGCTAATAGTCTTCCCACAGCCTTGCCAAAGTCAAACAGCAATTGCCATATTTCGGCCCCGTAGCTCTGTTTGGAGATACCGGTCTGACCCTGTTCAGCTATGAATAGAGGCTTGTCTTCTCTTGCACACCCAACCACTTCCAAGGACCTGCACTCGTTGATAGCAGCCGGCCGGATCGTTTCGCCGCCACCGAAAGCCCCCGCCATCACCATCTCGGGTCGCTCACCAAACATGTAGTCGCAAGGTAGATACGCCCCTAAGACCTCCGTCAGCGTTAGGCTTTCTTCCGAACCAAGTCCACACACCTCGGCTTTGGAGCTCCGCTCGAGCCTTCCTTCTAGCCTCGTCCCATCGCTCATGGTCGATCAAGCTTGGCGCCTTATACAGTTTTTGTGATAGTGTATTCGGACTGAAGGGCATGGGTAAGAGCCGGCGCACGTGTTTCAAAGCTTCCGATGCCTTTTCACCTTTGCAGAACATCCTGTACTTGACTTCTGGTGCGACATAGCGACCATCTGGCAGATCGTACAGTACGCGATATTGCTGTTCAGGTGTAAAAGCATCAATATCGCTAAGAAATCGCTCCGCCATGTAACCGTGGAAACTCATGGCGATTCGAGTCACGCTTCAAGTAATAACTAAGTACAGTTGTGAGGACCGCGCATTCGCCTGGGGAGAAAGATAGAACTATCATTTGGCAAAGCTCTTTGACGGCGCGAGTTCAAGATAAAGTGATGGTCGTTTGATCTCCTGACAGCATCAAACGGCTTTATTGCAAAGTATGCCTTACGACAAACGAGATACACGCACCATTGCTATCACCACTAGAAAGGAATAAACTCACATGGCACCTGTGTACGGCCAAGTTGCGACCTTGCATTGAAGAGCTTTGAACCTTGGACATGGAGCCAACGCGTCCATGTAATGTGACAGCCCACATCCTTGTCCTACATGAACGGACTGCTTCACATCAGTCAATACTCACAGTGAAAACTGATTTGCTCGTTATAAGAGATTTTCGCATTGCCGACGCCGTATACACATGACGCATCGCGAGCACCGGCAATCATTCCAGACTTTCCAACAATTTAGCAACCCTCTCATCCGCAACAGCACTCTTTTTGCGCAAATCTGTAGCTTCTCTGAGTGCTTTTACAAGCTGTTGACGTGACGAATCATATTCAGGGTTCTCAGTTCGTCGTGGCTGTTCCTCGGTCTTGCTCGAAGGTCTACCATTTTCTGTAACGGCTTCTGGATCCACATTCGATGCGCGCCTTGACGGCTGGTCTTGAGCCCGAGCTGTCTCAGAGTGCAAACCACGCAGCACATCCCATTCACTGATATAACTCTGGTCTGCAGCAACAAGGCTCGACAGTGCGTAAATGCCATAGCACAACGCAAGACCAATAACGTATACGATAAAGACAGCTCGGCTGGCACTAGGCCCAGCATTTTCGTCGAGATTGCGTTTCCATACGTAACCGAAGTATACTCCAAGGCCAACGAGAAATGCGTTCAAGGATGCTGAAAGGAGCATATTCGGGGCCGAGACAGTTAATACGGAAGCAGCTGAAGGCATGAATAGTTGAAGTGAAGATTCGACGGGAAGTAGCCTCATCTTCGTTGGATGAATCCACGCTTTGACCTCATCTGCGTGTAAACAACGCCCAAGTTTACGATACTGCCTTGTTGCATAGTACACGGCCATGGTTGCTGATACGAGACTAAAAGTAAAGGAGGCTCGAGCGACCCAATGTGTGTTACTAAGATCGGCCAGAGATAGCGCAGTGATGGCGATCTGGGCTACAATGGTGCCCTGTACAAGTCTAGTCAGTGTTGTGTACGGTTTCCAATGGAGTCCGGTCACTCACAGCAACAGCAATAATACTGCTGTCATCCTGAGCAAGCTTCTTGAATTCCATTGCGTCCAGTTCGTTTGAGCTCTGCAACGCTTGCAATTGGATTCGCCATACGTCGCGATCGCCAAATAGCCACAAGATAGGTCCTACGATCCCGTAAAATCTCAGGAAGAAAACAGCGACTGAAACCTTAGATGTGATCGTCCGCGATGTAGCAGAAACGAGTTGAATCACGGATGCCACAGCCCCAATGATGGTCAAAGCTTCCATTTTGTTGGAAAGTATGAAATAAGGATGAGTATACGCTTTAAAATTGTTGCCTAACGTAGGTGTACAGTATTTTTCGTTTGGAGTATGTGTCTGCGGCTGGAATGTTGCAAAGGCTGAGATGAGTACTGGAGGGCTGGGCTTTATGGCAGGCCTAAGGCGGGGCAAGCGTATCTAGGTATCTGAGAGCATGCGTCAGGATGCAACATGACTATTTTTAACAATCTCTGCTATTGGCGTGATGCCGACGGCTGCATGTAGTGAAGCCAGCCTTGGAAGTGTCTGGGAATGCACTTCTACCTCGATACGATACAGTGTAACTCAACGGCTTTGTGCCTACCTCTTATGATCAGCACGTCCATCGAATCAATAGGCATAGTGCCGAGGCTTTTACGCTACTGTATGTAAAGTACAGCTTAAGCTTGGTGTTCTACCAGGCGTGATTTGGCGAGCGGCCAGGTTAGTCCTGTGTGCGGGGAACCTGCTGGAACTCACACCCAGCAGCCTAAATCGACCTGCAGAGCGTACAAACATAACCTCCGAGATCCGAAGCCCCCTCATATGACTGGAATTCCAATGGGGATACGTTGCCGCACGTAAATAGGGGGCACTAAGCAGAAGAGCGATAGTCCCTACCTAGATATCAACGGAAAGTCCAACAGCACGCCCAACACCTCATTTTCCTCAGTCGGAGACTATTAGCAGCCAATTCTTGACTAGCTAAGTATAATGCGAAATTGCGCATTATCTAATAATATAGTAGGTCGCACATCTTGTTTAGTAATTTTATCTATTGTACAAGCTTTATCTTGTATGGTAGATAGAGTAAAAGATAGACAATTCTATTAGGCTACGCTAGGACTTAGTGTCTTTAAGCAAATATACATTAATAAACTCTACATTCTCTAAGCTAAGATGCTATACGAAAAGGTTGCGCCTAGAGTATGTGCTCTAGTTTCTGCAGCCGCAACCGCATGTTGCCTTAGCTCGTCAAAGGGAGTACAACAATTCAAGAGGCGTTTAAGAAGTTGGGTAATCAAGTCTTGTACAGCGGACATAGCAACATACAGACTAACTAGTATAATACAGAATACCGAAATGCAAGTCTGGGATTTAGCAAGCGATGTAAGCATTATTAAAAGAGTGCCGTTGTCGCAAGCACACACGAAGGCGAAGAGGGCTGCATATCCTATGGGTATGTTGTACCGCATCGTATGTAAAGTATCCTCGAAATACAATATGAATTGAATACTCCCGACTAATACAATTTTCGGTGTAACAGTACATTACTCAACAAGATACAGAAGCTGACCAATTTATCTCTCCTACACGCGTAATCAGTTGTTGGGTAAGAAATCTTGGATCCGAACATTTCGGATCGTAGTTCCTGTGTATGCGTAGAACGACTTTGTGTCAATCCTGTCGCTTGGCTGCAACTGGGGCGGAAAAGTGTAGCTCATGACCGACAGAGGGTTCCGTATTCCCCATACCACCAATGGACCGGCGCCTTCTCTCTCTGGTGCAAATTCGTGTCTTAGCCCCAGAACATGTCCGAGTTCATGGAGGAAGACGTTGTACAGATAGTTGACATATCCCGACTGGAAAGCCTTCAGATAGACGTACATGTTATTTAGATCCTTCGAATTCGGGAAGAATGCTCTCGCAAGCGTGTCACCACCATTGCCACCGTACCCAAGGACAAAGCAGGCGTCTTCTAGAACACCGACCCACTTGAACGTAACGCCGAGGTTGAGAGAGTTCCACGTAGTTGCAGCCTGGTTGAGTCGGTAGGCGGCAAAAATAGCATGGTTGTTGCTTGGCCAGCCTCCAGCGTACACGGCAAAATTGACCGTTGTATTCTTCCTCCAGCGGGGAATAGTGCCGTAGAGTCCCAAGATGATCGATGTCGGATCTGAAGTTGTGGGCGTATCACTGCTCTGCGCTTGAGTGACGCAGGGGTATTTGCCCTCCCCAATGGCAAGGTCAGACGTGGAAAGAGTTGGTGCCAGTCTTTGAAAAGTCTGTTCTACGTAATCGGGGTCGAGAACTGATATGTCTTGATTTCGTTTTTCCATTTTATCCTTCATTCCTCTGATCCTCCTTTTCTTCGCTGTTTCCTGCGACCCGGTGTCTTCGCCATCTGTGGGCAATGGGCTTCCTGCATCGCTTCCGCCTAACTTTTGGATGACATTCTCCCAGTCATCGCCTGATTCACTCACTGCATTTTTCAGCACGCTAAGTAGCTTCTTCATCGAGTGATTTTCGTCAGACATTGTTGACGATGAATCAGATGACTTTGGATCTGTTCCACACCAATCTCCTGGATCACACTCCAGCTTAGTATATGTAGGGAGATAAACGCTACTATAGGCGGAGGTAATAAAGTATGAGCTCGTCTGATCAATTTGAAGATTTTCCAGAGAGAACAGATGACACAGTATTTATACTCAAATCAAATGCCTCTCAATAGCCTCCAGGTCTTGATGCAATGAACTAAAGATAGAACACGACGAATCCTAAGATGTTGAAAGAACCTCAGCTGATATCTCCCCAGCTGAGGAGTTACGCGTTCACGAGATAGGATTGAGACGTGTGAAGGCGGGGAAGGTAGCAATAGGGTCTAGAACTGCTCAACATGCTACGGCTCCCCTCTCAGCTGAATGATGGAAGCTGCTCGTGACTGATATGTGCGGATCTGATTTGCGCCCACCGTCCTTGTTGGACTTGTCAACATCCTCCGCGCACTCACTATAGCCACAGAAAGCAATGACGTAGCCGAAAGCTCTACGATCGTACGATGCTTATGTAGTCTTAGCTTCATATGCAGTTGTGTTTCACAGACCCGACACGTGATGGTTATCACACTGTCGCCAACTCGTCCGACACTTCAAACCTTTGTTCCTGAACTTTCTGCAGATGCGGCGTGAGACTTTCTGCAGATGTGTTAAGCGAGTTGGATAAATCACCAGCTCGTACACATAGCTGAGGAATCGCATTTATCATCTCGCAACAAAGCTTACTGGACAGCTCACAAGTTTTTATTCTTGATTGGTGTGCCTCAAATGTCTCAGGCACGCCGCTATACCCAAACTTGCAAAAGGCCTCTCATACCTAAGGAGGCTAAGATCGAGAACCTAAATCCTAGGCTTCATTCTTCTTAACATATAACTCTAGTAACGGTAGAAATATCCTGTTTTGAAACGTGCTACGGGTTACAGCGCGGCCATCCCAAGAGTTTGGCCAGCTCAGTGGCAGATCACGTTAAGATGAGAATCTTATCTAATCAATTTTGCCAACTGCTTGATCTCAGAAATAAGATTGACAAATTTAAATCACACGTGAGAGGCTCTCATCTGGAAGCAGAATCTATAGCAGCGGAGTGGTGTGAGCAGAGATTTTCGAAACATATGTTTTAGCGCCTAAAGGTTGCCGCGGCCAGAAACTTCGAATTCTCATTAACTAAAAGCATTCAGAACGGATGCTGAGAAGCTGGAAAATTGAGGCTGAAGTCAAGTGCAGATCATGCTGAGCCAAGCTTCTTCTGGTTCCAACCGGCTTGTGTGGAGTATGGTACGACGAGGCAGCGGAGCTGCCGTTCACGAATAAAGCAACAATAAAAAAGCGGGGCCTGGCGACCCTGCTAGCACAAAGGCTTTGTACGATTAGCTAGCTCTATAGCAAGCTGAAGCGAACTACAAAAAGATGTTTAACAACGAATTGCTGAAGAGGATACCTCTAGCAGCTGATTACGACATCTTTAATAGGCATTGACCACCCATTAAGGGTTTAGATCACAACCAGAAGGTCGTGATCCAGATTCCAACCGGCTTCCGCTATAGTCACATAGGAGCCCCATACTTACCTGCGTTATCTACAAGCAGCTGCCTGGAATTTCACAGCTCATCCAAAATAGTGGAAGTCCGCTCGTCAGCTTCATGATCAGAGCTTCAGCATAACATTTCAGATAGGCGAATAAGCGTGATGCCAGTACGAACTATCCATAGGTATCGCTGGATCATGACGAGGGGAGACAAATGAGAATCAACTGCCCAGGGAACGCATGTAAGAAATTGCATCGTAAAGTTAAACATTAAAGTTTGCTCCTTGTTCAACAAATGTACAGTCAAAGGTGCTTTCCGTCAACTTCCGGAATGCAAAACATATCAGGGCGTTCACTGGTCGTTGGGAGCAGGCCCCGCTGCTATTTCACAGGTTTCTGTAGGTCGCTGAGAAGCCATTGAAGGTTTTTAATTCGTGATCCAGGTGCAGAGGCGCTAATCTCACTCATTGCATGCTTATCGGTTGTTACTAAGGTTATCTGAAACTCTTGGTTCCGGACTAGGCAACGCCACCCCCGCTTCACACCTCTGCTACGTGCGGGCTAACGACATGGACCCGGTAGTTTAACAGATACAATATCCTTTGCTGAGTGCCTCAGTCCACAGTATCACATGTTGGGCTGCGACAGAAGTAATGCAATAAAACGTCACATCTAACAGACGGCTGCCGATTAGATGGCAGGGTTGGAGATACGCGCCCGGATTTCCCATTGATAACAATCGTGCTGATTGTGGACATTTTCTTATGAATGGTACTTCTTATCGTGCGTATATCGCTTAGAAACTACCACTGAATTTCCAGTATGCCGTCTGACCAAGCTCTTCCAATCCCGCAAGCCACACTTCACATCTATCCAAGTGACCGACGTGTCAACGTGACAGACAAACTCGGATTACTCGATTACTTATCCGAAGTTTACGGCGAAATCTTCCAATTCCACCAATTAGGTCACAAGATTATCGTTTGTTCGTCCTACCGTATGATAGATGAGCTTTGTGATCCAGCCCGCTTCGATAACACATCCAGTGGAGCGCTTGAGCAAGCAAGAGTATTGACCAGAGACGTACTATTCACTGCCAATCCAGATGACAAGGTTGGTAAACAGTGGTAAACCAGAGAACGCGTATGTATACTCACAGAGTCTTACAGGCCTGGGAGGCTGCGTATCGCATATTGATACCCTTCATTGGCCCAACCGGTTTTCAAAAGGTAAGAAGCTGCGTATGGAACATCTGTACAGTTAGCCTACTAAAGACACTACAGATATTTGGCAGCATATTGCGGTTCGGAAGACTGACGCCCGTCCAGTGGGCTTACTCAAGGCCATCCATGGAGATAGTGTGCGCGGATGAGGTTACGAGGTAAGTAGCCTGGGCGTTGTCACGGAACTTCTGCTAAATCCATGAAATAGGACAGCATTTGACAGGCTTAGTTTGTCCGCATTGAGTTACAGCTTCAGGAACTTCTATACCCCTGTGTCTTACCCTTATTGCGGGGACACCGCTGATATTATGCTTGATTGTAGACTCATCGATCATGAAGTCGCTGTCAAGCACAGATCGAAATGGTTCCTTGCCCCCAGATTTTTCAGCGACATGACCAGAGTGCAGGAGTTGTGTGATGATGCTATTGAAGCTCGCATTGCAAATCCACAACCAGATACTCACGACCTCCTCAATTTCATGTTGAGCAGAGTCGATCCGAGAGCCAAAATGAAGGTGATGCAAGAGTCCGTTCGCAGCAACATGATCATGTTTTTGGTTTCTGGGCATGAGGCAACCAACAACATCCTGAGTCTCTTGTTCTACTAGTGAGTGGTGCTTCTACACTTTCATGTGAGTATACTAACTCCGGTTTCTGCGCAGCCTACTAAGAAGCCCCGAGAAATTCTCTAGGGCTCAAAATGAAGTTGATATGCTGTTGGGCACTGACCCTCTCATCCCAGAGCATCTTTCTCAATTAGCTTACGTGAGATCTTCCGTATATGAGGCGTTCCGATTCCTGGGCCCAGTCAAGACAGTAGTCAAGCATGCTCTCAAACCGACAAAGCTTGCTGTGAGTAACTCTTGAGCTACCTACTATGATAGGCTGTTGATGAGATCTAGGGGCGATACTTCATTGAGTCAGATTCAAACATCCTGCTGAATGTTCACGGGCTGCACCAGGATCCTGAGGTCTGGGGCAAAGATGCCAATGTCTTTAGACCAGATCGCTTCCTCGATGGATCTTGCGACAGTCTGCCTAGAAATGCCTGGATGCCATTCGGAGAGGGGCCAAGAGCGCACATCATCCAGCAATTTGCCGAGCAAGAGTTGGTCGTAATGGTTTCGTTAATGCTTCGGAACTTCCAATTTGAATTGGAAGGCTCAGCCAGTAAATCTTGTAAGGACAACTTGCCTGTGTTTACTGCCCATACTCACGTGTCCCAGACACCAGCATCACACCTGGAGCAAATCCGAATACTTTCAGACTCAAATTGTTCAGAAGATCGGGACAATCCATGCCGATTTCCGCTGGTTTATGTAAAGACTACGTCAATCACGCGTGGTCAGAATTTTGGAAATGGAGCATCGTTCCAAGTACAATTGTTGATGCATTGCGTCACTCTGTTATCGATGCGCCTCAACCTGCGCCTCGATTCAGCGATTCCGCCGTTGTTTATGGCATCGTCAAGGCGAATAGAAGTCTCGGCAATCCGAAAGCGGGAATCTTGAGGAAGCACATCGAGATAAAGCTTCCATTCGGTTCATCCTACCACACGGGGGATTATATGATGGTGTTGCGTGTCAACAGTCGGATGAAGATTCGACGCGTTCTGAAACGGTTCAGCTTATCCCCCGACGATGTTGTTTCAACTGCAAGCATTCCGAAGGCTTTCTTCTTAAATAGTGGCTCCATTTCTGTACTGGATCTTCTGACGACACACATGGATTTGCACACACTTATCTCACAGGAGCACATTGTGACTTTAATCAACGCGACACCAGTGAGATCACGCAACAATTTAGCGAAATTGCTAGCGGATGATGCTGATGAAAGATATGTTCTGTCAAGGTGCCCCAGCATTCTAGATGTACTCGAGGACCACCCTGAGTGTAGACTCTCATTCGCGGACTACGTTGGCATGATTGAGCCAATAAAAGCCCAGCGGTACAACATCTCGTCAGCACCTGTTGCCAACATCAAGATCACACCCACTGCTCACGGTACGGCTCCGCAGCTGAAGGTATCCCTGACATACGATGCCCACTCTGAGCAAGTCTGGTCGAAGACTGATAGTCTCTTCTTCGATGCGACATCGACATATTTAGCTCGTTTGGAGGCTGGAGATCGGGTGCGGTTCTTCATTCGCAGCGTCGATACAGCATTCCAAATGCCAATTGATCCTACGACGCCCGTCATCATGGTCTGTGCCGACATTGGTTTCGCGCCAATGCGCGGATTCATCCAAGAGCGCGCAACTATTCGCAAAGTACTCAAGGTCACACTCGGTCCTGTGATTTTGTACTTTGGTTGCCAACATTATCAAGAAGATTATATATATGAAGATGAGCTCACAAATTGGGAAAACGATGGCGTGGTGAGCGTGCGACCGTGCTTCTCGAGGGTCGGGCCTAAGGGCTGTCACAAGTATGTACCAGAACGTATGTGGGCTGAGCGAGAGGAATTAGCACATCTGTTCAATGCACAGGGTGTGAGAATACTAATGTGTGGGGATGCAAGTAAGCTTACCAAGAGCGCGGCAAATATGTGCAAGAAGATTTGGCTCAGTAGTCATAAACAGAAGACCGAGCGAGATTCGCAGATGTGGCTTCGAAGAGTTGAAGCAGAGCAACGAGAAAATTGTGCATTGTGATAATAGAATAGTGGCATTCCAAAATTAGTTCTTCCCCACTCCAGAGGCTATGGATACTGGTGAACCCATAGACCAGCCTTGTTACATTTCGATGGTAGAGGTTTACGACGTTGTTCTAATTCTGCTTCTTTTCTAAATAGAAAACTGGGTTCTTTAACAGTTAGAGTCCAACTGTGCCGTAGTTCAACGAGACCTATGCTGTCCTTGAGTTGCTCATACTCGTCTCCGCGCCTTTCTTCCTCCCTTATGTTCATATGATGCGTCGCAAGCACGGAAATTTACTCCGGTTTCTCCACCACATTACTTGTAACACTTTTAAGCTAGTTACTGTAGCTTTCTTTCTAGTAATAGGCTCCTGGGGGCATTACTACGCGATTTGTGCGCCTCGTACGAACTATCCCCTTCTTGCATGTGCTCTTGTTAGTGCTAACATCGCATCTTTTGTTAAGGGGAGATTTTTGCTTATCATTTGTAATACAATCGATTCGCGATAGAGCTTGGTCTGTCGGGAAGAAATCACATTATATCTGTGCCTTTTTAACACTCGCTAGCTTACCAAAAGACCAGTTGAGATCACGGATAGCATTTTCGTTGACTTGTGCAGCTTCAGAGGTTCTGTCGCGATCTGGATTAGATGACCGAGTAACAGGGCGACCGAAGACTAGGTCGCTGAGCTCAAGTAAATCCTTCGTCTGTTTTCAACTGCGTATAATATACGAACAAATCACTGGCTCTACATCCCATCTCTTAAGCCTAGACCGACCCATCTCTTTTCTAAATTCATGCTATTCCACTGATATTGTACGGGTGTTGGAGTGTATGAAGACACTATCACGAGCATGTCGAAGCATCTCTTCAGCACAGCGAAGGGGAGAAGGGTGTACAGGTGTTGTATAGCTGTATTCGAAAGCTGAAAGACTGTGGTAATGCCTGTGTAGGCTTCTAGTATACAAGATGAAGTTTCAAAAGCAAAGATCGCATGGAGTGTGTTGGTGTTGATGAGGTGATTGAGTGGTTGATCGGTCGATGCCACCAGCAAGTGTGTAGCCAGCATGGAAGATATACTCCTCCAGACTGACTAATCACTCTATGCACCGTCACAATATTACTCCTACTTGGTGCAGAACTGCTTCTCCTGGTCTTACTGAAAATTCTGGACGGCACAAGGCGCACGGAATTGAACGTTCCACGCGCTAACAGAAGACCATTTGCCACCAGCGTTGCAGGCAACGTTGTCACTGTTTCGATGGGCGTCTTTGCAGACCGTAGCGCAAGGCACGTTAGCACCTTGGGCGCTCTACGAGAACGGATAATTAGCTCGCTTTTACTATCGTCCTTTCTAGTGCATTAAGGGACTCACGGTAGCAGCGCAGCAGTGCGAGCCGTCTGAGAAGTTGCACTGGCAGGTGTAGGAAGCCTGCGCCCCAAAGGCGATGGCGAGGACAACTGCGACAGCAGAGAGGATGCGGACCATATTGACGACGTTTTGAAGAAATCTGAATGTGGTTGAAAGGAATTGGAGTCTTTGGGATATATGAGAGAGTTGCGGATTGTTGGCTTGATACCCCCTTTCAATGCCGGATGTCGCTGATGTTTTATATTCATACGATCGATTGCATTTTAATGCGAAGCGGTGTGCTACTGCATCCAACTTTGCGTTTCATTCTGCCAACAGCTATTTCATCATGCGGTGCTTGGGTGATCCTAGGTGTTTGCGCCGCACTTGCTCGAGGAGCAATTTCGGAGGCCTTGTCCAATCAAGCTTCTCGCATACTGTCCGTTGGCGCCGTCGCGGGCGATTGTGAGAGATCAAGAACTCACCGGTAAACTCCTCGATGTAGTCTCAGTAGCAAGTTTGAGGTTCGCTTACACTAAGTAGCTTAGCTGAGATAACAGCCCATCTAGAGCTGAGCTTTAGGCTAGACACTATATTAGTATAGTGGATCCCGCTATGAAGCATCCTAAGGTTGTTTTTCGTGAAGAACAAGATTCGTGCGCGTCTACCCAATCAGAAGAAGGAAACGATTTCCACGAGTATTTCAGGGTTTGCTATACCAAAAGCACTGCGCAAAACATAGCTTCGGATACAGCTTAGTAAACTCGGACACTCTAGCAGTCTATCGTATTGCGCCAGGGATAATATCTCGAAATGACGAGTGGACGCGCACGGGCTTGATTCTTCACAGAAAGCTAGTCCTTTATTAGCATAATCTGTTCTACTGATGCATGTCCTCCGTGACAAATCTCGCGTCTAGTGTAGACCCAAACCACAGCGCTCTTTTATTGGTTCGCCGCAGCACTAATTCTCCGTTCGGCGTTTTAAGCAGTAGCATGAAAACTATAGCGACTACCGCGATCCTGAATCTAAGTGAAAAGGGCTGGCACTAGGAGCACTCTAGGAATAGCACGCCGGCAGCAAGGCCAGGTATACTGTGTTTGTATCTAATAAGGAGCTATCGGTTTATATAAGCTGGTGCTTATCTACCTGTAGAAATAACGTAGGTCCGTAGTGATCTGAGCCTCTGTAACAGGCAGGAGCCTGAGATGAGGAGCCTCGGGACTAGGGTGGTCATCTAAACCTGCCCGGGATTGCGCTGAAGCTCATTTGAAGCATTAGATACCATCAGGAACTCGCCTGGAGCTCAGGTCCGCCTACATCCCAATAACCATCGCATCTCAGATTAACTTTGATGATTGATTCATCTTCACCTGATCTACTGGCAAGCATCTCTTGATCGGCCCGTTCCAGTGTCCACCGGCATTCTATCGAGGAGGTCCACCAAAGGGCGGTCAGCCCGTTACGCTAACTGCGTCAGACATCAACTGGTCTCCTATCCCAAAAGTCACCGAAGTAACATATGTCCCAGTCGGTGAGATAGTTCAATATCTATAAAGCGTCTAAGAGAGTTCCTTTTTGGAGGAGTATCTGCGACTTTCTTATCAAATCAAGTCATCTCCACCTACCTCTTATCGACTCAAGTCATCTCCATCTACCTTCTACCATCCTCAATCGAACCACAGCAAATATGGTGCGCATCTCTACTCTTGTCGGACTTCTCGTCACCATGGCCATGGGTGCTCAGGCTGGCTTGTATTGCCAGTGTCTATACTCGGATGGTTCACACTGCTGCGTTGCAGTAAGTCGCTCGAAGCCTTCACAACAAGTTGGTCTACCAAACTCTAACTAGAATGTTTAGGACAACAACGGTGGATGCACTGCAACCTGCTTAAATGCCAAGCCTGTTTTTGAATCCAAAGGTTGCAATGCTGGCGGAAAATACTCCGATGTGAGTGCTTGGAACGGTCAGTGGCGCACCGGCTGCGCCGACTAGAAGAGAACAGGCAATTGCGTAAAACCACTAGGTTTAGTCTTGGCACCTCAGCAATATCCTTCGTTTAAAGTACTCAACTAGCGACTATAATCAGCGAACGCACAATTACAGTAGCGACTCTTAGCATGCATGTGTCTGCATTCGCACCCTTTTCCCGTGCTGTATTCTATTGTGATAAACTCAGCGCTATGCCCACTCTGCAGCACCAAGAGATTGATGTGGCACGTGCTGCTAATTTTCTAGAAGCATCCAGAAGCACGTACATAGTCTTGTCCTAGGCTGATTTGACATGCTCACCGCGCAGTGTCCTTGATTGCTGGTGTCGTCTCAACACAATCAGTAAGATACATAAACGAAGTGTCGAAGGCTAAGCAACGTCGGCAACCTCATTACTAATAACGCCGTGCGATGACCTTAACATAAGCTGAGCTCACGTCTATCCCTGCGTCACGCAAAATCTTGTAGGCCGAGAACGACAATCTTTTGGGTCCGCTCTCGGCCGGACTGCACGATATACATTACGATATCTGTCACAGCTAATTCAGTAATAAATGGAATGCAGATGGACATCTGAAAGGACCGCAGGTAAGAAGGAGTCAGGACGGACGTTGGGTTTTAAAAACGGCCTTTGGTGTCGGTGATTTGCTGTCTCCGATCTTACACCACTTACGGTCGATCTACGTCGATTAATCGAACGTTGCGCATTCGGTCCTCTCGTGTCTTTGCGCCCCCACCCCACATAATCTAGTTCAAGAAACCTCACGGACATGAGAGAGGGCCCGATTGACAAAAAGTATCTAGTCAGGAGCATGATTCGGAAGGTTGTCGTACAAACGTGGTACCCATATGATGTACGATGGGAATCGTTCCGAATACACTCCTTTGTTTCATAAGGGCTGTCAAAACGCCCCCTTCAACGTAGATGTCACTTAATACACACACACACACACACACACAACCTCCCATCTTATTCCAATCAATAAATTTCTACATTCTCACAACACTACGTGTTTCCAGCTCAATCAATCAAAATGCGCTGGGCCATTCTCGCCTTTGCTCTCGCTGCTGTAGCGATCGCTACCCCCGTTAGGCCAGAGGGCGAAACCTTGGTTGTAAGTCTCTTATCCCAGATACCCCCTCTATCCTTCTATGACAGCCAAACTAACTATGTCGTTCTCGCGATTGTAGCCTCGAGCTCTCGGTTGTGACTCTGCATACTGCGGCTGCTGGACCGGATGTGGTGGCAATGCTGGTTGCCAGACCTCATGCTTCAACGGACACTGCGCCAACACGTTTCCCGAAGGATCGTCGGTTCCTTCATGCTAGACTGGAGATTCTAAGATAGAGGTTAAGAGGTGATTGCCATGTTGGATGTTGAGTATTGTGTGCGGATGTGGCAAAAGGAGGGCGACCTTCCATTTGCGAGGTGTAGAACGAGAATATTAGTAGTGTTCAAGGAGAGAAGCAAGAAGTCAGGGTGTTGTAATGTAGTTAATTAAAGAAATGCACAACGCCCTCAGGTCGCAAACCGATCGCAGCTTAAGATTCTTTTTGCTGCCGCTGGGTGGCTATGTGACTGATTGTTAGTTTGGCGAACCCCTGAACCTATTATAAGTGTGGCTTTGGAGTGTGCTACAATTGGTGTTCTATTCTGCTTCTTTTCTAGATTGAAACTGGGTTCTGGAATAGTTAGAGCCCAGCTGTTCCGTAGTTAGACGCAGATACTATTACAGCACGTCCAACATCGGAATCTTTTCATTTAGACGTTATCATACACGAAGAATAACAGTTGCGGAACAAAATCACATATAGTTTGGATTTGTGCAATCACCCTAATTAGGCTGATGCCGAGGGTTCAGATAGAAAAACAACTCGCTACACAAGGTGTCCCACTACGCATGAATCGACGTTGTGTCAAGCAGAAGAATCAAATTCGAGAATTTTGAGCGGCGTCTAGCCATGATATTTTGCAGTTCGTAGTACTATTGAACGGTTTTCACACAGTAATCTCATATGCTCTATCTGCTCAGCCTCGCCAAAGCGACTCTGATCTCCTTCCTATATGCGTCCTCCACAACATAGCATCTTAACCCTCTCTTAATCTCCCTGACGCGCTTTTGCTTTGCCAGGATCTCTACAGGTTTCTCTTCAAGCCCATACTCTCCTACATTCACACCAGTCGGGCTGGATTCAGTGAGAACAGCGGCAACCTTGACAACCAGACCCTGGGTTGGTACACTCGACACAAAACATTTTTGCGCCTTGACGCAGACTTGAGTTGTCTTCTTGATCTCTGCGTCGGAGTACTCGATGATCGTGGGCGAGGCGGAGAAATAGTTGCCTATGTAGGAAATGGCTCGCTTGAAAAGAGTGGATGGCGGTATCGAAGGAGCAAGAGGCGGTGCGGTTGTAGGGCCAAAATATGAACCAATACTATCATTATCCTCAACCACCCCAGCAATCGTTCTAGTAATGTTCGCTGTCGGATGCTGCGCGAGGAGTGTATCAATTCTTGCCTGGACTTCGGGGTCAATACCTGGAGGTACGTTTGGCAGTGATTGGTCGGAATCTGTCATGGTTGGAATAGAAGACAACCACGTGTAATCGTACTATGTTTATTCAGGAACATTGTGAGGAAGTAGGGCTTGATACCGTAGGAAACGATTTTACCAGCGGGCGTTGTGGAAGTGAAATGACGACACACGTCAGCAAGGCGGGAAATAGAGGTTTAAGGAGTGAAGCGCGCAGTCAGGGAACCCAAACGTGCGATATGGGTAACATGCGAGAACGAAGAGCAGCGAACAATGCGCGGATTGACAAATTCAGTTGATGTGGATGTGCAACGTTGGACAACGCGTCTTTCTTGAAACAGCATAGCGTTTATCATAACGCTGGTGAGGACGCAATGCAACTTTGGAATGCTAGGCCTATGATGACATGAATACGTCGAAGCGATATGTTTGTCAGCATAAATGGCTGTACAAAACCCTGCGTCCTCTTTTTTGGTTCTCCTGATCCTCACAGCCACACATCTATAAGCGAATATGTCAGCCGCATCGACACCATCGTCTTCTCCAAAGAAATCACCACTACATATTTCGCTCTCGCTATTAGCTCTGCCTACAGTGCACCGCGAGTGCACATCCAGTCCTTCGCGATGGTCAGATTGCACGCCCAAGACCTTTCATGGGTTCATAGCTATGCGCACGTTCACACCCGTCGAGGAACTTCGCGACTGCCGGAATGATGGTCAGACTGCGTCGAGTGGCGACTATTTCTCAATGCAAAAGCATAGTCAGATGCTTTCTCCTAACCCGACACCATATGAAGCGCATGGCTACTTACCACTTTGTTCTGTTGCGGCGGTTGCGGGGAACGCAGTCGACTACTTTGTTAACAGAAATGATGCATCAACGGAGTCTGCGGGTCTAGTCGAAAGTACGGATTCCTACATTTTAGAGATTGTAGATGACGGCGAAAACAAGAGCATTCAGACACAACAGCTCGAGGGCTATGTTCATACGAGCCATCTTCCGCTCAGTGAGCCTTGTTATCAGACAAAACTCCTAATTGAAGAACGTGGTGTTGTGTCTGGGCCGGAAGAAGACATTGAATTTGGGCTGCGCAGTAGTCATGGCGGTGAACAGCACGAAGGAGAGTGCAACATATGCGATAGTTCATGTACTGGTCGCGCTAGTCTGGAAATCGACGGAACCCAATCAGAGATTCCTATAGAGAAAATTGCCATGCAGAGAAACCCGGTTCCGGTGCAGAACTGAATGAATGGAAAGGTGCTAACAGCGGGGCAGAACAAAGCTTCATGCTCTTGCGGAGGAAACTAGGTGGATGAAAGACCAGGACGATTACCAGACCTTAAGGCAAAACTGACAAATGAATCGCAGAGGAAGAGATGTAGACAAGAAGACCACAGTCATTCACCGGGAAAGTGTTGTGGAGAGAAACCAGAGGAAGGCATATGGCTTGACGAACTGACCACCAACGACAACTCGCGATATCAAGTGTCCAGCGAGTCGCCTCTCGCCACCGTTGGATGACGCGGAAGCTGGAACAGATACTCCTTGTCAATACTCACGCCGGAAAAGATAGTAACAGAATGTTAGCTGTACGGTGGAGTATCACCTTGGTTGTATTGATGTTCCAAGATCAACTTTGATTTCGTCGCGTACAATGATATCGTGTCTAGGTTGCTCTAGGTACTGGCGTTAGAAGATATCTCGAGGGCCCTCTAATCGTGATGAGTTTGTGCTCCATGACTTGGCGCTCCATCGAGCGAGATGCTCGTGTATTGAGAGATGAGTCGATGCTTGAGGGATGTGAAGTACAATGCCGCTCGCATCTCGTTGGCCATGCACTAGGCTATATTGAGCATAGCCTATATCCGGCCTCTTCGCCTTCCAATGTTTGTCCTCTGCCGCTCCCAGGACCTCCCCAACATCATTAACTTCAACACTCAGGATTTCTTTAGCCTCTCTTAAAGCTAGCCATGTCTGGAAATGAACTGAGCGACCAACGGTTGCGCAATCGAAGATTGCATGCACAAGATGACGGGCCACCCGTACCACCGAAGACCTTCAAGACTGAGAACATTTCGAAAGCACCGCTCAGACGCGTCGCACCTAGACCATTGGATTTACGAAACCACTCAAAACCACTTCCACCAGTTCCGCAATCCGAAAGGGCAGCTGCATCCAAGAGCGAGCCGCTGTCAAAACCGTTGCCGTTGCCGCCAAAAAGTGTTACACTTCGATCAACTCTTTTGTGGGTGGCAGCTTTATTCGTGTGGTTTTTACTGATCGTGGTACTATTACCCGTAATCACAGAAAAAGACGCCATGCCTGGTTTCAACAAGTGGCTTCGTAGTTTCCTATGACTAGAGCTATATCTGGCAAAAGGTCTACAGCTTCGACTCGGCCTTTGTAGCGTCTACCAGGCTCTTCCTCCCACCGAAACCGAACAGATATGCGGCTACCTTCCGCATTTGAATCTCTTCACTACCTTCAGTGATTCTGTACCGGCGATGATGTCTCCAAATGTGCTCGAATGGGTAGTGCCTTGAGTACCCGTTACCGCCATGGACCTGAATCGCGCGGTCTGCGGCCTGCGTACACAACCTGTTGGCGTAGTAGTTACACATGGAAACTTTATCGCCAATCTTCTTCTCAATCTTATTGTGCGGCATAGAATCCATCTCTAGCGCAGTCTTCCGTATCAACTGTCGCAGCATCTCGCATTGGGTCGCGAGTTCTACAAGCGGAAATTGTATGCCCTGGTTGTGCGAGAGCGGGGTACCGAAGGGCGCGCGTTCGTTGGCGTATTCGACCGACTGCTGGACACAGTATACGGCTGCACCAAGCGACGAGGCGGCTTGCCGAATGCGGTTCTCGTGGACGAAGGCTTGCGCGACGCCGAGGCCGTTGTGGATGGGACCCAATGCGGCGGTTTCGGGTACCCAGACATCCTTGATGGAGACGGTCGCGTGATCGGTGGGCATGTTGAGCGTCCTGCGCAACATTAGCAAGCGAGTCCTGTTGCTATAAGACTGATGACGTACCATTCGTACGACTCTGCCTTCAAACCCGGGGTATCGATGGGTACCACGAAGCACGAGATGCCCTTTATCTCGCCATCCTTTCCTGATGTCCGCGCAAAGACGGAGCAATGTGTCGCGTGGTGCATCCCAGTCTGCCATCGTTTATAGCCGTTCAGCAACCATCCCTTCACACCGTCTCTCGTCTCCGGTCGCCCCTTGGTCGCCATGTGTGTCGCGTCTGAGCCATGACCAGGCTCCGTCAAACCGAACGTCATCCTAAACTTGCCCTCCAGTCGCAGTGGTATGAAGTCCCTTTTCTGCTGCTCATTGCCAAAGTTCATGAGCATGATGACATCGGGAAAGTTTCCGACCATCGAATGTTCCGTCTGCAAGTCGTTGAACAGACCCAGTCCCTTTGCCGCGAGATGCTCCCGGATCACGGCCATCCAGAGGTTGCTTCCTCGCCCATCGGCACTGTTTTGTCCGCCGTACTGCTTCGGCAGCGACAGCCTGTAGAAGCCAGCTTCATCAGCCAGTCTTCTCGACTCTGCCAATAACTCCTCCCACTCCTTGCGCGGGAGCCCGCCGTTATCCCAATCGGTTCGAGCGTGTTCGCGGCGGTGATCGAAGAAGCGGTTATTATCGTCTTTGTGTTGAAGAGGAGTAATCTTGTCGTCGATAAACTTGTCAAGATCGGCGAGATATTGCTTCAAGTCATCAGGAATCGAGAAGTTCATCGTGTGAGACAGCGACATTGCGGAGTCTCCGTCAAAAGGTATGGTTGGCGGAGGCTGCTGATGATGGCTCGTTGCTGCGTCAGCGATTTGGATGTCTCTGGATAGCGTAGAGAAAGCCAGAAGCTTGCGATATAAACATCAGCTTCGGGACGCGCATCTTGATGACTCGCTTGCTCTCAGTCGTGGAGTTGCTCTGCTTGGAGAGTCGCTTTGCGGGGAAAGGAGCACAGGCCAGGCGGAGCTGAACCTCGGCCTTCGCCGGCGCGCCTCAACCTTGAACCCCATGATGATAGACAATGGAGAACAGAGAGTGGTACTATGGTTGTCAGTGGATTTTGGCCTGACCTTACTCAACAAGTAGAACTATCAGATATCAACTGCAGCCCTGAGATCATATGCCATGGCTCGTGGCATCATCACGCACCACTAGTATCTATTAGAGATGAAAGAAGGAGAGAAAAGCGCCTAAACATGATACCTTGCACTCCTTGACATGGCGAGTATGGTTTTCATGAGCTCAAGAGCTGCATTGTCGTTTTCATACTGATTCAACACGCCATGGCTGAGTGTCTTATCCAGGAAATTCACCCTAAACAAAGCTGATATAATCCAGGCTGACTTTTCAACTCGGAAAGGACCTAATCTCTCCGCCATATGAGTTTCTATTGACTTGTAACCTTGCACTCAAACCTTCCGGAAGCCCCTATACCACCGCCTCTTCACGCCATTTTGGTCCTGTCCAAGCTTCTCTTGCGATCCGACCCGCTCGTAATCTCCTGTCGACGCCGTCGTAAAGGACTTTTGAGATGAGCACGTCTTTGGCGTCTGCGCGTCCGCTTTGCCTGTCTCAGTTGCCTCAAGGGGGACACTGAAGTACTCCAATAGCCCTATCTGTGCTTCTTCCAGGCTCTTCTCCCGGGACACCTGTTGCATTTCGTTTCCATTGTTTAATTCATCTTTGCCTGCTCCAATCTTACTCATATCCAAACCCTCAGGCGCTGCGCTTCTTCTCGGGAACTCAGCCTTTTTCAGCGATGGGGGTGTCAGATATTGGAATGTTTGTAGCCCTGCTATGGCTTTTGATAGTCTGTCAATCTCGTCTTCTTCAGTGTTATCGTCGCCGCTGTACACACTACTACCCGCACTAGCTGTCTTATCTGGAGCAATTACATCAGAAATCGTGCTGATGTCTTTCCGCCTCTGACTCACCGGAGACACTGGCGAGGCAATGAACTCAAAGGCTTGCTGTTTGTTTTTATGCAGGTTAAAATGAGCTATACGCTGGCTTTCGGAACCACTTTTACCATCGGTAAGTGCGTCCGGCGCGTGCTGCTTAGTTACCTTGGTCTTGCTGGGCTTATAGCGCTCGCCTTGGAGCTGTGCGAGGGCTTTTGCTTGTTCTTCGGCACGTAGATTGAGTATGCGGTCCAGTGTGGATGTGCGTTTGTGTTTAGATAGAGTTTCCGGCTCGTTATTAGAGGAGATTTTCAAAGGTGAGGGTGCTTCAAGGACCGGGGATAATGTGTCAGGCCACTGGTAGCTTGCCGGTCTGCTTGCGGGGACTGCTATCGCTCTTGGTGTCTTTGGTGATGCTGGGATAGCAAACTTCGATTTGAACTCGGGCGCAGTGGGATGCCGTATCTTGTTAGAAGCTCCAAGAGGAACTCTCGGCTCGCTCGTCCTCTCGGTGTGCCCCGTACCGCGCTTTGCAGTAGCTGCTTTCATGGTTCCTATTGTATCCTGGCGCTGTTTCTGATTCATGTCTTTCTTCGAGCTGCATAGATCCATACTATTCCTTGCGTCTACTGCATCAAAGTACGGAGTGAAATCTCTCCTTCTGGACCTCTTTCCTATAGATTCGGCCTCAGCCATACCTGCTGCTGTATACATCGCTTGGTTACGTCCATGTGGTCCATCACCGACGATCTCGAGATAAGGATTATTGAAGGTAGCTCCACGCGGGAGCCGAATTGGGGTGTTTGGCTCTCGATATCTTGTCTCACGTGTTTCTCCACTCATGGTCTGGGCATGGGGCGGTGCTACATTCTGAGACAGGGCACTGGGCATGTTGTGGATAACACCGTTGGCATCGTCCCAATACGGGGTGCTCTGTGTCTCATAGCGAAGGGGGTCACTGCTTCGCTGTCGATCCTGAGTCGCCAAATTATGACCAGGTTTGTGGCCTCGAGGCGTTCGTGGAGGAGATACTTGGACTTCAGCTCGCGCGCGTCCTCGTTCTCGTAGGTGGCGGAACTCTGCCATCTGTGGAGAGTGCCAAGTTAGATCCGAATCTGCCATTTTGGTATAATGCTTAGTACAGTGGAGTTAGTAGTGGACGCGAGTTGGACCTGTAACTTTGTGATGAGAAAGAAACTTGGTTCTTTGATCTACACAAGGTAGTTGATAGAATGCAATGTGCAAGGGATAAAAGAACTCGCGGGAAAGTAGGCAGCTGCAACGGACATGGGTATTGGGAGTGAATGACCCTGGTCGTTATGTACTGTTGTCCTGGTGATTGGATCATCGATCACGATAAGAACTTCATGTCACCAAAACTTCAAGGAGTGACCGCATCGAGGTCCATGTATCATTTACTTACCCTGAAAACTGTCACTCTATTGTTACGAGCTCTAGTCAGCGAATAAACCATGTCGTATCGCCTTCTCCGTCACCTTCCTCAAACAAAACGACCAATGCCATGGCTGCGACTCTTATCTTGCTGGTTCTCCATTGAAGGCCGTCGGTATGTCTCGGTCGACCTCTTCAAAGTCTGCGGTCAGATCATCTTCATACTTCATCATCTCGAACTCCTCCCTTAAGCTCTGCTCCCTGTCATTGCTTCCATCGCGCGTCAAACGGATATCCATATTTCCTTCACCATGTTGTTCATTGATATGAGCATGGCCAGAGCTATCAGTGTCATCATAAGAACACTGTGTGTGGCTAACTGCGTCACCTCGCCACGGTGACGGGTGTTTCAAGTCAGGCGTAATGTCTTCCAAATATGTAACTCCGGGTCGGCTTGACCCGGGTTCCCTTCTTACAGATTTATCATGTCGGAGTTCAAACCTCCGTGATCGGCGTGCTATGTCTTCAGCAGTGGGCTGCGGAGACACTGGCACGTCTGGTCGCAACTGTTGATTACCATGGTACCTCTGCGAGCGGGAAGCATGCTCGTTCATCAGATCTTCCATCATTCTTCCCGGTGCTGCTCTTGTACAGGGCATATGAATACCTGGCTGTGAGGATTGCTCGAATTGCACCGTTGTCGCAAGGTGAGCCGGCTGCCTTTGGAAGTCACGAATGTATTCATCGCGCAAACCCTCGGAGGAGAACCACATGCTCAGGGACAGTGAAGCTATAGTGTTCCTAGAAGAGGATAGAAGTCAGAGGTCGATGTGGTTGAAGATAGGGTTGTTCATATAGGTAAAGCACGATATAGTTGAAGGTTGTCACACACCAATGATTTGGCACAACACGAGGTGGCCAGCGCAGCTAGACGGATCATGCAGTATCTTAGTAGGCCGCATCATACGTGAGCATTACCAGTGACGTGCAGTTGTCGCGAAATGTGGTTGTGTCAAGACTCCACATCTCTATCGCCACGCATTGCTGTGAGCTTGCAAGAATGTGATTGTTTACCTGAAACAACACCTCATGGGGAACAATGCGCCAACGAGACGACCTAGGAAAGAGAGTGGATGCAGGTGAAAGACGTCCAAAGCAAAATGCTATGTAGGAAGAAAGCGCTAGGCATGCATACAAGAAATGCTCCGGAGCGAACTTGATCCCCTGATGGTGATCGTTCTTGATGCGTGGATATGTGGAGACGTGTAAATTGCAGGAGAAATGGGCGTTTCCAGGGTGCGGCGTATGTCAAGACTGGGCAAACTTCAGCATGACACCGACCGCATCATCATGGTATTTCTAGTTTCCTGGTGTTGCGCATCTCTTGGTGACAAGACGGTTAAATTCCCCCACAAAATTCGTCTTTTCTGTGTTGCTCTGATGCGTGGGGGAATTTAGCCATCATCCATGAAAAAACGTGTTCGCGTGGCTGGAGACGCTAAAAACAAGTGTGGCGTTCGCTACCGATGCCAGCTTTGTCAGATGTTTCATCCTCCTTGCGTTTCCGCTCCTCCCCACGTCCAAGACATCGGATGCAACCCAATGCATCCTCGCGCCGTACGACACTGTATGAAGAACGCCAGATCTGGTATTGACAAGCGCACCGATGCCAAATGACCGGCTTGGCGCATGCGTGGCGGTGCGCTTGAAACATCATCCGCTACCAGACAGGCACTAGCATTGAAACATCCACGATATTGGTTCATGCCATAACGACTTTGGAAATATGGCCGTTGCGGGAAGGATGCATCGACGTACCTTCAATCTTGCGGGATGCAAAGCTGGCGCATATCCATCAATAGGTATAATAGTATCTGATCTGCTCGCGATATCGGTTTTTGTCATTCGCTACATTCTTTTACACATTCTCTCACCAACTACCTCTTGACTATTCTCTCATTTTCTCTCGTTGAACACCTTGAGCGGAATATTCGGCTGGTCTGAGTGAACGTTCTTTACTTTCTCGAAAATATCACAGAATCCCGTCCTTTTTGAACCTCGCGTACCAAATTTACAGCATGCGTTTCGAGATCATTGCACTTCTGGCCGCGGCTGCCACCTCATCTGCCCAGTCGGTTGTTGGTACAGCCTATGGCTACGGTGCCGGTGCAACTGGTGGAGGAGACGCTGCCGCTGTCACCCCAACCACGAACGAGGAGCTCGAGAAGTACCTTTCCGATGACACCGAACGCGTTATTGTACTCAACAAGGAGTTCGATTTTACCGGCAAGACCGCGACTGGTGCTGGTTGCGACAAGTCCACCTGCTCAGCCAAGAGCGGCGGTGGACAGTACTACCTGGGCGACCTCTCCTGCGGTGGGTCGGAGATGACACCCGTCAGTTCCATCACCTACGACGCAGCCGGTGAGACCGCGCTCAAGATTGGATCCAACAAGTCCATCCTCGGCGTTGGCGGAAAGGGTGTGATCAAGGGCAAGGGTGTCTCCATCGCCAAAGACGCTAGCAACGTCATCATCCAGGGCGTCGAGTTCACCAACATCAACCCCGGCGTCGTATGGGGAGGTGACGCTGTTGATATGCAGGGAGGAAACACCAAGATCTGGGTTGACCACTGCAAGTTCTCACTCGTCGGACGTATGTTCGTCGTCAGCCACTATGATGGCTCCGAGGCCACCCTCTCTAACAACGAGTTCGACGGTGTCACCACCACGTCCGCTACCTGCAACGACAACCACTACTGGACGATGATGATGATTGGAAAGACTGAGAAGTTCACCCTCGACAAGAACTACTTCCACGATGTATCTGGTCGTGCGCCTAAGCTCGGCCAAGACGGTGTCAGCAGCACTTTCCACGCTATCAACAACCTCTTTGAGAACATGAAGGGTCATGCTTTCGATGCCTACGATGGTGTCAGTGCACTCGTCGAGGGTAACGCATTCGTCGCCGTTGACCAGCCCAACACCGAACACGCTGCTGGTGTCGCGTCTTTCGTCAGCAAGGGTGGAGACGCCTGCTCTGCTCCCTTTGGCCGTGCTTGTCTTGAGAACGTCGTCGACTCTGCCAGCGGCGAGCTGGCCCCTGGTTCCTCTTCTGGCTTCATTGCTCAGCTTGGAAAGATTGACGTTCCTGAAGTTCTGGAGGCTAGCAAGGTCGCCGCCCACGTCAAGGCCAATGCTGGTCCCGCAAACCTCGGTACCGCATCTGCGTCTGCTCCTGTTGCTGAAAAGGTTGTCGAGCCTTCCAGTCCCACTTCTGCGGCATCGAGCAAACCTGCTGCTACTACTACCGCTGGCGCTGCCAAGCCTGCTCCTACCGCTCCCACTGGCTCTGGTTCATCCGCCGGTGCTGCCAGACTCTACGCGCAGTGCGGTGGCCAGGGTTTCACCGGTCCCACCGAGTGCGAGGCTCCTGCGACTTGCGTGAAGAGCAACGAATGGTACTCTCAGTGCATCAACAGCTCTTCCAAGTTCCGCCGCGCTCTTGGCCGCTACTTCTAAGCTCAAGATGTGTGAATGATGCAAAAGTTCTACGAGGAAGAAGGTGATGTGCAATGGATGGTGCTAGGTTCTGAGGACGCCTGTTCTTGTAAATAATTCCATTTAAATATTGTCAATACACTTGTCAAACAAGCTTTGTGCTATACCAGACGCCTCATACTCATGAAAGACAGTCTCCACCGACTCTCAAGCAGAATGTTTCGAAAGCTCACCCACGCCATACTATGCAAGAATATTCTTCGGAATCATTTGCACTCTTGAAAGCCTTCAGATCTTCTACCCTGCTCAGCGGGAAGGTGGGGAACTCATTGTGCATAGCAATGCCATCTACCTCAAATCTGGAATACTTGGATGCCGCTGGGATCGCCAAAGAAACTGTCGCGATCGTGAAAGAATTGTGGTGGTGTTTCGGTCCATTTGTGTATGATAATCTCAATTATGGTGGCGACGGTAGCGCGGTAAGTATGCGTGGCTCGTCGTTTATGGGCCATTGCAGTACCAGGTGTCCGATAGGATGTTCCGTGGTATTGCGTCGCGATACCGCGCACGCAGCGATGCCGCTGTGAGCCAAAGGCAACTGTGGCACAATTGCCTAGACCTCTACTATTGATGCTATCTGGCATCCTCATTTGATTCTGAGCACCTTTGGACGTCGGTCTTCGCCAAATCTATGGTTTCAGGGACGATTCGCAGAACGGCGAATTTGCGCGCTGTAGTCCTTAGCCCCAGTGGCTGTGGCTCCTCTTTGAAACCCTCCGCTGGTGTTTCATCCCGAAAATCCTTCGATGATGGCTCACTAGGATGATTATACGTCTTGTCGAACTTTCGGTCTCGATTGTCGTGCTGCTTGTCGTTCAATCTTTTGATCCACTGGGTGCTGAAATAGGGTCGGTACTGCTCGTTCAACTTGGGATCACGCACCCGCGCTTCAAGGTCACGGTGTTCTTTGAGCATGGCCAACATATTGGCATCAATTCCCAGTGAGTCTTCTCCAGTGCTGCCGGCATCGAATGCACGAAGTCTACGACCAACTACATTGATCGCCGCATAAACGTACCTGCTCCCTTTCCCAAGGCAATTCCAAAGCGTCTCCAATTCACTAGCAAAGATTGGCCGAGCAAAGTGGGTTGCAGCGATGTAATGATCAACCCGCAAGGCATCTTTGTGAAGTTCGAAAAGCTCCATAGTCCTCGCCAAGGAGCAGGCCGCAAAAGTGTTCCTTGGGATACGGATCTGCTTCATCGTACCCATGGTTTGGTATTGGCAGGCCCGAAACATCCAAGCTACAAGGATCTTCATAGAAGCCTGGCTAGCCACTCCTTTGGGTAAATTCATCTCTTGAGAGGTTGGTGCACCTTTCCAGTTCTCGTCGTCCTCACGGTGTATGGTACGGATGAACTTGTTGACCACTTTACGACCAAGGAAGAGGACCAGCATCTTCTTTGGAACCTGATAAGCGAGAGAAAACCCAGTGTCTTGCTCAATGATGTCTACCACCGGACCGTTCAGCGCATTGAGCTTCCGCTCAGGTTGAAGATAAGGGAGCAAACTCTGTAGGGTGTGCAGGTGGCGAATGTACTCAGGATTTGTATACGGTCGCGGCACACCTGATTGGGATGCCCAGCCTGCCCAGCCAAGCGTATGGGAAGCCTTAGCTGATGAGCCAGCTGTGTAGGTGGAACCCTCGTCTCCCTCACTCAATTGATGGCTTTGGTCGACAGACTCGCCATGTACGCCGCTTTTGGAGGCTGCTACGGCTGGGTAGAAAGAAGACCTATATACCTCGTGTGCTTCTGGGGCGCCTGATGCGGGGTAAATCATGCTGCGACGTGCAAGGAAGGCTCCTACAACGTCGCCTTGCCGTTCGTAGGCGTCCGATGCCAAAGGGCTACCTGTGCAAATTCCAGCAGCAGGGTTAGAGGTGGAGGCCGTGACATTGCCGTCAGAGTCATAATGGTAATATGTCGTCATTTCTGGAGACTTCTCGCTTTCAAGATCCCACGACGTATGCGTTGGCTGACTTTCGAAGCACAAGGTTGAACCACGGGAATCGAATGAGGTTCTGCGACTAGTGGTAGAATCAGGATTCGAGTTTGCCACGGATCGGAATGAGCTGCCCAGATTGTGACTGTAGTTGATGGGAAAAGTAAATCGCTGTCTCGCACTTAGCGCTATATATTCAATAGCGAGTGGGTTCATTGTAGCATGAAAGCGATCGCCGCTGTGAAAATATCATCGATGATCCACAACGCGACTAGCACGCCGTAGAATGTTGTCGTTGTCAGAGAAGAGGTGGTGTGAAAGAGTGAGGGACAGTCGCTACTGCCAGAAGTTGGTGCTGGGCCCGTGCGCATACCAAATTCGGCTGCAACTGCCGGAACTAAGGTGAAACGCCGCGCCAAGAGGTCATCACGTGTACTGCATAGTCTCAAAGACGGCTTTATATGCTCACCTGCAGCCAGCGAAACAGGCATCACATATGAGTCATGTTTCGCTGTGTCCATGACGTCAATACGATAGACGGGCGATGAATGCCAAGCGTCTGCCAACATAATTATCATATACGAGTAGAATGATAAGGTTTCGTTGTTCCTTCCAGAACTCCGCTACTTTGCGAGCCTACAAGCAGTCAGTCGTCTGATACCACCTTCTTTAGGCTCAGTGTCAGGAAACATCACGCGCCCAATCACCAATGTCAGTCTTTAGAAGCATGATACGCGCATCCATGCGTCTCTTTTCCGCTTCTCTTTTTTTGGTTGCGCATCTTCCTTGGTCACTGTCACATAGCGACCGGCCACGTATCCTTCTTCAAGATCTCCAAGGCCGTACATTCGCCCAGATGATGACAACAAGGCGCAATGCCTCCAGTCAATCCGTCCTTGACGTCGTGCCGCGAGCGACGAGTAGCGAGTTGATCCTTGGATCCGTTGATCGGGCGCTCCGGTAGACAAAAGCTTGCCAGACTCCACGTCAGCTCCATCGAGCCCTGATAGTGCGGTAGATTGGTGTGCTGACCCGTCTGACGCAAGTGAACTGGAGCTATGGAGATGCAGTTCAGAGGGAGTGTCTGAAAGTGTCAACGCTCGAGGCCTCGGCGTTACCGGTTGGAAGATATCCTCGGTAGTTTCTAAAGTATGCGTATCGTCCTGGGGCATGTTGCGGTATCCATCAATTTGGTAGGAAACCTCAGTGTGCTCTCCAGAGTCAGTTGAAATAAGCGACGTCGTTGACAAGAGGGTTCCGCGTCTGTGTCGTAAAGAGCCGGCGTTCGAATTGATCGAACACATGTTGCGACTAGCGAGCGCTACATATCGAGCACTAGGTTCCCCGTTGACCTGGTGTTGCATCCGAGACTCGTCTGAGCTTGAGCCCTCATTAGTAGCATCGCGCTCTGCCAGAATTCGCTGCAAATATGTTCTAGACTCATCTAGGGCAGTATCCCGCCAGATATGGTGTTGCAGAGATGTTTCTTCGGTCACGCTTTGGGAACGACGTGCTCTAGCCTCTTGTTGAGTCTCCAAGCGGCAAACAGGCGTGTAATTGCCGGAAGCATCCAGATTCAACCCTTGACCATCATTTAGACCTGAACTTGTGAGCCCCCTTGTATTTGACGCAGAAGTCCTATCAAAGTCTCGTGCATCGTCACAAGGCAAACCTCCTATGTCAGGCTCGAAGGACGACCGATGGTGGAATTGTGTGCCTAACGGATTGCTGTCAGGTCTGTCGCCGTCTTCGCTATATAGTGACGATGAGTCTGAACCGGTGTAGAAGGTCGCCATTTGTCGGGATGATGTATTCACTGTCATTGACGGAGACGATAATGTCTGTGGGAGTCAAGCTTGATGCAGAGCAAGCAAGGGAGACTCAACGACCCAAATGCCTACAAGTGACTGGATGGGGGCAGACTGTACGCGTTTGCTTTGAACACGGGCTGACGGGCTGGCGGTAAGCGGCGTTGGTTGTTTGGGCGTTTGTCGAACGTCAAGGAGAAGGATCAGAATACATACATTCGTGACAAGATCCCATATGCCTGCTCAGAAAATTTCCCTCAGCTCCTTCCGCACGTACCATACATTGCGCGAATCAGTAGTGTGGGTGCGCCGTAATCTTTCCCTCCAACTTTCCCTTTCATTGCCACGACTGATGAGCTCCAGATCTTCGAGGCATCTGTGGTGAAGTTGAGCAAGCTACAGCAGTAAGTCTTTGACGCAGATCACGGCCTCATCGCATGTCGTGAGAGAGAGGCTAAGGGCGTCATGACAAATCCTGACGATCTAATTCGCCTATAGAAACATACATTACAGGCCAGCGAAGGCATTGCATGTGGATTCATCCAACTGGTGTGACGAATGTCCTCGAACAACCCGTCTTCGGATCAAGCTACCCCGTCAACAGTTTTGAGTGACCGCAAAATCCACAAAGTCAGCGTTGAGGATGTGAGCGATCGACTTAATGCCATGAAGGTCGATACCAAAAAGGATATCGCAGTAGATGATTTGGCGACCGCTTTAGCGTCCAAATGGGAGCCACATCGCACTCGTCGTTCGGGAACGAAGGGCGACACTGATGTGCAAGGTACCTCGTGACTATCGATAGCGGCAGCGAAGCCATATTTGGCCTGCATGACCAAAGAACGACATTAGACTTATTCCTGAGACACTCTTGACACCTATCTCTTCCTCTTTTCCAAATCCATTGCTAAAGGTAAATGCGCGATACATGTTCGACATGAAAAATCGGATAAGCAGGGAGGCGACAACAGGCTCAGACGCTGTTACGATGACTACGACAAAAGCGCTGGCTCCTTTGGTCTGGCTTTGTAAGAACTGCTGGTGCATAAGATCTTGGCCTCTGTGGTATGGCGGGGCTTGTCGTTTTCGCTTGAAGCGAAGATGTGAGGTGTTTGTCAGTTCCAGTGGTGATGCGGCCGGAAGAAAGCACGGCATAGCGCTAACTATGCGCTAATTACATGATGACGTTACACGTTCCTCTCCTTCGCGTCCACGATTCCCCGTCTATCAGATCGTACCTCTATGCATCTTTGACTAGGAACCTGAGTGCTGCATTCCAAATGATATGATGATCATCTGCTGCCGACTTGCCAACGGCGCAATCATCGGTCAACGACGTACGGGCTTCGGAGCCCCACGTGTTCAAGTCGCCTGCTATTGCAAGGCATAACAACCACGCAGCCTGAACGACATTCTAATGCAGGAGAACCAAAGCATTAGGCGACCTATGTGAAGAAACTCATCTTCAAGAAGCTTCATGACACAGCTTGTCACTTCGACGCTGAAAGTCAGAGAATTGCAGAACATTCCGCTGCTCGTCTTAGGCAGTATGAATCACCACGGCAAAAGAAAAAGGCGGAACAAGAACAGATGTAGCGATTGATTATCGATGTGCGACTCAACGACATCCTTCTGCGAATCTACTATTATAGGGCGACGCTAGACACGGGGAACTGTACGACTACCGGTCGCTCGTAGCCACCTAAGTATCCTTGGGCGTCATTGTGTTTTACAAGCGCTTTGCCACGCCAATCCAGGATCATATTGACACACTACATTACTTTCGGCTGAAAGGATTTCGAAACCAGCGGCGTACTCTACTCCATGTCTTATGCTTTCTGTCCTCTTTGGCGGCCTCTTGTACTGGAATTGCCTTCGCTACATCTCCAGACATCACCTCCTCTCGCACTGAGCTCGACACGATATCGCCAGGAATTGACCAGCTCTGTGCGTTCATGTTTTTCGGCGGCGGTATCGCGCGCGATTGGGTAAGATGAGAAGCTGTGTGGCTTACTTGTAATGGCGATGCGCCTTGTAGTAACGAATTGGTGGGAAAGAATGATGGAGCTGTACCTGGTCTGGCATCTCCATGTAAGGCGTTGATTCGCTTGGGACTACAGTTCCTGGATATCGGCACAGACGACGCATCTTGCAGGCCCTGAGCGTTGGCCTGTTCAACATCGCTCCATTCTGGTACCAAGCTCAAGTCGTCACTAAATGTCCAGGCGGCATCCTTACGAGATCTCGGTATGGAATCGTCACTGAAACGCCAACCAATGTTGTGTGGGACGCTACTGCTGCGGTGATGCCGAATCACAGGTCGACTGGTGATATCTCGGGGTGCTTCCGTATCAAGAATTACTGTTCCGGTCAACCTTTGGCCATCATCGTTGCTGAATCCTGAGTCGCTCTCGCTCGACGACTCCTCTCCAAGAAGGGTCGATAGCTGTACGTCATTTCGTGCTGGAGGGCTTGTTCGTAGCATTAATAGCCATGCATTCCGTAACTCATCATACGCGCAACACAACCTTCGTAGTCTCGTGCTTGAATCGCCAAAAGAATACCGCTGGTGCTGTCGGCCGAACACTACGCCCTCATTCTGAAGAAGTCTTTTCAAAGTACGTAAACCGGCCCACAGTTGCGCATTCTTACCTCCACTGTCAGACGGTTCGTAGGTCTCAATGAAGAAAGACTTCCACTGATCATCGTATAATGGACCGAGACGTATCATGGCTTCAAACTCTTTGGGTGAAAATGGGTTCCCATAGGTCAGCATCTCTCCCTTGTCGGAGAACGTAGCGCCCATCTGCTGCAAACGACCACGCAGATGCAAGATCTCGGAGAGCTCCTCCAGAATTGTTTTGCGCTGGATAGTATCAACAGACTCACGTAATAGACTACATCCCTCCGGTGCGCCATAGATACTCGAGAGAGTCTCCATTGATACACTGGATGTCTTTTGAGGCGCGCTCGTAAGTAAGGCTAGGGCTTCTTCGTGAGCTTGCATGATGGATTGGTCGTGGAGAGGCATGTGTGTATCAAAGGCGGAGCGACGTACTCTTGGAGCTTGAACTGGTTGAAATTACTTTTCGGCTGTTAGTTGTTTGGTGAGGAAGAATCCATTGCGGCTGAGAACAGACCGGTCGCTATTTGAAAGCTACCGAGTATGCGCCTGCAGCGTTGGCACTTTCACCAAAGAATACTACCTTATGGTCACAACCGGAAGAAGTGATTAGAGTGAATGGTTTTATTCTGACATACAGTTACAGCTGCAAAAGGCGTGTCAGTAATCTAGTTGCTTGTATGTTTTTGTTTCTTAGACAATAAGTGAAAACGTTATTTTATAGTCTTCGCACAACTCGCGCTCCCCTCTCTAAGCCGCTTTGCGTTATAGATTCTACTGTAATTAATACTTATAAAATTTTCGTTAGACGTTCTTCATTGTAAACGTATCGTACTCGATACCCTGGCGTCAGCGACCCATCATAGGCTTAATTGCTACAATTTAAGTTCGATACCCATTCCAAGCATCAGACTCTTGATTAATCGTCTCGTCTGGAGACTAATACAAGCCTAGGCGCTGACTCATTCTCAGTAGCCTGCAGATATCTTTCTTCGGGCACTAGAAATGGTGAACAGTGCCGTTGAGGATAGATTATAGCATAAGTGGTCATCACTCTACTCTAACAACCGCACAATGTCCTCCCGTCCTAATTCGCGAGCAAGATCCAAAGCCGTCAATCCCACCTTGTTTCTGTACTTCTTATCCGCACCTTTCTCTAAGAGAAATGAGACTGCCTCAGTACGGTGGTTCTTAACAGCACAATGTAGCGCAGAGCCCCAGCCTTTGTCCTGTCGGTGCGCAGGAATTGTCTCCAATTTTCCATACGGGTGTGCATTGACATCAGCGCCGTGATCTAGCAACTGCTGCATTATGTCAATGTTGCCGTTTTCGGCAGCATTGAGGAGTGCCTTGGGCGCCTTTTCCAGCGATGCGTCATGTGCCAATAATAGCGCTGCCATATGCCTATCACCATGCATACAGGCCAACTCTAGTGGGTTGTTGCACGTCTGGGTACCCTCGTCTACCTCGGCGCCTTTTGATAATAGATGCGCAGCAATTTTCAGGGCAGCTGTATCGCCATCGGGATATTCTTGGCCTGTTTCCGTCGCACTGACAAGGAGTCTGTTTACCTTTCAGCTTTTTCTGCGCGTCAATTGGTTTCGAGAAGGGTAGCGAAAGGCTTACACAAGAGCGCTGCCAAGATGGTCAAAGTGCTCATTGACATCCCAACCGTGCGCTATCGCGACATCGATGGCTTTCGTATTCCACCCGTTTTCCTCACGTGCCCCTTCTGAGACGTACATGATGGTGCTATCACCCCACCTAGCACCACGCTTGAAAAGCTCCTCGGCTATATCGAACTGGGCTAGCTCCAATGCTGTGCTGAGGGCCTCGGTCAATCCCTGACCCCGGTGCGAAGCATTAGGACCTTCGGCGTCGCGTGTCGACAGCATATTTTGTAGGGTAGCGAGGTCGTTAGACTCGACAGCGGCAAGCATTTGCGTGTTGAAGTTTTTTTCGTTGTTATCAGTCATTGCTTGAGTGGTGTAAAGGATGAATTTCGAATGCGAATAATTTTTGCCCTTGCAATTAGGGATCAAGTATTGTGGGCTTGGCAGATGGGATCAAGCTGGCAGAGTAGTAATGCGCTGAAGAGAAGAAGTCGAAGGCGGGAAGTCTTGTTAAGACGCGGTCTCTTTAGTGTGGCGCAGGCAGGTCGTATAAGACGTACCATAGTCACAGCCCCACCTAGCCCAACATCCCTGTCTAGATCCTGAAGTGAGATCTCAGTCTTATAAATACAACTCGGTCGCGGGTTTCCTATACTACGCAGAAACTAGCTAACAATTACTATGCTTATAGTAAAAGCCATTAATATCTCCTAGTACTAAGGTGATAGTAAAGAAACCTAACGATAACGACGATAAGGACTGTAGTGCTAGTGAGCACGGCCTACGCAATGCGAGAATCTTACCGCAAGGCTAGGCACAGACTGATCTTCTACTAGCTAGAACTAAAGGAATAGTAATGAATTGCTGATCTTATTATAGTAGTAAATTTGGTAAAGGATGAAAGATATAAAAAATCTATAAATAATACAGTTATACCGCTAACATCAAAAAGAACATTACGGTGTCGCCATCCCATCTAGGGCTGGCATCTCAGATGGCAAGCCTTGGCGGAATGTCAAATCAAATGATCAGCGTCCTGCACTGATCCTTTCCTTCTGACGGGGACAACCGATAGTCTCTTGCCATGCGACCTGCGTCAAGGAGGAACACTTCCTTGTTACCTTGTAACAATCAGGAGGATTGCTGGCATACAAAATCAACCCACTTGGATAAGCTTCGCTAGATCCTTCAGTTTAACCGGCTTGCTTAAGAACATATTAAAGCCACTACCAATCGCCTCGACTCGTGCAGCCTCCGACTGTAAAGCAGTTACAGCAATTATCTTGGATGGCGTTAAACGATGCTTTTTCTCGTAGGAGCGGATCCGCTGAACGGCTTCATAACCGTCCATGACAGGCATGTTGATGTCCATAATGATTGTATTTGGCATACCGGTTCTTACTATGCGGACGTTTTCCGCTCCGTTGCTGTTACACGAGCTAAGATTTCTGTGAGCGTTCTCGAAAGCGTCAAGAGCAAGCTGGCCGTTCTGCGCGAGGATATGCGAGTACTTGTACTTTTTAGCGAAGGTAGAGAGAAGCTTGAGATTGATGTCGTTGTCATCGACAAGTAGTAAGATTGGAATTTGGGTGGGAAGTCCGAGTGCAGATGTGACTTCGGTTGACGGGGTACCCAGTCCCAAATTCCGTGCAGCCTGTGAGTCCAGACCAGCCTGGGGGGCCGATATGCGATGTCTCGATGAGGGGAACAGCCGAGCTTCTGTTGGCAACGAATGTACTGGAAGCACATGTGCTGACTTATGAGTCGACCGCGTTGGATGAGCCCAGGCCTGCTCTACAAAAGTAATATCAGTCGTCGCCCTTACTGGGCCAAACGATCGCAGTTGGGGTTGACTCTCAGTTCTGATGTCACGTAGTGCCACATCGTCCGCTGAGTTCTCCCTTCTAGACTCTTGATAAGCTTCTACTATGTCCAAACCTGCCATCTTAAGCTTCTCGTGCTGACGTAAAGCGGATGAGATTGCTTGAGTGATCTGTTTGATGCCACATGGGAGAGCAACATGTTCCATGGCTACATAAAACCGGAGATCGTCCGTTGCCCACGAGTCTCGTAGTATCCGTGCACTTGGATTATGGTTGCATATAACAAGCACAGGTGCAAGACCGTCGGCATTCTTTGCATGGAGATCATCCGTAGCACTGCTGTTTCGTAGTGTTGCAAGGCATCCAGCTAGTTCAGCTTCCATAACGACTATCAGGTCGTATGAACTGACGCTTTGCCACTTGCATCGCTCGAAATGTACGCCCATGAACTTGAGATTGTTTTCGACAGAAGCGATCGCTAATGAAGATAGTGCTGTTGTCGAAGAATTCTCAAAATCTGTTGGGACTTCTGTCCCTGTGACAAGACCGACCTTTAGGACTCCAAAGACATTTGGGGAAGTTACGATTCCCTTGTCCCAAGAGTCACTGCGATGCGAACTGTTCTGGCTATGCTCTAACGGCACAAGTACAGTGACACAAGTGCCTGTGCCCTTTCCATTGCTTACGACTTCGATCCTGCCACCCATTGCATGTACAATTCGTGAGACCATGTGCAGACCAAGACCTAAACCATCGGACATCGTATCTTCTTGAGCAAAGTCATGAAAAAGACGATCGTTCTGAAACTTCTTCGACATGCCTATACCAGTGTCGGAGACAGTAAGCAAAGCATTGAAGCGCCGACGTGATCCAGGCTTGGGCTCTTGCTTTAGAGAGACCCTGATGAAACCGGAAGGTGTGTACTTGAGTGCGTTGGTGAGGAGGTTTATGCAAATCCGCTTCCAGCCGCCTGTCGCTAAGCTGCATGTCCAGGCCTTGCAGTCAGAACGGTCAATGTCAAGAATGACCGATGGGTGAGTGTCCTTGTGGAGTCTTTGGCCGTAGTAAAATGAGTATATAGAGGATATGATGGTGTCTTCGGTCAGAGCATCTAATGCAACGCTCTTTTGTAGTGCTTCTAGATCATCGGCAGAAGAACTTCCGGTAGGTGGTAAAAACGTCCGACTGATTTTTGAGCCCTTGGCCGAACCCTTTCTCAACCGCCGACTCTTAATATTTGCGAAATCAAGCAAGTGCTCGATGATTTCAAGCAACGTGCGTCCGCATGAATCTATTTGTTCAAGAAACGTCATTGCTGTGTCGTCTAGCCCGCGGTCCGACAGTAACTCGCATGATCCAAGAATACCATGCAGCGGGGAGCGGAGCTCGTGAGATATGCTTGAAATGAAGTCTGACTTGGCTTTGTCGGTCCCAACCACTTCAAGACGTTTGGTTTCAGCAACGATGATGTCACAAAAGGCAGCAACGAACTTCATCTCTGTTTCTTTGGCAAAAGTCCTGAACGGATCAAGAGTCCAGTACAGACCCGCAACAGCCCACCGTTTTCTCGTATAATCCCAGATACCACTGAGTGCTATGCATCGCGCACCGGGAAATGCCGCTTGCAAAATTTCTCCGTCACTCTTTCGATCTCTACGGGTGGCTTTACGTTGCTGAACACTCGATGATAGCGCTGCAGCAGCGTCGATACCAGCGCCAGATTCGTCCGAAGAGAAGCCATCTTCCGAATGCGTTTTGAGGTGTTCATCAAAAGTCCAGACTTTTCCGTGCGGATTACGATTCATAAGCCTACGTAGGAACACTTCCGTCAACTTTTTGGGAGGCAGACTTCTGGGATGATTCATCCCCGACATATCATTACGCACAGTTTGTGCACAACCCAACACCTGACAGACTCTTGCGCGCTTGACTCGTGGCTCAGCTGCAGATTCTGAATGTGAAAAGGTGCCTGTAGAATCGCCGCTCTCAGCAGTACTGCCTTCGACAGACTCAGCATCCTGGTCATTGCTCAACCCGCCAAACACTCGGACGGACGCGTCGAGAAAGACAACTCCATTGATGTTGAGCGATTGGCAAAGGATTTCAGCAGCACGCTGATACGTACTCTTTGGATCGTCGGCAATCTCTCGCGGACGAGGCAGTGGACGAACCATTGAGTTTCCCATCGGAGACGCACTAGAGTTTGGTACACTTCCAGCATCTGTCCGCACCAATCGATCGGGTGAACCATGTTTCTGATGATTTGCAGAAGAGATTTTGCTGTATTCGCTTGATTGTCGTAGAGAAACAGCATCCTTTTCAAATACTTCGGCATGGGTTGCTAGTGGGCTTGGTTGATGCTGAACAACAAAGTGATCCGTTAACGACCGCGAAGATGGCGTGGAGGACGTTTCCGTAACATCAACCAATGCATCGGGCAGGCGATACTCAACAGCGTGGGTGTTTTGGGCTTCTACGTCAACCCTTTTCGGAGGTGTATGGGTTGCTGACGGCGTTGTACGACCCGCATCTGAAGCCCCTCCACGCACAAAGTCTCCAAGTCCAGCCACCATACGATTGGTTTGCTCCCGCTCGGCAAGAGCACGCACAGCCTCGAGATGGGTCATGACCGTTTTCGACATGTCGCGCAGAAAGATGAGATCCTTGTCCGAAACCCCATCTCGGACTTTGTCGTCAAGAATGCAGTATGCGCCAATGTTGATGCCAGATGGCGTAGTTATGGGCACACCGGCGTAGAAACGACCATTGGGAAAGCCAGTGACGTATGGCCTCGTAGATAGGTCCGGGTGCTTGGTCAGGTCGTTTACTACGAACGCGCTTTTCTTGATGTCGCTACCTGCAGCAGCGGAGATAGGAAATGATGGAAGATTGACAGTAGTCTCGCAACAGGCAACATCACGAGGAATAACAGAGTGGCCCATCCAGACCTCATCTCCGGGTTCGTGTATCGCATCGTCTTCGAGCGATAGCGTTTGCGTCGCCTCAGCCATGATGTAGGCGTGATTGACATCAAAAAAGAAAATCAAACAACGGCGAGCCCTCAGCCTTAGAGCACCTAGCTGGCAGAAGGCTGTAAGAATTTTATCGGGACATGAGACAGCTTTGTGTTTGCCTCTGGCGTCAGGATTGCGGACGTCGCAGAATTGAGGACCATAATCAGACATCTCCTGGAATGGGCCATAGTATCTTGATAAAACTATTAGCACCGTCGACGAAGGATTGTTAAACGGACATTCGACCCAAAGGATAATTGGATGCCTACCGGTAAAATTGCTGCTCCCGCCTGTTCTCCCCACGAACAGCTTTCCGAGACTCCCACGTGCGACCTGGCTTGAGGCAAGCACGTGCAGCCGGTATGTTGTCCATGACGGTACCGACAGGACCAAAGTGTGCGTGTACTCCGCAGGTTTTCTCGATACGATGGTAGTCCAGAGTATGGTGCTGGGCGAGAATGTGGTACGTGGCGACAGAAGTGACGTTTCTAATCTGCCACTAGTGTTCGTGTTCGCGCAAGGTTCCTCTACGGCAACGACGGATGGCGCTCAGCTTTGCGCTAGCAAGGTTGTAATTCGGCGCGTCTTATCATGTAATTTCTGCATGCGTTAGTGAGGTTTTTTACCGGCCCGAACCAGCGGTCTACCATAGTAAAGCTATCCATCACGTACGGATTGAGGCGTAACTTCATGTTGGGTGAGCGGCCACAGATTGCCCGAACGTTGCACGACCATATTTGTTTTGATCTTCGGCAGCGAACCGGTCGTGGCTCTAACCGTGCTCCAGTTCATGCATCGCATAAGCCCGCATCTCAGCCTTGCAATGCACAAGCGAGTGCATCTGCAGCACTGCAAACTAACGTCTATCCCTGGGTAGCAGGCTCTAGCGTCGCATTAAAAGCCCGAAGCAAGGCCTGCTACAACAAGGCCTCTTCTTCTAATTATAACGCAGCTGGTAGATTCTAATAAAAAGACAGATATACAATAAGATACTGCGAGCAAGACTGTCTCTTCAAGATATCTATTAGAGGTCTTGTTGTTGTTGTTGTGTGAGAAGGCTTCCTACTATTAGCCTATATCTGACTTCCAATGCCACGCCCAGGGCAGGACACCCTGTGTGACGAGACGCCACAGATACCCCCCAACACAACACATTCAACAACAAGTCAAGAAGAATAGATATTCTCAGAACAATAGCCTTAATCTATAAAACACATACTCTTCTAACGTCTGTTAAAAATTATTTTAGCTTACAGTACAATACATTAGTTTCTAATAAGCGTTACGCGACCGCCTCGCTTTAGCAAGCAGAAGATGCGTCGAGAGCTTATGTGTCCTATTGGAAATCAGTCAATTTGTGGCTTGCTACACTAAGATCCTATCCAGAGCATTACGCTTGAGCTCGGGAGGTTGTCGTGCGTCTGTGCTAAATGCAAGACCACCTGCTAGAAGTGCTAAACAAGGAAGACCGGATGAGATGTATCGAATGAATGGTTGCATTCCGACATACAGTCACAGCTGCAAAAGGCGCATTGGCATACTGGACGCTTGTGACCTTTCTGCCTCTTGGAAAACCAATCTCTAGTCTTCGCATGGCTTGCGCTCCCCTCCCCTGGCCGCTCTCCGCCATGGATCTAGCGGCACTTGATATTTCGTGGGAGACTTCCACCATCAAACGCACCGACACACATCCTGACCTTGATCCAGCCGTCGAACCTCGTCATCACAACGTAGGCACTCTCTTTACGCCCGAAGCGATCGCGGCGGAGGGTCTATATACAAACTTCACTTCATTCACTAAGGCTGAGTCCGTCAAACTGTCTGCTAGCACAGAAGACGCGCCTAGGCTTACTTATACCACCATGCGCCGTTCGATTCTCTCCAAGGCTGATGCTTTGAATCGAGACTGTCAGGTCCCCACCTCAGACCAAGATCAGTGGAGGCATCACGTCGCTAGTGAACCTGTTGGTACGCGATAATCCTGGAGGGATAGTTACGGCGGTGGCTTGGTGTAGCCTTTGTTTCGGTCAACATGTTAGGTCTGATTGCATGCGCCCTACGCCGAATAGTAGCTTGAGGAACATCAGTACATGGTCTTGCGCAAATAAAGAATACGCACCTCGATGGATGGCCAGACACCATGCAGCATGGACTGTTGCAAAGACAATCATGGCGAGAAGTTGAAGAAGCGCGAGTATGTCCGATCGAGTCCACATGATTGGTGTGTTGCTTGCTTTTTCCGAGTGGCGTAGTCAGGAGCTGTCAAGCGAAAATGATAGGCTTCAACTGAGTCTTTGTGCTTTAATCTACCGAACATTGCATTACAGGCTCCTCTCGTCTTATTTATACGCATGATGCTTTGCATCCAGATCCTGCAACTTACGCGCAGTGGAAATGAAGCTCTAATGGCATAAGCCTTCGCGCATCTCGATACGGCTGCGGAACGGAGAAGACGTGGTGCCAAGATAACGCGAGTCCGTTTCTAGCTGCGGAAGGAAGGCTCGAGCGGTAGAGGTGGGGAAGTCTAATCTGCTTTGGGGTGCGGAACGCTGTGCTGACAAGTTGTCCCTCAGCCTCGTCACTTGCTGTCTACTCATCAACACATGCGCTCAGCCTCCATCGACTGCCCTTAAAGACTCGACGTTTTCCATTTCAGAATATCATGTCAAACTTCAATATCTCAGAGCCTTCTGGGACCTTTCCTCCAACCTACTTTATTCCACCTTACATCGCGTGCGCAAGGATCTGGGAATCTTCTTAGCAGCCAGAAATCAGCCTTGTGTGCCACCGCCATGGATCGCCAACACGCCGCCGCAGAACCCGAACAGCGAGATGAATATGCAACTGAATGGGCTCATCGAGAGCTCAACACGATGCCCATAGCAGTCACTCAAACAAACACACCACAAGCTATGCTACTTACAGACGGTCGCGACACACTAAGTAGCTTTCCAACGTGTGCAAACCCACGAGATATTTCTCATTCAACTTCGTGGGAGACCTTCCAGCCTTATCAGCAACAAGCAGGATTTGTTGGATGTGACCACGGACAAGAATCAGGCCTGCCAGAAGAGGTGCAACAGGAGCTCGCCGAAGCGGAGTTGCGGCATACCGTAGCACGCTATGAGATTCTAGAGAAGGCAAAAGCCTTCTCCCCAAGCTCACACTCTCGGATTGTAGATGCTCCCTATATGGATCTCATCATAGGTAGCACAATCACCGACTATCGTGGGGAATCTGGTCCTTCCACCGCGCTCATGCATTCACATGAGCTTTTCAACGACGACCCTATGCCGAATGATAGCGGCAGCATGCGTGGCTTCGACCTCGGTGTCTGGCCCACACAGCAGATTTCAGATACCACGTTTGATCTGAATCCCCCCCAGAGTGGTGTCCATGATCCAGATCAGATGAGCATTACCCTTCCTAATATTTACGTCGACGATCCTAGTGCTCCCTATCAGGCGATGTATCGTGAGCCATTCACGGAGATCTCATTGCTACCCAGAACACCACCTTACAACAGGATGATTTCCATCTTGGATGCAGGCGACCACGGAAACAACGTATCTTTTCTGGAAGCTACTAATCATTGTCGCAACACGGAATCAGTTCTTACGCCGCAAGGAGGTGGATCCGTCGCTGTTGATACAGATATTCTGGAAACACATCAGATGGATGAGGCGGCCTACAATATAACGAGTCCTCTTACTGTTCCACCGTGGAACGGCAATATCGTTTCACGTCAAGGCCATCCCTTTGTTGCAGTGTCGCCTGGGTTGTCGCCTTATTCGACGATCGAGCAATCTGCTACAAGCTATGTCGATGCAGTAGAAATTGCGGTTCCCCTGCTCCATTCTCAAACCATGACAGTCGTCTCTGGAACCGGTGGCGACCAACTACCAATCGCCAAAAGGAAAAGCTGCGATTCCAATAACGCTGGCAACGACAAAACAATGTCCAGTCGTGCACTCGACAATATCTACTTTCACACAAGCCCTGAAGCTGATCGTGAACGTAAAAAACAGCAGCCAAAGCGTCGAAGGGTTACGACGAAGGCCTCTTGGTCCTGCTTCGGATGTCGCTTTAACAAAAGGAAGGTGCGTAAATCGATGTTTAACAAGCTCTTCTTGACTGGACCGCTAATTTGAACCACAGTGCGAAACTTCAATCGACGGTCTTTGCCTTCGATGCAAGGACATATTGAACAAGAATGCCTATCGCACACCAGTTCAAAAGTTTACATGTAATGTCAAGACGAAGTTCGTTGACTTTGCATATTCGTGCTTTACCGATGTACCGGATGCATCTGGTTATATACGACTCTTACTTGAATCTGACTTTGCGATAAAAGGATTTGGATCCACTTTGCCAAGAAATGTCGACAGCACCAAGAGATCTCAGGAAGCTATGGACAGCATGATCTGCGAACTTGTGGAGCGTCTCCGCAGCTTCCTCGACTTCATGGAGCCACTACACGTCAGACAATTTTTTTCACGGTCATCCGTTCTACCGGTATTATGGAGTTACTCTTTGAGCATAATCAAGTGGCAGAAGGTAATCGGCTTTCTTTGGCCGAGTCTGAAGGATGATCTTTACTTCCATAAGGAGTACCATATCCATATGCTGCGCCCAATTTCTCTCGGTTTGCTTGACCGTATGGAATACCTCGGAGACTATGTAATAGTTGCTCTGTTGCTAAACGTATGGTATGAGGAGATATCGGCCATGGACAAGAACCTCATGACAAGCAGCTCCGTGAAAGATCACCTCCAATCCTCTCTTGCGGACCGTATTCTACATATCTATCGTAGCCTCTTCCCTACCAGTACTACTGGTAAGGCCTCGCGGACAAAAGAGTTGAAAAGTCGCGCGGTGGCGCTCAGACTTTTCCCTTCCACAACCGGACTATTGCCGTCACACTATCGCCGATTCTCGATGGGCGATATTGCACGGAATATGTTACAGCAGTGGAAGACATCAATATGCTCAGATGAGAACCTACCTTCAGAAAAAGCTGAGTCGCACTGCCAGAAGCCACCGGAACATCCCTATCCTATCCTGAAGGCTTACGTTCCCGCACAACTATTTGTTATATTAGGCCTGGACACAGAAACGCAAGATTTTACTACAAATTCGCAATGGATGGAACCCATCGAAATGTGTATTCAGAAGCATCTCAAGATCTACGATGCAAACGTCCAGAAGGAGATACTCGACCTTTCGACCTATACCTTATCCATTGGGACCAAGGCGCTTTTCTTCAAGCTCGATAAAGTCCTTACAGATGAGGGTCTTGTTCATCAGGCCTATTCATCTTGGGATTGTAGTGGTAGAAAATGGCTGCATGGAATTGTTGCGATATCCGTTGGCTATTGCACAATGCTCATATCGTGTGTGCAGTTATTGTCTTTATCGCAGAAAAGGGAAGTAACTCTCGCTGAATTCGTCATGGAAAACCGAGACTTAGAGGATAAATACTTCCAGGTCTTAGTTGATGGCTCTGAATCTTCCAGAGCTAGGCTGTATGCAGATCTTGTCCCACGCTTCGGCCTCAGGAAACCAAGACAGAGAGGCCATGCGGCGCAGCTCATTCAGTAAGCTTCTCAGCAAGTTCAACAAGAAGGACAAAAAGTCTGAAGAAGTTGAAGTGGAAGACGAGCTATGGATTTCGATGGGTCATCGTAAGGCTAACGAGGTAGGGATGGCCTTCTCATCGTTTTGGCAAAAATGATTCAATGGAACCCGTAAGCGTCGCACGTAAGGCATACATACCGGGCAACTAGAAGGTCACGGTAGAATGACAAGCGTTTAGTCTATACCAACAGTGCTCGAGCAGAAAAAAAACCTTATGACAAAAGACAAAAAACAAAAACACAGGTAAAACGAAAGTCCTCATGTAGCATTCTTCCACCCCAGACTCTTCAACCCCACAAATTACCCCTCGCCCGCCTTATAAATCACGCCACGACATATCTCATGTCACTTTTACTGACAGACAATAACCCCATTATCTAGATTAGTCTGCCCAAAATCGACATTGTCACCACCAGCCCTAACATCATGTTAATCCCAGCTACCTCCACTCCAACGCAAAGTTTGACGACGACAGAACTTACACAATCGTAGCCACCCTCCTCGTGCCCGCCGCATCACTAAAGATGTTGCACCGCCCGTTCCCAGCACCAACAATCAGTGCACGGTTAGCAAACACAGGACGGCCCAAGCCAGCAAAGTTTGCACGGATAGAAACGCGGGAGCTAACATGTAATGGTTAGTTAAAACAGAAAACTAGCTCAACTCGTTTCGGTGGTGAGCTGGAGATTGTGAAGACAGTAAAACAAAAGAGATAAGGAAGAGATTGTTGTAGAAGGCATAGATGGCTGGGACTTACCCGTTAGCGGAGATGACGCGCTGGACGGCTGTGTCGACGGCGTCGTTGGAGAATTGGACGCGGAGACTGCCGGTTTGGCGGGTGTCGATGTTGACGGAGGCGGTAGGAGCGGCGATGGCCAAGGCCGCGAGGAAGGGGGTGAGGAGAGTGGTGAGCTGCATTGTGGTAGTCGTTTGGTGGTGCTGAGGATCGTGGTGCTGAGACTGTGGAGGATTGTAGTGAAGATGTTACGAAAGGACAAGTGATCATGGTATGTTGGCTTTATACACTCCTCCTTGCAGTCTGGATACAAATAGTACTCTTGTGGAACCCTTTCCTCAGAGTGATCCTCTTGCTTGACAGTGCCTGTCTCTCATCAGATTCCTATTACCCTTCCTATTCTGATCTCCCGAGTTTCCAGTATGCCATGCACGTCCAAGTACACGAGGCGCAATATTGTCTTGTTATAGGAAATGTTTGTTGTTGAAACATGCTAGATGGCTCGGTACCACGAACCATTATAAGGCTGACAGCAATTTTGCTGGCAATCGTCTAAGTATGGGTAGACATGAAACGCAGACCATGGCTTGTCGATTATTAGCGCTATTCTGGCGTCGGACACGTCGGGCTGATGTCAGATCGGGAGATGTGGGGTACGTAAGGCGTGACGGACGAGCCGCAAAGACGTATTATAGATACCATGCTTGGAGACGATTATTGCGATGTTTTATGATCGAGCTTTCCGTGGTTGTGAGGGTCGTGCATACATCAATTAGGCGTATGATGTCATAGTTTCCGTTGAATGCTAGGCACTGCACAGCCATTGCTACCAAGCACGACGGATCGTGAGCCATAGTGCATTGGGCAGTGCGACAGTGTGTAGCGAGACCATCCCTGGGTGTGTCAGCGATAGACTGCTTTCATTATTAGCATTAACCATGGGCAGTCCATCTTCCATCGTCACGTCATGGACGCCGACCGTTGCACGAGCACATCGCACACGACTTGTAGAGGGACAAGATGAACAAGTTTGACATATGATAAATTATTCATTTTTACTTATACATCGTGAACATACAATGTGTTGTACACACATACGGCCGTTGCAGTCTTCGCCAAAGTCGTCGTTGCGGTCATGTTTGCATCGAGCAGCCATTCGTCTATCGCCTGGGGAGAACATCCTTTGCACCATCCTTCAGTCTTTGGGCTGCATCGGCGACGGCGTCCTTGGTCAGGTGGAAATGCGAGCCAAGGCGGTCCTGCAATGGTATTAGTATCGCCTTCATGACAGCACGGATTCACCAGCTTACCTGCTCTGCACCCATTCCGCCACCAGCCAACAGCTTCGCCCTTTGCTGACCATCGTAGCCAAGACCAAAGTACTTGGCGTTCTTCTCTCCGTTTGCAGCCACGCTTCCCGCAGCCTGTACCGCCTTGGCAGCATCGATGCTGTGCAGGGCCGGGCTGAAGTGTGCGTTGTACCGGTCCTGCTCGGCGCCGTCGCCCTTGTACTTGGCAGCGTCCTTCATGGCGTTGTAGCCACGGTCACCGATGCTCAGATGTTCGCTGTAGCGGTCTTGCTCGGCACCCTCGCCCCTGGCCAGGGCAGCTTGTTGCAGCTTGTCGAGGCCCTTGTCGACACCGCGGCGGATGGCATCGGTTGAGGCGCCGAAGTGCTGGCCGTAACGATCTTGCTCGGCTGCGGAACCGTGTTTTGTGGTGACGTCGAGGTTGACGGGGTGCGTAGCCGCAGCGGACTTCTCGTCGGAGCTGAACCAACCCATTGTGATATGATTCGAAGTGATTGGGGTATGTGGAGCGGGTGTAAAGGTAGTAAGGACTTGTGAAATTGAGCTTTCAATTGCTGTGATGGTGGTGTGAGGTCGGAGGAGAGGTCGTGTTATGTTGCTGGGTTGCGGAGAACGATGACGTAGGAGCTAGCGAAGTGCGCCAAAATCCTTGCCCCGTGCCTGATCGTCATGTGAAGCTCACAGCCCGCCTCGGTCCACTAACCAGGTACATCATCATTAGACATGTCAAGTTTTCGAACATTCCGTGCTCTTATTTGTTTTTGTCACGTCCGCATGACGATGTTCTGCATCGGCGAGAAATGGTGGTCGACATACACTTCTGGCGGTGCACCAGCTCCCGCTGACCACCTACAGCCACTCGTGGCCACGCTCCTCAAGTTTGCGGGTGCGAACGCGGAAGCCTGCAGACTTGTAATCGACGGCTACATAATCTTGCGCCTGCCTATACGCGAAACCATGCCCTCGCAGTGTGCTAGCCGTGGCATGACTTTGAAGCCAGCGACTGGGGTTCCCCAATCGGGGACGTGTGGGTTTGTCGGGGTACTTCGGGAACCGCTGCACCGCGCTAACAAAAATTCACTGCAGGCGTATACCGTCCAAACACCTACACATCTGGACTAATGCAGAAAGAGCAAAAAGAACAAAAAGAACATTTTCCGACACCGGGAATCGAACCCGGGCCTTGCCGGCACTGTACAGTGAACTGACTCTGCTAGTGAGAGCGGCAAATCCTAGCCACTAGACCATATCGGATTTTGTTGGAAGAAATTTGACATAGTCATCTTATGACCTCGTTAGCCACCACGAAGTTGACATGTACTCAAGTCCTAGCCCGTTCTGGCTCGGGCCGACTCCATCATGGGCACAAAAGGGCTTCAAGCACTATTGTGGCTTGATCCCGACTCGTCTCTAGTCTGATAGAGCTATATACCCTATACAGCTGAATATTGTGTATCCGGTATCACAGAAAGGCACCTTGTTTGACACTGTTTGCTGCAGCTTCACAATGACCATAGTCCTGTCAGCTGCTGGCCGGCTTGCACTAATGATTGCTACGGTAATAGTATAAATCACAAAGACAGGCTCCCTTGTTCATCCCTCTTCTCCAGCGCCCAAACATCTGTCGCATTCTATTCCTGTTCTCCGTTCCAACCGTCATAGCACTCGATATACCCTCATCATGGACGCGAAAAAATGCTCCCATTGCCAGAAACCAGCCACTACGATCTGTTCTGGATGTAAAACGCATGTCTACTGCAACGGAGACCACCGACGGGCGGATTTGGACAACCATAAGGAGTATTGCGAAAGTGTTCAACTCGAAATTCTCTTATGATGGCCGCTGAAGTCGTCCAACAAGCGTGGCTCACATTGAAGAAATATACTTGGCCAATTCCAATCACAAAGGTTAAGCTAGAGGACCAGAAGGTCAGAGCCTACGAGGGCGGTACCGCTACCAAAACCTTGTTTTCAGATCTCTCAGATATCTGGTTCCCAGATCAGGTCGGTAAACATGCGCTCATGTGCTTTCGGTATCCTTTTATGCCCTTGGTGTTGACAGAATCCTTGATTACACAGCTTATCAAGCGTGAGTCTATTCACAACCCCTTGCAATTCATCATTGTTCTAATACTGTCCTAGAAAGCGAATCTCATCTCCATGAAGTTGAGGTCGAGCTGAAAGACCCACTACCAACCGTTACTTTTGTGCATGCAAACGGCACAAGAAAATCGAACTGGCCTTTTCACAGACTTATGCTTTTACGAATCACTCCCAGGCGGAGTGGTAAGCGTTGGTACATGAATCCGTCTGGCGCCGATTTCGGACTTACGCAAAACATCTTCTCGGCTGCAGAATTCGAATCGGTTCACGTCAAGAGGCTTTGCCGAGTTTTCAACGTTGGAAAATGCAGAGAATTCGAGGAGGCTTGCGCCAAAATCCAGAGATCCGATTCGTTTTTGACACAAATTGACTTGACCATTGCGTGGCTCATGCGAAAAGTACTCTCCAATTTTCTATGGCAGCCCGGCAACGCTCTGGCAAGTATCGTTCGGAGACCCGGCACAGTTTCTTCTGCTTGGAAACAATCCTTGACGAATGTGTTGACTGAGACTACACGTGGATACGTCGCACGTTACGATCCAAGCCAGTATCTACATGCCGTGCATCGCGAAACTGATCGAATTGTTTGTGAGGGCATGATACAAGAAGTGGCTCACCGCCACATCTTCGTTGACGTAAGAATGGCGGCGGAGCGTGCAGATAATTCAGCTCCTGAGACTGATGCAGCTGATGAATCAATTCAGCGGCTCGGAACTGGATCTTGTGCTGGCGGCAATAAGGCCGACGAACCTGGGGTAGGTAAGGTGTGTGTAGATCGCATGGTCTGATTGGGAAAGGCCTGACATAAGTTGTAACACCTTCCATTCTGTCTACGCTGTGATGAGAAGGTGCCATCTCATGTATTGTTTTTAGTGCCTTCCGCACCACTAGCGTATTACCTGCCAGGTACTCCGTAGCATCAGTTCATCATACTTCTATTCCAACACGCTACTCATCACTATCTGTACTCATGCCTCAATTTTCGACAATCCACAATAGTCCCTCATAGTTCATAACAGAACTTTCAACATCGTATACACTAACGGCTTGAGCTTCCATCTTGATTCTTCGCGCATCCCGACTCATCTCCACCTCGTTGTCGCGTACGATCAGAACAGATATCGCCTCCCTTCACCAGAGCCACTCGTCATAATCAAATTGCGCAAAATTGCCTACATCGCGACTAATAAGTCTCCACAAATCTCGGTCTCAAAGACGAAATTCCCAACTCAAACATGGAGCCCGAAGTACAAGCAGCGTGCGTCGTCTGTGGCGAGCCTGCTCACAACAGATGTAGTGCTTGCAACATGGATACCTCACCGCGTCGCTACTGCGGCAAGGTCTGTCAAGTGAAGGATTGGCCGACTCACAAGAAAGCTTGCAAGGATATCCAGAACACGAACCTTGAGAAGAAACTTACTCGCATGGTCGAGATCGTTCAACAAGGCTATTACGACTTCAAAAAGAATACGTGGCACATGCCTGTCGTCAGGATGGAGCGTCATGGGAGCGATGAGTTGAGACTTACCGTCATTGGACCACTTGATGGTAGCCGCACAGGATATTTCGTCAAATTTCCTCAGCTTCCAGTCTCAGACAAGCGAACCGAGAATGCTATACTCTGTGCGATGGCTCATAACGAGTACTCGGCTTGGATGTACAGCATCATTGGTGGTCTTACGGAAGGTAAGATATACTCAACTCACCGCACAGTATACCACTAACTCGCTATAGGTTTAGACGTCAAGATTGAGGAAGTTGACATATTCCTTACCCCGCGTCCCCACACGGTGAAAGTCCGTCAGATCAACGATGATGAAACCAAACTCTATCCAGGATACTTCCCAAATTACCAACATGGGGTCCTTCGCGTCACATCGACTAAGACGAGAAAGGTTTGGGCCGTCGATATCAGTGGCGCACAATACGGTATCTATCAAGCATTGTGGACATGGGAAGAATATCAATACTGTTTCATGGGGGATGTGCACCGGGTCTTTCCATTTGGTTTCCTTAAATCCGCGCTCAGAAGGATGGGTGCGATCCAGGGAGAACCAACTTTGGTCTTCCGTGTTGCGGGAAAGGTAGCAGACTGTCTTGCTAGTGAGGTGAACAAAGACTGGCAGATTGTATCTGGCGTAACCTTGTCCCAAATGGTTGTATTAGACGAGGAGAACTTTGCCAAACGCAAGTTGGAACTTCTGAGATTCATGGACGACGTGGTCCGCACTTTCGTTCACGCCAACGACTTTCAAGCAGAATACAAAGCCGCGATGGCTTACGAGCGGAATAATCCTGGGGTTAGTGAACAGCGTGTCGCGGAAGTCTTCAGCGACTGTCTCGCTACCATGGCCAGCTTCGGCACGGATTAAAGCACGACCTCTACGGGCGAATATCGCATAATCGAATCGCTATCAGATCATGGATTAGCTATCACAAGACTGGATTGATATTGAAGCAGAGCTCATGAGCACAGCGGAGTGGTCCAGCGAATGTAGCTTTGTATACGTTGGTCCTGGAGGCAGCACCAAATCCATGGTCTACTTACGTAGTTATAAATCACTGCGGGTTTCTCATACAACTACTCACCTGGCCTGTCTTTACATACCTACGCGTGTCATCTTTGGTAGCTTGGTCCTCTTCACCGTCTTATGAACCACGAACTCAATATATTAGCCAATGAGTGAGATTCTTGACACAACTACCAGCTATCAGAAGAGGCCGGAGATGTAGTGTGTTCCCGGAATCACCCCCACGCCGACCAAGCAAACTATTTGGAAAGCCTCTTTACACCCGACACCTACTCGATGTCATACTGGGTAGCACTACCTATAAACTCACCAATTATTCGAGTAAAGTACGCGCACATACCATTTAAATCGAAAGCTAAATGGTCATGGCTTGCTGCGCAAGAGTCAAGAGCCGGATGTCGAGACGACAGATAAGATTGTAGCCAAGAAGAGTTGTAGAGACATCCGGAAGCTGACGCAGCGCCGAACTTAAACCTCGAGTGAATTGAACATTGGAACAGTGGAAGCTTGGGCAGCGAACGTGGTTACCATCGATGACAACGGGATTCGCTCAGTCGGCGATGAGGTGATCGTACAATCAACTGATGGTGGTACCTACTCTAACGACAGCTAGTTTATCTCTTGTTCAGATGGCAAAGCATACTAAAGCGACGACTAGATGTACTCAGTAGATGCGAACGCTTTTTAGTAATCGAAGTCGGCGCGGTGGTGATGTAATGTAGGAGAAGGTTTACAAACAACATGATTCTGCGTGGACATGAGCATTTGACGCAGATGGAAAGAATAATTCGAGAACTTGTTAGTCACCAGATATAGTAAAGCCGAGTCTTGATACAATGTACAAATTACTCAATATCTACATAATAATTCCATCGTTCTTGACACACTTCTAATGCTTCTTGCTCTGGATACCCTTGAGGAAACCCTTGTACGCAGGCTTCTTCTCGTAGTTGTCATCCCAGAGAAGGGCAGCACCCTCGCCCGGGAAGACACCAGGAATCCAAGAGTACTTGTCGGAGATACCCCAGACAGTCATACCAATGCATCGCTTCACAGCCAAGCAAGACTTGGCAACGCGCTCGTAAGCATCAGCCTGGACCTTGAGCTTCTCGGCAGTAGCAGGAGTGTTCATGCGGAGATCGATCTCGGTGTAGACAACGTCGACGCCAAGATCAGCAGTCGCGCGAAGAGCAGCCTCGAGAGTCGCTTGGTCGGGAGCGGCTCCGGGAGCAGTGGGAGTGGCCTCGCTGGCAAGATGAGCCTGGTAGCCAACACCGTCGATGCGGACGCCGTAAGACTTGATGAGCTTGACGATGCGTTGGGCACCCTGAGTTTTCTCCGCGTTGTACTCGAGGTTGTAGTCGTTGTAGAAAAGCTCAGCCTTGCCGCGGTACTTGTTGGCGAAGCGGAAAGCAATGGGAAGGAAGGCCTCGCCGATGGTGTCATACCAGACACTAGAGCGGTAGGTACCATTCTCGTTCAGAGCCTCGTTAACTACATCCCAGCGTGTGCAGACGCTCTTGTAGCGGGTCATAACGGTCTTGATGTGGTTCTCCATGATGCCGATGAGGGTCTTGTTGTCGAATCCTCCCTCAGATACCCAGGGAGGTAGCTGAGAGTGCCATACCAGAGTGTGGCAATGGATTTGAAGGTTGTTTTTCTTGGCGTATGCCGCATATCGATCGGCGTCCTCGAAAGTGAAGTTGTTGCGGGACGGTTCAACAGATTCCCACTTCATCGAGTTCTCGGGAGTGAAGGAGTTGAAGTCGGCCTTGATGATTTCGCCCTCACGAGTCTCGTTGCGGAGAGTTAGGGCGGTACCGATGAAGCTTCGTCCTGCCTTCTTCATAGACTTGTAAAGACTGTCGTTGTCCTTGCCATGGCCGTAGGTACTATCTGGATGTTAGCGAGTCGTCGCTATGACTGGAACACGAGCTGCTCACGGGCTAGCAACGGCAGAGCCGGCAAGCGCCAGGCTGGCGACGATACTGGAGAAACGCATGTTGATTGAGGCTTCGAGAGTGTTGACCGATTCGAAGTTGTCTGCCACGGATACCTTTGAACAATGGACTGACCTGGTATGCTATATATTCTTCTGCGGTTATTCTAGAACTCTAGCGTATGCATGCTCAATCAATCTATCCGCTCTCGCGGTTCGTCTTCACCCCGGTCTTTTTGTTTAACCGGGCTCGTGGCTCATGTACAGACCTGCCTTTCGTTGGTATGAGTCCTTTGACCTGGCTGCATGGCGCCACCTGCTTGCAGGTTGCGGAGTTTCTCCAGACTAATCCACAAATCAACCGGCTTGGACCTCGGGATCATCGGGGTCAACTCCTGCTTCTGGGGTAGACGTTCTGGGCGCCGCTGTCCATAGCCTAAGCGAAATGCACATCCGGGGTGAGCAAGCACGTGAGATGCAGGTCCCACTCATGTCGTGAACGTGGATGCAGGTATAGCTGCGTCGATGGAAGCTAGCCGGGTAATATGAGATTGCGCTCAGCCTCAAGCGTTTACTCCATCCATCCGAGGACTCGATGGTGTTGATGATGGTGTTGATGTTGATTGAAGGGGTGACGGCGAAAAGTGAGGGGAAGTGCCTGGTTACCGGGCCGTTCAGGGTCCACGCCCGTGGTTGATTGACGCGACCCACAACACTGTGAACAGCGATCAGCATGCACAACAACATAACGCGCATCCCCTCTATGTCAAGCCAACAGCCCTTTTGTTGCGATAGTCTCCGCCAGCTGCTCGAAGCATATCGTAGACTCTATCCCCAGCCTCCATTCACCGGCAGATCTCGCAACCTTCGATGAATGACGACGAGAGAAGCCTTGGCGATTTAGCCCACCCGTAAAGCCACGATTTATCGTTTCCTATTTTAGCGTAAAGGATAACGTGTGGGCGTCCCGCCCCAATGACAAAAGGTTGGACTTTAGCCATTTAACCGGCGCCGCATCAATTTCCTCCCTTTGCGATACTGGCGTTTTTCGAATCCACGACACGATACTGACGGACTTGAACTTGCCACAGCAGAAGTAATCTGCGCGAGAGCCAGGCGCCGAGGTGCTCATGGAGGTGGCGACCGGAGCTATGGGGCCGACGACTGGCGCATGGCTAAAATTGCGACACGGCTTATTCATCCCGCCAGTGACTAGCTGCCCAGCAATTCCGCTGGAACGATGACATTGCGATGCCCAGTCAATAGCGCAAAGAGCGTATGAAGACAGTCCTTGGTGTCAAGCGGTTGCTAACAAGAGAAGCCAGAACGTTTGCTTTCACCCACTGTTCCAAGTCCAAATCGCCATCGTCATTCCAGATCTCTATTACAGGAGGGATAGCCAGTTTCAGAACCACAAAATTACAACTCTTGTCACCGCGTTCCGAATGTGTGTACTGTTCTACAGAATCTGCCGCTCGAACACAATAAGTGTTTATGGATTTACGCATATATCCGCGTGCTCAACTGGAGACAGTCGAAACTTTGGTCAGCGATGAACGAACCCACGGAACTCTACTCGTCGACGATTACTTATGACCGAAGGTTTAAACCGAACATGACGCAGGCTGCAATATACTGCATGGTCTCTCATCTCCAAAGTTCAGGATGCTCTTCCCAATTATTCCATTGAAGCCCTGAAACTATCGAATGTGGAGGGTGTGACGGCGCTCTTGTGGCAATAATGTTGCGTGTCTCTCCCAACAAGATGCATCGTACAACACATGTCATAATCGTCCGTCTCACGTACCCTGATAACTGCGTCTCAAGACCCCGTACTACGTTGTGAATCAACGACATTGCCTCTCACATCCGTATAGGGCACCATGCTTTCGGCATCTAGATTCGGTCGCTATGTACCCCACTGAAAAGACACGCAATGGTCCGAACGATACGAAGTGTCTATATTCTGCAGCACTGCAGACCTAATATTGCGTTGCGATTCCTTGCCACCCGAGGATCCCGCTCATTCGGACGATCCATTAAGGAGGCCTGATTACCTGTGACAAGACCATGGCTTGCAGCATGTCAAGCCCAATACGTGATGTAAGGAGAATCTGTAACACTTGCGCATTGCCGAATATCGCCGACTGTGCTATAGCAATCCCGAGAGGCAAGGGTCCCAGGCGAAGCTCTTATACATACTGGGGATAAGAAGATTGAGAGCTAGGTCAAGTCAAAGTACGCGAAGAGGTAAACTTGTACAGTGAGAGCAAGTTGATATTGCTGGATTGTAACATATCTGGGTACTAAGACTCAACGAAGCAGAGTCAATGCCTTCAGCCAACTGTAGTTACCTCGGCTTGCACTCTTGCCATTGAGTGACTTAGTCAGTTGTCAGGCCGCCAGGTGTGAGAAAAGTTCACAGAACGCTAACAGACGGTCAACGTAAGTGACAAAATTTGTAGTGCAGTGTAATGCGACGCGACTGTTTCTTCACGCGTCGGACACCCCAGCCATCCAATAGCAAGATATAGTTCCTGAATGATACGCGACCAGGGTACCCACCTTCGGTATCAGCGAGGAGATCTATCGCGGCTGGAACGAAAAGACCAGGAGAGGCGAACTTGGGCATGTCCTCCGGTTATGAGGTTGGGCATACAACGATCGACAGAGTTATCGAAGAAGCGAGCGAGATCAGCGAAAGGGTTGCAGACGCGAGACTTTTCCCCGAATGACGCTAGTCAATCATCACGCGTTGATTGGCTCGATGTACGGCACACCGCGTGGCTGAACAACGTTCCGACGTTGACGGACCGAATTTGACATTTTTGCACCCCCGCAAAAGGCCCGTCCTGTCAGGAGTGTTGCAACATGCTCTCATTTCGATTCAGGGAATCTCGCAGTTCGAGTCGCGGGTTTCAGCAAATCAAGGCCACGCCTACATCTACGCTGTGACGTCATTACCTATTGGAGAGCATCGAGGACGCGCACAGGCCGCTAGGCGCGATGACGGAATCCCGGATGCTTTGGATGCGAACTTTGGAGAGAATGAGAATGAGAACCACGTTGTGTATGGAGATGGGGTTGTTGTTATCATCCAGGTACTAGTCTGAGACTCTAGGTACCGGAGAACCTCGAGTGGAACAATCCAATGGGGATCTTTCCCTTACCCGATTTTTCAGTCGCTATCAACGCCCGATCTCAGAGCCCAGGTAACCATGCCCAAGGCCCCATGGCTCCAATATTAGCAGATCATCCCCTGGTTCATGCAACCCTGTAAATCCATATCAAGGACAGTCATGACTGACCCCAAGAATGCCTGTGCGAGGCTGACGCTGTTACACAAACACAACACCATACTTTGCTTCCTTGGAGGCCATTCGTTGTCGCGATGGCTTGCGCAAACGGTTCCACGCCGTTGCTCTTGCCTTGGACGAACAACTCGGTCTCTGCAGATGGCACCGTACTCTCCAGGGGCATTTCATTCTCCATCGGTACACCTCCGCAACCGTTCTCCTTGACGCCATCAACCCTTTCCGACAACCTCTTCATCAACAATGCAGCAGAATGTACGGCGGCCACGAACACGAGCTGCATTGGTCAGCTTGGTGGTATCTACGACAGTGCAGCCTCGACTACATTCGCAGAGGTCAACTACGCGGTATGGAGAGGCAGTAGGGAGTCTGTGGATCTAGCATCTGCGAGCTCTTACATCTTTTTCGACGATGCCGCAGCGTTCGGTCTCAAACCCGATGCAAACAAGTTCACCACATTTCCCATGTATACTAATGGGTCGACCGATAGTAAGTTCGAAAGATTGATTGATCCATACAGCACTGATACATCTTAGCGAACGCGGATCCTTTCATGAGGAATGAACCTGATTTCCGCGCGACTCTACCTTTGGGGTCAGACTCCAGTTTTCTCAACTTCCTCGTTGACGCAGGTCAAGCTTCTTCTCGGACATTCGGATTGTGGGCTGGATCAGAATCCGAAGAAACACCTCAAGACGGTCTGATCGTAGTTGGCGGCTACGATGAAAGCCGCCTCAAGAGTGCTGCAACTACATTTCCTATGTTCTCTGACTGTCCAACATGCGCTATTCTGACAGCCATCACCTACGATGCTGGTGGCACGAGCACTACGCTCTTCGCATCCAAGACGGACACCCTCGTTGTGCACCTGGATCCTTTTTCTTCGGACATAAGACTTCCAGCTGCGATGCTGGATGCTCTCGCTGCTGCAGAAAAGACTGCCGTCTGGAATGAAACTTCGCGGCATTTTGAGCTTCCTACGGATCCAGCTCCGGCAGGTACCATCACAGTTACGCTATCCGACATGGGTACTCCCGGTGGTGACGCATCGAAGCCTTCGGTTGCCACCTACAAGTCCGTCATACCGGCAACTGAGCTTTACAACCGACCACGGGCGTATAATGCTGCCGGAGTGTACGAAGTGGATAATGCGACAGTATTTAATCTGGCGGTAACAAACCAAACTGGCCCGGCCGGTTCAGTGACTATCGGCACTCTAGGACTTCCTTTCTTCACGCAGAACTACCTCATCGTCGATCCTGACGCACAAAACTTCCAGCTCGCGCCTGCAGTCGTTGCGCCGGCCGATCCTAAAGGAGCGGATGCGAAGGTAAAGCAAGTGTGTCGCGTCTTGCCCGGCGCGAAGCAAAAATCCCAGGTCGCCGCTATAGCTGGAGGGGTTGTCGGTGCCATAATCGGTACACTTCTCATCGTCGGTCTAGTCCTGTGGCTACGCAAGCGTAGGAACAATGCAACCAACCAACGACATTCTCGGGGCGAAAGCGATGCGCCAACTGCCACATCCCAGAACCCCATAGTTCGACGCATGCCTGACCACGTGTCCTTGGATAGTAGCTCTCTCGAATTGCCGCGTCAAGCTCCACCACCTTCCGCCATGGTGCTCAGCGACGGCACTACGTTTCCATCCCCAATATCCGGTCGTTCAAAGAGTACTCGCAGCGGCAAACACGAGGATCCTCGGAGAGGCTTGGTCCATGATAATTTCAAGAAGGTTGATGAAGAAAACGACGGGAGACTTCTGGATGAAAGGCCTATGGGATTGAGCGAGACGATTCATTCGCGTGGGACACTACCTAGGATGGCCGCGGAGCATACGGTCGAATGATAGCATTGTTGTCCGTTTTGTAGTCGTTGCGCATAGCGTGGAAACTTGCCGGATTTCCTTTCTGTCCTTACGATCCTGTAATACCCAACTGCGGAAGAATGAACAGGAATAACATGTGCGCGAGCACTCTGAATGTACTGTATCTTCGCCTGAAGCTGGCTTCTAGCTATAATAACAACAATGCGTCTTGCAATATTCATGAGCGCTGGACGGCCCACGCACGCGAATGGTGTGCTGTGAATGTTCGCTGAGATGTGATCCTATCACAATCAATTCTTCGAAAAGCTGTGATACGCTCTTCAGGAGAGAATTGGACGCCGTTCCTCGTGAACTCTTTCTCTACATACTTCTAGTCACGCAACAATGCTTACCAAATCATTTGACATTTTCTAGAGAGTAAGATCTAAGGCATGAATTACATCGTACGATCTTGTTGATGTCTCATATGACAGAGATGTCAGTTCATTTTCCAAAGGCGTGCGCGTGGTGATGCCACCGCAGAGGCACACCACAATTTTCATACAGCGCCTAACACCATGAGACATACATTATACAAAAAAGGTTTAGCGCTGCCCCACCAATCCTGGAGGGGCCGCCGTCTTCTCCCAGCCTTCCTGGATAACGCAACATCGTCTGAACATATTTACCCTCAACTCCATCAGCACGGAAGTCCGATCTCAGATGAGTTTTGTGCGATCCGCCCTTGAGAGGTTGTCTGCCTCATGGCATCGCATGGTCAAATCAACAACGAATTTGCAGATCTTGTCAACCTCGGCAACACTCTCCAGCAGGACACAATGTACCGCCAATCCGTACTTGACTCATTATAATTATTCACGTAGCTTCTACTACGTGCGAAGATATGTGCCGCTGGGCTACTATGGCAGCGATGCGCAAGACACAAAAGCTGGCCGTGCAATGGCATGCACCACCGGTTTCACTTCGGCAGTACAAATTCAGAATGGTGCATACGGAGGCTTCCATGGCCATCGACCTCATCGGAATTCAGTTTCGCCCCAACACTCTCCCACCAGCCCTACCGCTTAGTAGAAGTGTATCGCTTCTAGCATCAATGTTCTCGCTGTCGGTGCGTACTGATGCAAGCTAACAAGCCATTTACATCGCCTCATGATCGGCGCTGGAATCGATGTTCATCAGAAGTCGACAACCTCAGAAGCAGCGTGAAGGCGCGGAACAGTAGCTGTGCGATCTGTAAAGGCGGTCTTCAAGGCAAATACTCGGCAAGACTCTCATATGCTTCTGGGGGGATCAAGTAGTGTTGATACCGACGTGATTAGACCACCATGGCACGTTCTCCTCGGCTGAAGACTACCGAACCTCTGCGAAGCTAGATAAACTGCAGAGAAAGCGACTAGCCAGAGCGAACCGACCGCCATCGACTACCCACCTACATTTGTGTCCTCAACCGCGCCATGGAACGTCAACATCCGTCGGGTTCTGGGCCAACTCAATGATAAGATGTCCCCACATAACGGCCGCATGTCACCACCAATGCTATTCAAGGGCGGAGTAAACTTCATCTTGGATTCTCGCGGGGTGGGCGGTGATCCTCTATAGGGCATAATATGCTTGGGCTTATCTAGTGAGAATTACCACTATGATGGGGGCAATCTGGCGCAGCATTGACGGGTGCACGGAGTTAGCTTCGTGCTTGTAAATTCGCCACTCTATTAGGTGTCGCATGGATGGTTGAGAGACACGATCGGTGTTGGCTTAGACACTTCGTTTGCCTGCTCGCTCTTGCCTCGACGCTAGAGATACTGTCCTTCATTCCGCCAGCCCGCACTCGATCAAGGCCTTCTTACCCTGCGTACCCTCCTCCTCCCACCAAATATCTCTCATCTTCAATCCTACCTTCCCTACCAATTCCTTCCACTGGCTCATAGTGCGTTCTCCAGAGGCCAAATTCATCATCTGCCAATCCATCTTGGCATCGAAATGATCGAATTCTGTCTCCGCTAGAATGACCTCATGAATCAATACCACACTGTCCTGGGCCATCGCATCGACAACATTCTTCAAGATAGTAACAGCCTGCATATCCGGCCAATCATGCAGAAGCATACGCAGATAGAAGGCTTTCGCACCCTTCAAAGACTGTGGCATAGGGTCAAAGAAACTTTGTCCGACAGTCACGGCTCCGTCTGGCAGCTCCTTAGCCTGCGCTATCACACTGGGAAGATCCAACAGCACACATACGCCCTTCATTCCCTGCGCACGCTCGGAGAATTTGCGAACTTGATGGCCTATACCGCCGCCAATATCGACGAACAGGATGCGTGAAGGTTCGCTGATGGCAAGGCGCTCTTTGACGGGGTACGCTGCAACGAACGTGTCATGCTCGCCTGGTTTCCGAAGTGTCATCGTCTCATTGAATGCATCGAACATGCGCGTGTTCTCGGGCTTGTTCATGTAATCGAAGTAAGTCTCGCCTTTGCAGCCATAGGCGTTGACGAACGGGCTGTCGTGCGCATCGACAGGGTGTTTGTACCCGTTTGCGGCGAAGTAATCGGGTAACTTCACAGCTGAGCGAAAGTGGTACGAGAAGTGGATCACGGCGCTGCGGAGGGGTGAGCCAGTTGCCAGGGCGCGACCAAAAGCAGAGGGAGTATATCTTGGTGTGGAGTCTGCCGTGGTTGTGGTGGTGGGATTGAAAACTTCTGGAACCAGCAGTCGGAGGATACGTTCTGAAGGTTGTCAACTCGTGATTCTTTGTGTTAGGTCGATTAGAAGGAAGGCTTTACCGATCAGTCTGATGTCTGCTTTGCTCTTCTTTGCTAGTTCAGCAGCAGTGATGGGCCCATCATGTGCTACCGCGAAGTCGAGGAGTTTGAGATCGACGGCGATGATGACGACGATCGGGTCGTAAAGGGACTGGTATCATTAGCCTTGTGGCACGTCGTATTGCAATCGAAAAGACGCACGAAGAAGTGGCGCAGAAACTTTTCTAAGGGATTCTCCAGCGCAAATGTGAGCTTCTCTGAGGCCTGCAGTAGGGCGAGGCGATCATTCTCCTCAAGACCTGCTGGTCCCTTGTTGGCAAGGTCAAGGATATCTTGGGCGAGCGTCATGTTGCGATGGCTTGTTTGACTTGTTTGGGAACCAAGATGGGAAAGTTGACCTGCTCTCTGGTTCTCTGAAGCAGTACTTATACATTCGCGCTCGGCTTACGGTCACAATGATATCGATAGTGGAGACTCAGCTCCCCTGATGAGATGACCATCATACCGGAGATACCCAGCCATGTCCATCCCATGTCAACGATGCGACATATAATCAGCCTGATCAGACTACCGCGATACATCATGTGTATATCTCGTGCATATGCCGATCCCGTAATGTATCGGGTGTGTGAGAATACCGTGTGTCGGTGCGTGATGATACCGATATTGTGAACGCGCCGAGTTCACCATGATCCGCAGGGAGACCAGGTATGATCAAGACCTTGAAAGCTCGTAAGACTGAGGCAATCATCTTCCAGGACAGCTTGGTGGTAAATACTTGTTGTAGTGCTCAGTTCATTGCTTTATGCTACATTCCATCCGTAGAGGTCCAATGTGCGTATCTACATGCAAAGCAGCTCGGTCGCTTCCGGTAACAGGGCTACACTGCTTCTGGTCTGGAGCTTGATACACAGAAGAAAAGACTCTCTTGTAAGGTTGAGGGTGCAATTCTGCCCGCTCCAACTGCATGAGGCAAATCTCGCCGCTCTCTAATAGCTGATAGGTCTTGTGAGTCTGTAAATATACCGAATTTCTTGGAAGTTGAACAAATGAATGCACCGAGTGTTTGAATGCGCCGAATGTGTGGATATACCAAGAAGATAGTGCTTGAGGCGGAGTCGGAATCAGTGTTTGCATATGCAAAGGGGCAGCCCGATGAGTAATCGCGAGGCTTGTTGAGGTAATGGAACGCCGCCTCTTCATTCATACTTTCCAGGCCGGGCTGTATCATCATCGTCTTTCCCGAGACTTTGCGCATCGACGCCCGCCAACTTCTCATCAAATCCTACCCCGGCCTTTCATCGCATGTCTCCCAAATCAAACAAATACGAAGGAATGCAGCAAGGTAATCCACGAATCCCCTACAAAAGGAAACTCTCGTTCAGTTGGAACTCCCTGTCAGCCTATTCACATACGGATGTAGAGCGATGCGCAAGCAATGTCATCTCGAACAATGGAATGGATCGAGTCTGCTGCTGATGTTAACCACATACCCATCAAGCGATGGTATGCCGGTTGATTTCTTCATCGCTAGATGACGCGCCATGTCGATAAGAAGCGAATATTTTGGCTCGGAACACCGGCTCAAGCCTGAGGCTTACACGAACGTTAGAACAGGTACATGGCCACGAGCATCGCGTACGACCGTACGGAGTAGCCGTTCCATACGCGCATCTCGTTTTGCATACCTAGATGCTTTTGGATGTACCGAAAGGTGCGCGTCGCTATCCATTGGCGGTGGCTTAGCTTCCCCGCACTTCCGGAGAACGCTCCTTGAGCCGTCGCATTGGCACCTGTCACTAGCACCATCAACGTTTCTGCGACTGCAAACTCCGGCCCTACCTGCTGGGCGGGCTTACATAGAGGCACGTAGATCGACATTGAGCCGCGATCTCGCGTAACCCCAGGCTCGGCAATGACGATTCTGCCTTGGCCTGGGGTATTCTACATAGGAACCATCGTGCGAGGTCGCACATGCGCTATCACGCGGTGCCACGATTGGCCCTTTCTGGCGACTTCCAAGTGTTTGCAGCAATGTTACACAGCACGCCGTTCTATTACACGTGTTGCCCCTTCCTGTAGTCATCGTTGCCGGTGTAAGCAAGGCACCTTTGAGACAACCGCCCTCACCGGATCGTGTACCATGCCCCCATTACAAAAAGCCAAGACTCGTCCCAACTGGGCTCATCCTGACACGGGTTGTTTTCAAGACTTGGAATTGGAACATCACCGGCTATGGCGGAGCTGTCCGGCACTCTCGGCGTGGCTGACAGCAAATCTTGAGCTTTTTTTTTCAGCATGCAATTGAGTGTACCAAGGCGCAGGAAGCCCACGCCCAAGGCCTTGGCTATCTTGTCCTTGATTCCGCCCGTTGTGACAGAGATGACAACTGATTATAAAAGGACATATCCGCTCCGCCGTATTCGTGTAGATCATCTCAGTACCATAGTCTCGAAGAAAAGTGAAGCTATTCTGTTTTGCGCTCTTCTGATCATTTACCCAGGCGGAAGAGAAAGAGCAAGCACACTTTCAAGATGCGGTACTGCACCGCGGCTCAGGCATCGACATGTCTATTGCTATCGATCTCTTCTTTGACCAGCATAGCCTCCGCGTGGCCGACGTACAATCTACATAATTCACAGTTGGGGAAACGTCAGGGGCCAGCTGACCTTCCGCAGCAAGGAGGTCAAGATGAAGAGCCCGTCTTCAACGAAGAGTACGACTTCATCGTTGCAGGTGGTACGTAGTATACATACCCCTGTCCCCTCATAGACTACTCCAGAACACATTCCATTTGCATTCGCTTGCCAGCATACCTCGATGGTTCCTTTAACAGCATGCAGGGGGAACAGCCGGTCTCGTTCTGGCGAACCGTCTCACGGAGTCTGGTCGTTTTTCTGTGCTGGTCCTCGAAGCCGGTCCTAGTCCTGAGCAGGTCTTATCACACGAATCACCTGGCGGCAATCAGTTCATCAAAGGGAGTGTTATCGACTGGGGTCTTTTGACCACACCACAAGAACACTTGAACAATCGCACTCTGCAGTACCTTCGTGGACGAACCCTTGGTGGGTCTAGCACGACAAATGGTCTTTATTATGCACGAGGCTCAGCCAGCGTGTACGATCATTGGGCCGAGTTGGGCAATCCAGGATGGGGCTGGAACGATGTGTATCGCCTGTTTAGGAAGAGTACAAAGATGAATGCGCCCACTGCAACACCAGAGCTTTCAGTGTTCAGCCAAGATTACAAGACGTTCGACGCTGATGCGTATGGTGGAGGGCCACTGGAGCTAGGCTTCCAAGGATATGTCCCACCATCTACAGATGGTTTCATTGTCGCTTGCAGCGAAGCTGCGAACATACCTATCGTCGAGGATCTTAATCTTGGTGACGGTGTAGGTGTGAAACACGGAACGGCTACCCTTAACAGTATGCTCCGAAGAAGCTCTAGTTACGACAGCTTCTATGAGCAAGCTCGCAACCGAACAAATCTACGGGTTTTGCATGACGCGCCTGTCACTGGAATCGTTTTCAGCAGCCCATCTGGCAATGTGACAAACTCCACTAGCAGCAGACCGTGTGCCATTGGTGTCAGCTATATCAACCAGTTGACTGGCTTTTCAAGTCAAGCAAGAGCACGAAACGAAGTCATCGTAAGCATGGGCGCTTTTCACTCGCCTCAGCTCCTCATGATCTCCGGCATTGGCCCAGCTGCTGAATTGGAGAAGGTCGGCGTACAGCCGGTCGTGATTAATGAAAACGTCGGCCGCAATCTCAACGATCACTCAGTGTTCAGTATTATGGCGCGTGCGCAGGATAATGCTTCCACAACTGACATGTCTCGCACACCCCAAAATTTGCGCGCCGCTCAAGAGGCATACTACCAGAACCTCACCGGTCAATACACTGCTCCATCCGGCGTGACGAACGGTTTCCAGAAGCTCACCGAGCAGCAACTCCGCGACATCGGTGCGCAAGCTGTCATCGACGCCGGTCTAGCGAACCAAACACACATTGAATACCTATTTGAGAGTGTCTGGTACCCGTGGATTCCCACACCATACTGGGCACCACTACCGAACGACTCCTACATTTCCGTCACCGCTTCTAGCATGGTCCAGCTGTCCCGCGGTACCGTGACTCTCCGCAGTGCCTCCATGTCTGATAGCCCCCTCATTAATAGCAATTACTATGCCGACCCCACCGATAGCGCTGTCGGTATTGCCTCGTTCAAATATCTCCGCTCCATTCTTCGCCACCCGGCCTTGTCCCGCTTCACGATCGGGCCGAACGCTGGTGAAGTCAGCCCTGGCCCCGCGGTTGCTGATGATGATGATGAAGCTATCTTGGAGTACATCAAAGCGAACACGATTCCAAACTGGCATGCTACTGGTACGAACCAAATGCTGCCGTTGGAGAATGGAGGTGTCGTAGATAGTAGGCTAAGAGTGTATGGCGTTGATGGATTGAGAGTCGTTGATTGTAGCATTGTACCGGTACTTCCGGATGCTAACATCTTGGCGAGTATTTACATGGTGGCAGAGAAGGGTAGCGAGATGGTCAGGGAAGATTGGGGTGATGAGATGTCTTACTGAAAATGCAAGTATATGAATGTACATCAAAGTATTTCTTTGATATTCTTACGGCTATCGAGTATGTGAGCAACTGCCTGAATGTTTGGAGGGACCTACAGCGTGAATCAAGCCTCTCCAAAGATATATATATATATGCCATGACGTTATCAAACCATGCCGGCCCACCTCTTGATGGTTATGTTGCTCCTTCAGTATGACGGCATCGTCAGGTGCAAGCATTCGAGCTTGGTTGATTGGCTGCAAAGTGAGAAGAGCGTCCGAGATTCTTTCCCAGAGTCTAATGCAAAAAGCTGTCCGGTAAACGTACTTGGCAGTCAGAACATTGGGAAAGCTCCATGTGTAGCTATCTTTCGAGTATCCTTGTTGGCAGCACATGCGGACCACGTCCAAGCCAGCCTCTAGGTGCCATCGTAGCGCTTCGGGTGCCATCGCTCCACCAGACTATTTCGGCTTGTGTAATCTTGAGACCGAGCGAGCATTGCAGGGCCGCAAACCTGTCAATCGAAGTTTCTCCATTCATCTTCATAAGCTCTGTCCAGGCTCTACTCTCACGCATGCACAGCAACCTCATCAGTGCGTCTCCCCAAATCGAGGTCGCAATTTTCATATTGTCCTCATGATACGACTTGACTCCAAGTTCCTTGATCTATGTTATAAGATGGAAGCTGTGGTCGAGATCTTCATGCTCGTCGGATGCCATGCTGCTTTCAAGCTCGGATGCGATATTCGGGATGACAGGGCCCCGAAATTCGATGCTGCAAGATTCTCTCAGCAAGAGTAACGGCCTCAATGTCGCCTTTTGGGTGGTCTCGGAGAAGAAAGTGGCAGGGTCGTCCCTATACTATGGGCGTTCATGATCGAGCATCGGGGCTACATTGATGACCATTGTTACCATGTCAGCTAGCACTGGCGATATGGCCTCTATCCTCTTGAAGTTACGGCAGAACAGCTCAAGATCGATGGCACGAATGATCATATTATTCGATTGGGATGCGCATGATCGGCTCTGGTAATTGCCGAGTGGGTAAGTCGACATAAAGATGTCTACCAAATATCTACGTTTGGTCTATTAGTGGGTGAAATTCGTGCAATAGTTTGAAGTTTGAGCCAGGAGATCTCGACGTGCCCAGTGAATTGCGCTGCACGGTGCCCAGTCGCGACTACCGCAACACCCAAACGGCAGAAGATTCTTCGAAGGGGTAGACCTTGTGTAGAGCAAATGCGAATGAAACGGTTGGTCTTAACCATGACATTGTAGGCTTCGCGATGAATCTGGCTATTAGCAAGAAGGATAGTCAGGTCGTTCGTGTGCGGAAGGCTGACAACACGCAATGTGTCAGAACCGTTGCTGAGAAAACTGTTGCTGAGAAAGCCGTCGCTGAACTCCCTGGCGTGGCCAGGGTAAGGTCTGAAGGAGCAAAAAGATAAAGCGTACACCTTGTTACGCAGCTCTCCAGGAAGGTCCATGAAGCGGAAGGGTGCGATGGGGTCAGTATTAGCCATGCTAGCCATCCCAGTAGGGATAATGTCGGCGTCAGCCATCTCGGCTTGGGTTACGACAGCCGTCTCTGTGATAGCTGGGTGCAGGTGTTATAGAGGTTTTGCAAGACAGAGGGTAACGGCGTAAGGTTTTGCTTTGGTCTCTAAGTGCGTGAGGTGGACTTGACTCTCACTTGGCGATGGTGACGCAGCGGGTGTTCACCGAGCAGTACAGGGTCGGAGCAAACGAAGCTAAGCGAGCAAATTCACCTATCATTGCATTAGTCTAAGAACATGGATGAAGGATGACGCACCATGCGAACCATTGTATTTCAGGTTGAGGTCAGAGACACAAGTAGATCTTGACAATACAAAGTTAGCGACGAAACACACTGTCACGTGGGAACACCTCATCTACCCAAGTCAACGATAGGAGCAGTCATATCTAAGGTTCCATCATATGTAGATAGTCTCAGCGAGAGAACTCACAAAGTCCAGGGCCGTCTCCACCAGCGCGCTTCCGTCGCAGCCGACTCTCTAACCCCATGTAACTAAGATAGAGTCCCAAGCCAAGCATCAGAAGGAGAACTAGATTTCCATCGCATGTGGTGCAGCTGAGTTAGCATCGTAGTTCTTTCCGGAATCACGCCACTTGACGATGGCGGCACGTCCCTTCTCCATATCGTTTTCGTCGGGGCTAAAAACGATTGCCGTATCGAAAAGACGGAGCGCCCGAGTAGCATCGATATTGCCGTCAATAAACATGACGAGCAACGTCCGCCATTGAAGAAAGGTAGCGAATAGAAGAGCTGAAGGCGTCCATCTGCAGCCCTCGTGCCAGTAGCCTGTCCTCCTGCATTCTTCCGCTGTAAAAACAGTTTCTTCTATCATCACACGAAGGCTTTCCTCCATCACTGTAACCTCACCGTCGTCTACCGCTCGAAGGTAGGTCCTGAAAATGTAGCAGAGATTAAGCAAACAGCGATAGAATAGTTCTTAGACGATTGCGTCGACGAATGCATCTCCTGCTAACAAGAGGAGGTTGCTCCATGATGATGATCTGCGGACACGACCAACTTGTGTCACACAACGACCCCATATGAAAGATGCAGCATTCTAGGAGCCGTTTACGAACTTCTCTTGTCTTTTTAAGTCTCTCAATTACGATTTTCTGAAGTATTCCGCGGTGATCTGACCATTCGTCCTTGCGCATGTCTTTCACAGTTGTGATCGCGAGTTGGTGTGATACGTGGCCATGCACCCGAACATCCGGGACAACTCGAATGTAGGCTGAGAAAGGTGCTAGCAAGCTGCGCTGTATTTCCTGGGAAATGAAGGGGTGGAGAGTATCTTTGTAGATGGGAATCGGTTTGTTAAGTAGAGGCGCGACCTTCACGTCAATTGTGACAGCTGCATCGGCGATAGGTCGATTGAGCGTTTCGTAGAAGGACGGAAGGTCTCTCAAGAGAATCATAATGCTCATTCGTGGCTCATCTGATGATTTGGGGGAGAATTTTGACTCCAACAATGTGACCTCCAGCAAATAGCCGTCGAATTGAGAAATGTGCTGCGCATTTGTGGTGACCACTGTGATAGTGCTTGCCTTGATCAACTTTATGAGAGATAGAGCTGTGTTTGTACAAATGACAATGAAGCGGTTGGTCTTCACCATGGTGTCGTATGCTTCCCGGTGTACTCGATGGTTGAGGAGGAGGATAGTTGTATGGTTGCGATGAACAGCTACGTCAAGAGGAGATCGCGGGCGGTCGAGGGTTTGTTTAAGAGGACCGAAGGAGCATAGTAAAAGAGCGTAGATCTGGTCGCGAAGCTCTCGAGGCAAGTCCTGAAGATTGGTGTATGTAGTTAGTTCCTGTTTCATATTCAATTCGCAACCGCCAAGCTCTGCCGTGAAACCAAGGACTGGAACACAAAGGGAAATCACCGTCCTTCAGTAGCAACAAAAAGACCTAAGCATGAGTAGAGATTGCTGAAATCGATTCTAGAGCTGTTGTATCCATGCGAGTATGGTCTCGCGTTCTCTCATGAGTGCAGCATCCCCCGGTTGCAGACGAAGTGCGGCATCGATGTATCTTAACGCACGATCTGCATTTTCAGGATTTCCTTCTAACCTCATGAAAAGCGCGTTCCGGTATCGCAATTTGGCGAGATGCTGAACGGATGGTTTGAATTTGTAGCCGGATTTCCAGAAGCCTTCTTTCATCGACCGAACGGCGGACATGATCGCACCTTCAGCCAACATTTCAGAACCAAATTCAGACGTCTTCATGTTGCCAATCTGGACGTGAGCAATGTTGAGTTGCATCAGAAAGTACAGTGGGGCTATTTGTGAGACAAACTCATCACCTCCACGTCGAACCAAATTTGGCCAAGAATCAGACTGATGCAACTTATCCAGCTCGTACACAGCGTCTTGCCAACCCATGCAGGCCTCTTGTATGTCGTTTTCTTTGGATGTTCGTGTATACCTGTCTTTCTCTGCAGCGAAATCTGCTAGAACAGTTGCAGGGTTGGAATATCGGTCTTCAGCGAGGCTTTGACGAACAGCAATTGCCAAGTTATTGTCCACGTGACCGTCAACTTCGACTGTTTTATACCCATACAGTTTGGCCATGAGAGGCTTCAACAGCGTTTCCTGCGTCTTTTTGTTGAAGAAATTGGCGAAGGTAGGCGATGTATTGTTGCCTTGAACGAAGTCTAGAATTGGAGCCATAGTGATGGAAATCCTGACTTTATTAATGAAACCCGAATCGTGTAGTTGTACATCGTTCAATGCTTCACAGAAACTCTCCATGTCACTGTGAAGGATCATAGCCGTGACGGGTTCAAATAGACTATGGGGGTCATGTCCGGGATCATGGGTGATAGAGATTTTGCCCGGGCTTTTAAAACCAATGTGTATACTAAGCACGTAGCCTTTGAATTTGTCGACAATTTCTTCGTCAATCGCGACCATCCGAATCGCCCGCCCTTTCAAGGGACCCCGCAGGGAATGACCTCGAGACGATGTGATCTTGACGAAGCGGTTGCTCTTAACCATGACATCGTAAGCCTCGCGATATGTTTCCTTCGATGTACGCAGTATACTAGTCTCGATATCATGTTTGGCAAGTTCGGGGGTGAAGAAAGACGAGGGCTCTATCGTAGTTGGTGGGGGACCGAAACTGCATAGTACGATACGATAGACCTTATTACGAATCTGTCATTTCCGAAGTCAGTGAACGATACATAAATGGAAACTCAGGTGGCTTACCTCGCCAGGAAGGTCACGGAAGCGAAATGAACTCGAAGACGCCGCAGTAGCCATTGTTGTGTAGGAAGGCCTGAGGTTGTGCCTGATGATGTCTGATGACGATGGAGCCACGGCTTATCCAGATATCTGTGATATGTCACACTTTTGCTTGAGATGGTGTGGAAAAGGTGATACTTGGTATCGAGGTATGTAAGGTGGTTAAGGTGTACAGCGCGGGGAAGCTGACAAGCTGGGCTAAGGTTTGACGCTAAAACGCGAAGACACGTGACCTGGTAAGATCAACTATCTACGCCTAATCCGCTTGGTATTCCACTCAAGAACTGATCGTGTCCGTACTTCAATGACTGCTTTGGTGATTCTAAAGATGATCCGTCAGGCGACGTGACGTACCGAAGCTACTAAATTGGTGCCAGCTCAACCACCGCCGATTCTGTTTTGTCATGCCTCGCCACCGACACGATCTCCAGCCCAGCCTTCGCCGCAAGCTCCCCAAATGTCTTCTCACTGCGCACCTTGCCGCCAATATTCAGGATGAACATGTCGACGGTGCTGGTATACACGCTGGGCTGTTCGGGACGCAAATACTCCGCGATCAGCACGCGCGAATCTTCCGCGCAAGCCGCACGCACGTTCTTCAGGATCTGAAGGGCTTCGTGGTCGGACCAGTCGTTCAGAACGCGACGTATATAGTACACGAGGGCACCTATAGCATTCGGTCAGTTCATCCCGAATTATGTATGGCGAGAAGTCTCGATTTTTATACCTTTGGTAGGTTGTTCCCCGAAAATGCTGGACCCAACCATTCTTACTGGTCCCAAAACAGCGGAATCCTTGTGCTCTGCGACCGCCTCGTCAATAACATGCGGCTGATCTTGCAGAACACATCTGGCCGCGGGAATCGCTGGCGTCTCCTCTAGAATGTCTTTCAACGCCTGTCCTTTACCACCGGCAACGTCAACAATAAGCACCCTCTTCTCATCACCTGCAGCATACGTAGCGACCCAGCTGAAATCGTATACCCCTGTGACAGGGATATCGCCATCAATCGCCATCGCGCCATTCATCCTCGTCGCTAAACCTGGAATAGCCGCCATGATCTCGTACGCCGTCTTGTCAGGCATACCCAGCGCGAAGCCACCCGGCGACCGATTCGATCTCGGCGGCTCGGCGAGCCCATTCTCTGCGAAATAGGCTGTCCAACGCGTCGTCGGCCCCATGAAGAAGTCGAAGAGATACGAGTAGAATTGCGCGACACGCGGGTCTGTGAAGGCCTTTGACGAGGGTGAATGGGCCACGTGTCCGGGTGCTGGGGATGTCAGCACGCCGATGGAAAGTAGGAAAGCCGCGAATCGTTCGATGAGTTTGTAATCCACTTTCAGCTTGGTTGTAAGGTCTTCAAGAGAGATACCCTCGTCTGGAATGGCACCGAAGATGCCGTGCTCGACGAAGACGCGCATTACTCCCATCTCAGCCATGGACGCAAAGTATCTGCCGATGGGCGTCTCCGCCAGAGAAAATTCGGAGGCCATGGTTGGTTACTGGTTATCTAGGTAAATGGAAGGGGCACAGAATGTGAAGATGGTTTGAGGCATGCGAGACTGCACGAAGACGTTATATATATCGTACGTCTATACAGCCAAGAATTCATGCATGGCAATCAAGGCTAACCTCCTTACCAGCTCCGGATAGGAAGCTTACACGGCACTAATTCGGTGTTCGTTCTCTAATACACAAGCTTACTGGACTCAAGATTCAGTACGCGATCATCGAACCGCCTGTAACAGCACTGGTTTTCCCGAACGCATCCCGTACAAGCTCCTGTGCCCAATTAGGCCAGCCTTTCAACCACGATATCGGCGCTCCCCAGCTAGGAATGAAAAGCTGCGCACCGCGTCTCTTAATAATCTGCCTGACAATAACCTCCGCGACCTCCTCCGGCATCATCATAGTCTCAAGAATCTTCGGATCCTGGCCACTCTTCAAGATCATGTCCTCGATCAAAGGAGTGCGCACGAAAGCTGGGTGTGCAATAGTAGTCTTGACACCCGACGCTTTATACCAGATCTTCAATTCACTGGTAAGACCTTCGTGGAACGACAATGCAGCGGTTTTGGTCGCCACATAGTCAGCGTTCGCCGAGTTTGTCAGGAAAGAGTTCACACTCGCTACCGTCACAACATGGCCTTTGTTCTTCGCCACCATGTCCGGGACGAACTGTTGGACTAATCGCCAATGCGAGAGAATATTTACATCGAAGATACGGCTGAGAAACTCGCTTGGGGTCTTCAAGATCGTGTGAGAACCCGTTATGCCGGCGTTGTTAACGAGGATTGAGGGACGTCCCAGTTCGTTTCGAATTGTATCGGCTACCTCTGCTATTGCTGTAGGGCTGGAGATGTCGCACCGGAAGCATGTTAGCAGGCTGTTTGATTTGAATGCATTGGGTGCATCCTGCACATCGAGCACTGCTACGCGGATCCCGCGCGACGTGAGAGTCTCCGCAATGGCTCTACCGATCCCACTGCATCCTCCGGTAACGACTGCTATCTCAGAAGACCAATTCCAACCGTGTCCAGCGCGTATCTGCCAGTTATTTGTAGCCCACGCGTTTAGCGCTGCGTTGATATTTCTGATCACACCCACGGTGACCAGAAAACCGAGTGTTTGAATCAGATTGGATGGGTTGATGGTTCCGGAGAAAGACGCTGCTTCCAATGCGTCTCCCCATGTCTGTTCTGGGGTGTACAGCAATAATCCGAGAATTGGCCCGGTGATGATCGGCTGGAGAGTACATTTGGCGATGAGGGTTAGCCCTTTGAAAGGGAGCTCCACGATTGCAGGCATGATTTCAAGCAAACTGGTAAAGAAAGATAAACAACTATCAACGGCCTTGTCTTTCGATGCCTTGAATGTCACTATGCGAGTCGCACGCTAGCATGGAAGGTATCCACTTGATTGGCTAGGGGGTAATCCGGTGGTTTTGGGGAACTTCCGGATGCGACTTGGTGTCTTTCGGCTAGGCGGAAATTCGGTGGCTCTTGCGCTCACCGACAAGATCTAGAGGTCTCCAGGCCAGGCCACGATTCTACCTTTCTGAGATTCGGATGAGGAGGATAACGCAGGGGTAGTCGACTGCTGCAGGGCTTGCGAATACGATGCAGGGCCTTTTCGACCCACAAATAGAGACACCTCATTGTTTAGGGCTTATTGCTGCAACCAAAGTCACTGATATTGTAAGGTTCTCCGACAGTGGACCATGAACAGCACTTCCGAGTATCGATACGACAGCCAACATGTCTTCATGGGACCCAATCCGCAGCCGCCTCATTTTCCAAAGTGGCATAGGCTTCATATATCGCCAACTGTTCATGCACCCTCCTCCAATCGCAGCCGATGTCAAACTTGACGGCCAGACAGCTATAGTCACCGGATCAAATACCGGTCTAGGGTTCGAAGCAGCACGGCAGCTTCTCCAGCTAGATCTCTCTCGGCTGATACTAGCCGTCCGGTCTCAAGTCAAAGGCGACGTCGCGGCAGAAACTCTCCGCAATGAGTTTCCAATCGCGGAAGTCGAGGTCTGGATTTTAGACATGGAAGATTTGGACTCTGTGTCTGCATTTGCCATGAAATGTCAGACTTTGGGTAGGATTGACATCGTCATCCTCAATGCTGGTGTGCAAAATAAGGACTGTATTGTCTCCACCAAGACAGGAAAAGAGCAGACTTTCCAAGTCAACTACCTCTCAACAATCATGCTAGCTGCGCTTCTCTTGCCGACTCTAAGGTCTAAAGGAGGTCTGGGTGGGAAGCCAGCTAGACTTACGATTGTGACATCTACCACCGCATATTTTGCGGATTTCAATCACGAGAAACCAATCTTGCCGCAGTTTGACGAGAAGTACGATCCTACGAAGTGGTATGCCCGCGAAAAGTTGCTGCAAATGACTGTTGTGAAAAGGCTGGCAACGCTGGTCAACCCGGATGAGGTGACTATCAACACGGTTTGCCCGGGGTTGGTAGGAGATACGGAGATTTGGCGCACCATCAACACAAGTGTTGTTTTGAGATATATGTTCTCAATTTACTTTGCTCTGTTTGGTAGGAGCTTGAAAGAGGGTGCCAGTACATACGTTCATGCCGTGGCAGTCGCAGGGCGAGAAAGCCATGGAGGTTTTTTGAGCGAGTGGGGAGTACGCCCGTAAGTGAATGTCCACTCCACTGCGTTTCGACCAGTCTTTGCTGACATCATGCCAGATACCCTGCTTTGATGTATTCAAAGCGCGGCGAGGATTTGCAGAAGAAGGTTTTGAGCGAAACCAGGAAACTCTTGTCATCCCTCGACGTCTCACAGGACTTAATGCATGAGTTCTAGTTAGAAGATCGAAAACTTTGGTGTTCATCGGAGCTTCCGAACGGCATCGGAACGTTCCGGTACGCGGCATCCACACTCGAGTATCTTTGAGCGGAGCTACGTCCTTCATCCACACTGCGATAGCATTGTAATCTTGATCTAACTGGCTGTACGAATCTATTTCAACTATTTCGTCCTAAGACTCAATCTGACATTCAACGGCGGGTGTACGTAAGAAGCGCGCACGGGTTGATCATGCCATGGCTTGTCGTACCACTCGCGATCTACGAGCTCAACATCATACTTCCACAGCAGCCGGGCCATGATCTGCTTTATTTCAGAATGCGCAAGATTCTGACCAATGCAGCTGCGTTTTCCCGTTGAAAAAGGCTGAAATGCCACTTTCTTATCGCCTTCAAAGCGAGGGTCTCCAAGCCATCGTTGGGGAGCAAAAACCTCTGGCTCGGTGAAGTTAGCTGGGTTATGATACATTGCCCAATGCCATATATCCACGCATGTTCCTCCGGGAAGGAAGTATCCACCGACGACCTCGCCATGGCGTTGGATCAGTCGCGGCACGGAGCCTACAGCGGCTGGGTAGATACGCAGGGTCTCATCTATAACAGCTGTAAGATACTTGAGTCGCTGCGCGCTAAGAAGAGTGATCTGTGGTTCACTATCAAAAGATGAGTCAATCTCTTCTTTGAGCTTGGTGAGCACCTCTAGATGGGTACAGAGTAGGTAAGTCGCCCCGGTAAGTGCGAGTGCAGTCGTTTCGGATCCAGCCACAACGAAGATGCTCGCGTTATGACAGATTGCCTCAAAGGAAAGGCCTTCTTTTCCCTTAGCATGATCAGGCTTCATACCATCAATGAAGTCTGGCCGAGTAGGCTCCAAAGCCAAACGTTTCGCGACCTGGGTATGCATGAACGTGTTATGCTTGAGGATGATCTTCGCAGCAAGGACCTTAACAAGAGGGCCCACCATCGCCTCCAACAACGGATATGCCCGCCGAAAATGCGCCATATCATGCTGCGCAACGAAGAACTCCAAGATCGTCGCAATCCACGGGTGAAAGTCCCCCCGCTCCAGGTTCCCAAAGGACTCGCCGAAGCTGAGATCACCAATGATGTCAAACGAGAAATAGTTGAACCACTTGGCCAGATCGAGAGGTCTTCTCTTGGCACAGTGTTCTTCAAAGCGACTGAAGAGGTTGTTGACATGGTGCCGAATAATGTGCTCCTGGCGCTGCATCCCTTGCGCCGAAAATCCCGGGGCTATCAGTTGACGTTGGTATGTATGAGTCTCTGTGTCAGCCCCGATGATGCCCGATGCGACTTCGGCTACGAAGCCTGGGTGCTTGAGGTTTTCCAGCTGGCCGGACTTACGGTGTCCGTAGACCTCTTTCCATGCTGTTGCGTGGAGACATGACACGGAATTTGGACTTGTGCGGACAACCCCGCCGTACTTCTGATGCAACTCGAGAATCCGCTTATGTGGCGTATCAGAAATGGATGCCAGGAAAAGCGGTGTAGACGAGATAGACCACAAAAAAGGGCCAGGCACTTGTTTAAGTGGATTGACGTAAAGGTTGTAGACGATAGTCCAGAGAGTATACACCAAGGCCTTAAACGCATGTCAGTGGACTTGTGTCTTGTATGGTGTTCACTTGGGTCCATTACCACGCATATAGTCGTTCCCATAATCAACCATATCGAAGATAGCTCGTCATATCTGGCGAGCCCTCGAATGAACCATGGTGTTGCGGTGTCCATCACGCGTATACGGAAGCACGAATGGTGCGAATAGTTGTTCGATATGTGTAAAGAAAGTGTATGTTGATACCCATCCAAGCATGAGATTGGTGGGTATATCTGCTTAGTAGGTGTCCAGTAATCGGCTACTCGTATTCGCGGCGCGGTAATGCTCATCCGTGAGCAACGTCTTACGTATACGAAGTACGATATGCGGAAGTCGTCGGTACCCGTTACCAACGTGGACTAAGGATTATTCCGCGAAGATGTATGATTGAACGACGATTCAACCGAGTACGATGTCGCATGCCTGTTCGGCTTTTTCCACGACCGGCCTACTTTCAGGTCGTAGGCCACATGCATCGCTCCACCGCCTATGCACGATACAGCCTGGGTACCCAGGTTGTTAGATAATGGATGTTGTCTTTTCGACTTGTTGACGACCAAGAATACCCGTCAGACTAAGAGCTTAGTTTCGGTGGTAGTCAGCAGTGGTCTGTGGCACTATGTCGGACATTCGGTAGATTTCTTCATTACACCGCTGGATATCCTAGTACTCATGCTGACGGTGGCTTGCGAGTCAGGCTGTGGGTACCTGAGTTAGTGCGGACCCTGAACCGGAAGTTCCGATCGGAACCGGAATGTCTGGGGAGATGTACGCCTAGATGACCTGTAAACAGTGACAACAATGACATAGCTTAGGTTCCAGATGTTGGAGCGGTCGTGCGCCAGTAGAGATCTGAATACAGCATAGTATGAGGAGCATGAGCATATCATTTCTTGCATGCTGGCCGGATATATTCATCGCGATCTCTGAACACCCAAAACATTTGCAGATGTTCCGATCTCAGCGCTAAGCGGTACCTTTGCAACGCGGCACAAAGTTGCAAAGTACGGCTTCGGCTGGCTTGAGGTTGAGCTCGACCTTGATCTTCATCTCTTCCATGCCTTTGTCTCCATCACCACCAAGTCCACACAACTCAACCCTCTCAAACTCTTGAAGAAGTCGCACCATGATATACTGGATCTGGAATCGGCCAAAGACTCTGCCGGGACATTGGCGTGGCCCAATACTAAAGGGTAGGTAGTCGCCGTACCTTGGCGACCAATTGTCCCATCGTGAAGGATTCCACACATCGGCATCTGCGCCGACCTTAGCTTTGTTGCGCTGGAGGCCAGCGACTGAGTAAACAATGATCTGGCCTTTTGATACCGATATGGGATCTCTCCCATCTGGACCGCCACCGACGGGTAGAATCGCATCACTTCTGGCCTCCCGAATGTTAAGGCCGAGCGGGTGGTACATTCTCATGGACTCTTTGACTGTGTTGGCTAGAAGGTCCAATTTTCTTAGTTGAGCTATTGTAGGAATTGCATCCATGCCAATGTGCTGTCCAATTTCCTGCTGGAGTTTTTTCCACAGTGCTGGATCACGGGCCAGGTGGTATATTGTCCACGTGGTAAGGATAGCACCCGGATCCTTGGAAGCCATCAGTACTGCTATGAGCTGACCCCTAATAAAGTATCGATCGTTCGGATGCGTGGCGACCAAATCCTCTACAAGATTGAACTCTTTCTCCGTCTTGATATCAGTTTGGTTGTTGATCGGCAGAGCCAGAGTCTTTTCGATGAGGTCGTTAATGTAACGCGTTAATTCGCGATATGCCTTCGGCGCAAATAGCCAGTCAGGAAACAAGTTTGCGAGGCGGCCAAAAAGTAGACGATTGGTGTTATATGTTAGCAGATCTTCCATAGCCTTGCGGAAAGGCTGTTGGTTCGCGGACAGTGAGTCTGTAGACTCCCCAAGAAAAACCTGGCTCACTAGATCGAGTTGAAACCTGTCGACCACATCGTACACATCGACCCTCTCAGGTGAACTTTTGATCAGTTTGAGAAGCTTCTGTATATGTTCCTCAGCTACAGGTATATCGTCTGGACGAACACGAGAGACATGCGGCTCCAGTTGCTCCCTGCTCGTCTTCCACAAAGGTCCATCCGCTGGAACTGACGTCAGCAGCTGCATTATGCATTATACGAGATTACACTCACTTGTAAAGACGGAGTCTCCCAGTATACTACTGAACACATCATGGGGCGTCTGTCCCTTAGCAAAGTCCGCGAACTGATCTGCTTGGATAGCCTTGATGTTCTCTGCTCTATCGGTGATGAAAATGTCACCGCCTAGTAGATTCATCTCGATCGTGCGACCAGGAGTATTGAGGATTTCGTCACATACGTATTCTACGAATGTGTTCGAATGTAGACGTGTTACGAGTTTCCAAGCCATGTCCAGTCCGAAAGGAAGTTTGTATGGAATGCGCGGAGCATGCGGAATCGACGACTTCGACCTCTTACCATCTTGCAATCCGGACGTCAGAATCGAGAGGAATATGATCGTGACGATGCCATAAAGAACAAGTTTTGAGGAGTCAATGTCCAAGGATGTTAGAATGCCCATCTTCGAAGTTGTCTGCTTTTTAGCTAGAATTTTCCATCCACGAGAAGAAAGCGGTAAGTTGAGTTTGATGAGAAACGGCGAGCATTGGGCGTGAGTAAGTTTCTAGATCTGGACGACTACTGCTTGTTCTCCCGTAGGAAGTCAAAAACTCTAGACTACAAAAAGACGGCATAAGCACGTATCGCATAGCCTGGCTCTGGCCCTAGACTTGCCGAGTCCATCTACGATAACAGTCCGAAGTGAGTCCGGGGAGATTGAAGAAGCCGAATTTCGAGTTGGCGCGTGTTCGCAGTCATGGCACTTACCACCGCGAACGCCCCCGGATCACCACTTCCGACGCTGCCGGTAAACCAGCGCGGCCGCATAATCAGTCAGCCTAGAGCAGTCGTGATCGGGTCATCACGGCACGAGCATGAAGACAAGAAGGTGTAGCTGGCGTATCGGAGCGTCTCTCGGATCCTCTGAAGTTCTTACGTGGCTCGGCACGAGCCCGAGCCACGCGCTAACCTATACGGTAAAGCTTGTCATCAGCCGCACGGTTATCTAATCACCGCTGCAACTAACAGCAAGGCAACTTTCGTCGACTAGTCCTGTCGTCTTTTGTCGTCTCAAACATCCCGAGCCAAAAAGACCCGAAGCCAGGCATCAACATGGGTTGCCTGCATCCTTTACCTACACGTGGCCCTCCAAGTACCACCGTAGGCTAATGACTCGGGCCTGCTTGATCGTTCACTCATGGAAGAACCCGTTCGACTTGTAACATGGGGTGCCTGCAGTGTCGTGTTTGCAGATGCGATTCTCACAGTATCACCGTAAGCTAACAGCTCGGGCTTACTCAACTTTCTGGATGAGGTAGAAACGCTTTGGCCATGACACTATTCAGGAATCAGCTCGGTGTGTCTACTCAACCGGGTGTTGATGCGAGGTTGGCATATGGTTTTCGGCCAGTCGTCGAGTGTACCTAGGTATTTAGTATAGATTCGTCGATGTTCGTGTAACAGAGCAACTTTATTGAATCTCCAGATCTTCTTGTGTCGGCTACTGTCTCGAACAGCGATCCAAAACTCTAACATAATACCTGGAAGCAATTGGATTTAGCGAGTTATACATACTGCATATCGCAACCATGAATACGAAGAGGATGACTCCCATAGCCATCATTGGCATGAACATGAAGTTCCCAGGCGATGCAGTATCTGCACAAGCCTTCTGGGAGCTACTGATGAGCGCGAGAAACGTATCAAAAGAGATACCATCCGATCGATTCAACATAGATGCTTTCTATCATCCGGACCCGAATCGGTTAGACAGTGTGAGTTCAAACGACGATATCGAGCATCTGAAGATCAACCAAGCTGACTCCGGAAGTTACGCATCCGCCATGCACATTTCATGGAAGAAGACCCCCGCAGTTTCGACGCACCCTTCTTCAACATGTCATACGCAGAGGCATCAGTTCTAGATCCGCAACAGCGCGGTCTTCTCGAGGGCGCCTACCGCACATTCGAAAACGCGGGTATACCCATGGAAACACTGTCTCGCTCTCCCACATCAGTCTATTGTGCATCTTTCTCTCGAGATGGCGAAACCATAACTGGACGCGACTTTGCAGCACAATCGCGTTACCACGCCACTGCTAATGGCTCATCCATGCTGAGCAACCGTGTCAGCCATTTCTTCGACCTAGCGGGGCCATCTCTTACAGTTGATACAGCCTGCTCATCAGGATTATATGCTTTGCATCTCGGGGTGCAGAGTATTCTCACAGGTGAGAGTGCCATGTCGCTTGTCTGCGGCGCGAATACATTCATTACACCCGAGAGCCAAGCACTTGCCCTCAGCAATGGTGGATTTTTAAGCGTTGACGGAAAGAGTTATAGCTTCGATGGGAAGGCGAATGGTTATGCAAGAGGCGAAGGATTTGGTTTCGTCTTGCTTAAACCTCTGGAAGCTGCCATAAGAGATAAAGACGTTATCAGGGCAGTGATCCGGGCCACGGGTGCGAATCAAGATGGTCGAACACCCAGTATCACACAGCCGAGTCAGCAGGCGCAGCTTGATCTGTTGCGAGACACATATCGTGTTGCAGGCCTTGATGTTGCTGATACGGACTATGTTGAGGCTCACGGCACCGGGACACCGGTTGGCGACCCCATCGAAGCGGCCGCTATAGGAGAGGCTTTCCGCGATGGTCGTAAGTCTGGTAGACCGCTGTATGTTGGTTCAGTAAAATCCAATATTGGTCACTTGGAGGGCGCTTCGGGTATGGCTGGTGTGATCAAAGCCGTTCTTGCGCTGGAGAAGGCTGTGATTCCGCCCATCGCCATGTTCGAAAAGACGAATCCTGCTATCGATACAGAGTATTTGCAGCTTGCCTTTCCCAAGGAACCAGTACCATGGCCGCAAACAGAGATTCGTAGGGCATCCGTAAGCTCCTTCGGATATGGAGGGAGCAACGCCCATGTGATTCTCGACGACGCATGCAACTACCTGCGCAGTCACGGCTTGAAAGGCCTGCATCAATCAGTTGGCGAGCTCACAGCTACCAATGGACACACAAACGGATACACAAACGGATACACAAACGGACATACCAGCAGCAACGGCACCCTCCCATCCGCGACCCCTTACGCCATCATCCCTTTCTCAGCAGCAGACAGCGACGGCACGACACGCCAAGCAGCGACCCTCCACGACTTCCTCTTGTCATGCGATACCCCCCACGCGCCAGATTACTTCTCAGACCTAACCTACACCCTCTCCTCGCATCGATCTTTACTCAGCTACCGTTCCTTCGCCGTGATCTCCTCCCTTACCGATGATCTCACAGCCCTCGTCTCGCCGAGCATATTCAGCAGCACCTCTTCCGCCCCCGATCTCTCATTCGTCTTCACAGGGCAAGGCGCGCAATATGCACGCATGGCTATCGGCCTTTTGCATTATTCCATCTTCCGCCAAAGTCTCACTGACTGCGACGCCTATCTCAAAACACTGGGAAGTATATGGTCTGTGCTAGAAGAACTTGAAAAGGACAAGGACGTAAGCAAAGTCAGCAAGCCGGCACTATCGCAGCCCCTCTGTACCGCCATACAGATCGCTCTTGTAGATCTGCTGCGCACGTGGGGCATTGTTCCTCGCTGCGTAGCTGGGCATTCGTCTGGTGAGGTCGCGGCTGCATACTGTGCAGGCGGACTAGATCGTGAGAGTGCATGGCGGGTGGCTTACTTTCGTGGTGTTGTGGCCGACAAGCTGGCTTCTGACCAAGCGAGGGAGAAGACCACGATGATGTCGGTGGGCTTGGGCAAAGAGGCTGTTGAGCCGTATCTAAAGGCTGAGCCATCGGTGACGGTCGCGTGTGAGAACAGCCCTGTCAACGTCACATTGTCGGGTCCCGTCGTGGCAATTGCACGCTTGTGTGAGATACTAGAGGCCGAGGAAGTTTTCGTACGGAAGCTGCCTGTGACAATCGGGTATCACTCTGAGGCGCTGCGGGATGGTGCAGGAGAATATGAGGGCTTGCTGGCCGGTATATGCGCTCCAGCAAAAGATAGCAAAGCGCCAAGCACTGTCACATTCTTCTCGTCCACCGAAGGGAGTTTCATCACGTTGGAGGGTCTTGCAAGACCAAGATACTGGGTGAAGAACCTTCTGTCTCCAGTTCTCTTCACCGACGCTGTAACAGCGCTGATGAGCGAGCGGAAGCAAGCTACCAAGTTCCTTGTTGAGATCGGCCCCCAATCTGCTCTTCGACGGCCGGTCAAAGACATCCTTACGCACCTTAGGGAAGGCCAAGATAAGTGGACATATGCAGCTGTGCTTAACCCTCGTCAACCCGACATCCAGTCTCTCCTCGAAACCATCGGCGCCCTTTGGAGCGCCGGTCTACCCATCAATCTCAACATGCCCAATCAAGCCACTCTGAAGCCCATGAACCAGCCGAAGCGAGTAACAGACCTCCCAGCCTACCCATTCTCCCGGGCCAAGCTTTACTGGGATGAACCCCGCATCAGTGCCCTCTACTCGCAACGACCCTTCCGGAGGCACGCCCTCCTGGGTCTACGCGAGAACGACTTCAATCCCCAGCAACCAACATGGCACCACAAGATCCGTCTCGCCGAAGCTCCTTGGATTGTTGACCACGCGCTCGAAGGCTCGCCGCTCTACCCTGGCACAGGCATGCTCGTAATGGCCATTGAGGCCGCACGGCAACTTCTCCCACCCAACACGGCAATCAGTGGGTACAAGCTCGAAAACGTGCGGTTCATGCGCTCTATTCCTGTGAACGAGACAGAAAAGGGCACTGAGGCGAAAATCTATCTCCAGCCGCGCCGACATACAGCCAAAGACGCTGCTCAAGGCGTGTACGACTGGCGGGTGTTTACGCTCGGAGGCGACGAGTGGATTGAGTGTGCGTTTGGCAGCATTCGTGTTGAACTTGAGGATGCGGAGGCCTCGCCCGAAACAGTCGCACGCAAAGCTAGGTGGACAAGCGCAATAAGTAAAGAACACGCAACCACAGCGAAGCAGTGCACGTTGAGTGTACAGAGCGGGCAGCTGTACGAAAACCTGAGCAAGAAGTCTGGCTTCGACTACGGGCCATATTTTCAGGGCTTGCGGGATATCAAGTACTCCCGCAACGGGTGTGCGTCGGGCACTCTTGCGCTGCGGGATTATGCGAAGAATATGCCATACGCCCAGGAAGATCCATGTGTAATTCATCCTACAACGTTTGATTCGGTATTCCACGTTGGCTTTGTCTCGTTGAGCATGGGCGGGTGGGAGGCCATTCCAACACTCATGTTCAGCAACCTCAAGGAGCTTTGGGTCTCGCACAAGTTATTCACAGTGCCTGGCAACCCACTACTGCACGTTGCAACAAAGGAGGTCGCTCGCACATTCAGAGAGTTTGAGTGGGATGCTAGCACTCTCCTTGCTGAGACTGGCGAGCCGGTCATTGTGGCAAGAGGCGAGCGTGGAACTGTGATTGCTGGCGCAGGTAGCAGCACTCGCGATGACGACGACGGCGCCAGTCGCTTTTCATACGGCATTGAATTCAAGCCTGACCTCTCGCTGCTTGGAAAAACGGAGACGGAGGACTATCTCAAGGCGCTCTACGCGCGCGACCCACAATTCTCACCAGACCCTAAGGACGCCGAGGCTGTCGACCGCGCAGACGCTATCGCGCTGTATTTCATCGAGCAAGCACTAGAAAAGATTGAGAACGGCGAACCAGTGGAGTTTGACAACCACTTGACCAAATACGTAGACTTTCTGCGCAAGGTCCGCGCGAACAGGGAGAAATATACGTTGGAGTCACGGGGGCTAGGTCATTTGAGTATCGAAGATGTCTTGCGCGAGGCAGATGACGAGCCAACACAGAAGCTGGTGAAGAAAGCGGGTGAACATCTCTACGGTATTCTGGTCGGGACAGATAACGCGTTACAGATCATCTTCGAGGGAAATCTTGCCAATGACTTCTATCACTGCGACTTTTACTCACGCCATTACCGCAAAGCTGGCGCATACATGAGCATGCTGGCACACGCAAATCCTCAGCTCAGAATCTGCGAGGTTGGTTCAGGGACAGGCAGTGCCACGTCCAAGGTCCTACCGTTCTTGGTCGATACTGAAGGTCTCCAAGGTGATCAGCTTGTGCGTTTCGGTGAGTATGCTTACACAGACGTCTCAGTCGGTTTCTTCGAGAAGGCGCGCGAGAAATTCGACTTTGCCGAAAAGCACATGCGCTTCGCCAAGCTTGACCTGGAGATTGATCCCTCTCTACAAGGTTTTGAGCTCGGCAGCTACGATGTGATCATGGCTTGCAACGTCATCCACACTACATCGGATCTTATGAAGTGCCTCCGCGATCTCCTTGCACTCTTGCGCCCAGGCGGCAAACTGATCATGATGGAGACTACTGTTGACAACATCCGTGACGGCATCATCTTCGGCTTGCTACCCGGATGGTGGATGCGCGAGGGCCATTGGTGGGAGGGTGAGGATGTCGACGCTGTACCTGGAGAAGATGAGGCGCTGGGACCTATTCTTACTGAAGATGGATGGGACGCTGCGCTCAAGACCGCAGGCTTCTCGGGTGTGGACATGGTATTCAGAGACAATGAGTACAAACCTCGTCACCGCGTCTCAACGCTCGTCACGACAAGACCAGAGGAGGTTAAGGTTGAAGCCGCACGCGAGAGCTGGGTTATCGTCGCAGATCCCACGCAGTCTGCATACGCCGATGTGCTGAGATCAGGGCTGGCCGCTGTATCGTGGATCGGAGACACTGAGACATACACACTCGACGGTCTAATTGCTGCCGGGGTGGAGCTAAGCAGGACGAATGTCATTAGCTTGCTCGAGCTAGACACGTCTCTCCTGGGCACTATCGCAGGGCGGCAGTTTGAGGCTCTCAAGAAGATTAGCTTGGATGCCAAGACCGTCCTCTGGGTCACACGCGGTGGCAGCCCCGGTGCCAGCAACCCTGCCGCCGAGATGGCAGTCGGCTTCTCGAGAAGTATCTGCTCTGAGCGCGGCGATCAGGCTTTCGTAACCTTAAGCTTAGAGACAGACGACTCGACTGAGGGGACGAGCCATGTACTCCGTCTCATCGAGCACTTGCACAAGATAGGAGGAGGGAAGAGCGCAGACGCCGAATCCGAGTACGCAGTGAAGAACGGCCTTATACATATTCCGCGTGTCGTCCCACAAAAGAGCGTTAATCACACTCTCGCCGAGCGCGCGAAACTGCCCGACAAACTCGCATTCACGCTCGGGCAAGCTGATCTCAAACCGCGCATAAAGTTGACCATCCAGCAGCCTGGTCTCCTCGACACTCTCTACTACACTGAAGTTCCAGCCCCTAGCAACGAGCTGCAATCCGGCGAGATCGAGATTGAAGTAGCGGCCGCCTCCCTCAACTTCCGCGATGTAATGATTTCCTTAGGCCAAGTTCCTGGTGATGGCCTCGGTCTTGAAGGATCTGGTACCGTGAAACGTGTCGGGCCACATTGTACTTTGCAACCTGGCGACCGCGTCATGTACTTCATCTTCTCTACCGGTGGTTGCTGTGGGACTTATGTCCGCTGCGACGAGGCGTCGACGCGCAAGATCCCCCGCGACGATATTTCATTCTTGGACGCGGCTGCTATTCCTGCTGTATGGGCTACGGTGGTATATGCATTCGATTACGTAGGCCGGCTGCGCAAGGGCGAGAGCGTCTTGATCCACGCTGGTGCTGGTGCTGTAGGCCAAGCTGCTATCCAACTGGCGCAACTTCGCGGGGCGAACGTCTTTGTCACGGTAGGAAGCAAATGGAAGCGCGAGCTGGTGAAGGAGCTTTACGGGCTCGCTGATGACCACATCTTCCACAGCAGAGAGGCCAGCTTTGTCGATGATGTTTTCCACGCCACAAACGACCGCGGTGTCGATGTCGTCCTCAACTCTCTCGGCGGAGAACTCCTTCAACATTCATGGCGCTGCACTGCGCCCTTTGGCCGCTTCATCGACATTGGCAAAGCCGATATTCTTGCCAATAATACACTTGAGATGGGCCACTTCTTGCGCAACGTCACCTTTGCAGCCGTGGATGTTGCGGGAATGTACGCCGAGAACAAACCGCTGATGCAACTCGTGCTCGACGATGTGTTTAGCCTGTTCACGGCGCATCCCGAGCTGCATAATCCCAAACCGCTGCATGCATTTGCTCCGAGCAAGATTGAGGAGGCGATGCGCGCATTGCAGGGTGGTAAAATTGCTGGAAAAGCGGTCATCGATTTTGAGACACCTGGTGATGTCGTGGTATATCAACCTGCGCGAACGCCTTCGTATATATTTGAAGCGCAGGCCACTTATGTTATCAGTGGTGGGTTGGGCGGATTAGGTCGCGAGATCATGCGCTGGATGGCCTCTCGCGGCGCGCGGCATTTCTTGGTCACCTCATCCCGAGGTGTAGCCGGGCGCACCGATGTCATCGCCTTCATCAAAGAGATGGAAGCTCAGGGAGTCGAGATCCACGCTCCGGCATCAGATATCTCTAATCGCGCTGTCCTGCAGGCGACGCTAGAGGAGGCTAGCAAAACACTACCCCCGATCAAAGGATGCATCCAGGCAGCCATGGTGTTGTCAGACAACATGCTCTCAAACATGACTGCTGAGCAATTCCACCGTGCCCTGGCGCCCAAGTACCAAGGCTCTTGGAACCTTCACAAGCTCCTGCCAAAGGATATGGACTTTATGGTCTTCCTCTCTTCCATGAGCGGTATTATCGGCAATCCCGCACAAGCCAACTACGCTGCAGGTAACACATTTGAAGACTCGCTTGCACGTCACCGCGCCGCGAGCGGGCTCAAGGGCGTCTCGTTCGATCTCGGCCTGGTTCTGGAGGCCGGATGGGCGAGCGACAACTTCGAGGACGTGACAAAGAGCTTGCGTGCTGGACTGGGCGGATTGACGCAGAAGCAGCTAATGGCGATTCTGGACGTCTTGTGCGATCCATCGTATGACTGTGCGGGCGCAGCAGCACAGGTGGTGAACATCCATGATAAGCCTGCGAAGCTGTATCGTATGTTCCAGGATGGCGTGCTGCATTGGGTAGGCAAGCCGTTGTTCAAGAACCTCCTTCGTCTGGGACAAGTCGAGCTGGTCAACAGCACTGGGGGTGGCAGCGGAGGCGATGCGACAGCGGTCGACTACCTTGCCCTCATCAGAGCGGCGGCTGATGCTGAAGAGGCTACGCACATTGTCACCATGGCGTTGCTCGGAAAGTTAGGCAAGTCGCTGTCAGTGCCGGCCGAGAGTCTCGACGTCGGCAAGCCGGCGTACGTGCTTGGTGTTGACTCGCTCATTGCGGTTGAGCTGCGATACTGGTTCCTCAAGCAGTTCGGAGTCGAAGTTCCCGTATTCGTGATTTTGAAGAAGCAGCCGACCCTCGACTTGTGCCGGCACGTGGCGGAACAGGTGATTGTGGCCAGATAAGTGTTACCATTGCTAAATGTGAGCTTCTCTATACTCTGCCTCAATAGCTTTATTGCGCACTTCCTACTTTTATATACAACCATAGGACACTAAGAATTAGTTCTCTCTCGCAATCTGCTAGAACTCGCGGTTCTGTGTTAAGGTTAATTTACTAACATCTATTCTTGGTTACCCTCGTGCTTGAGAAACTGCATTGGTACGTCGTGGTGCTGTCTAGTGGTTGCAGGACTGAGTTATAGAGTTGAAGTTGCAGTCAATTGGCTTAAGAAAACACTAGATATTGAAGCACGACAGCATAGAGCTCACATATCCTCAGATAAGAACGAAAGTGATGAATCATAGCCCTAACAAACCCCATCTTGGAACGATTTACAACCTTGAGTGACGCCACGGCTTTGAGCCAAGTACAAAACCACGACGACTTCATGGTAGCATTGCGTCTCCTCTACAATCTACCATGAGCCCCACCTTCGAGCTCGTAGGTATGCTTGACAGGGAGTTCTTGCGGCGGCGCGCTGGCAGTATGCTGATATTTGTAGGGCCCGTGATCCATCGGTACGGACGCCAGCTCTGGCTTAGGATACGCATCTTGGTATAGCGCTGGTGTCAAACGCTGCGATAATGCCTTCTTCTTCTGGCGACGCTTATAAAGAAACCACAGGCCTACTCCGACCACCAGCACTAGTGTTGGCCCAATCGCGATGCCCGCGATGGCGCCGGATGATAGCCCTAAGGAAGATGAATTCTTAGGTGGCGCTGTCGACGCTGTAGCAGAATTCAGGGAGATTGGTCATGTTTCGGAGTTCGATGCCAGACTTGAACTCTCCGTTGGAGCGCTGGCGAGTGACACAAGCGCACTGGATGCAATCTGGCACCGTACAAATTTCTCGGTGAAATTGTAGCCCGACACGCACGTCGTCAGCCTTGGGCAGCATGCTTCGTTCACGCCCTCTGCAAGCGCAGAGCATGACACCGAGTCCGCTTCATTACACACTGATGCCTGGTCGACATAACATGTGTTCTCGCGGCCGGGGTTTGCGATGCAACACCATCCTTGGTTCAGGAAGTTCTGACACTGTGGGTAGCTTTGTCCCCTTCTGCCACAGCAAAGCGTATTACTCGGGTTGCAGTTGTTCGTCACAGCGTCTTCACCCGGAAACGTATCATCGCAAACGTCGCGTCTGAAAACACGGAATGCTTGCTCCAGAGCACGCTTCACGTTGAGCGCAACCTCCGCCGGTGTAGGGGACGTGCCTGGTAGATGGCTGATTGCTCGTGTCGGGAGCTCATCGAATGCAAGAATGACCGGAGTAAAGCAGAAGAGAAGTAAGAGCCATCGCGAGAGCGTGATCAAAGACCTAGCCATCGATGAAGCGGATATGATGAACAGTACCAGAGGTAACAAGGCTGAGGTACACGTCCTGATCACGACTTGATCACGACTTGGGAGGATGCAACAACCAAGCGGGTAAGGCTAAGATTTGATGTTATAAGAATCCTGTGATTGATAGCCGTGCACCGGCATTGGGAGCGGCGGCCAATCTTCACACCAAATGAAGTAGCTTTCTCACAGCTGAGGATGGGCTGAGCGGCTCGAGGGTTGGCATGAGATCATCGAGCAGCTTGGCATTCCGCTTCATGGACATCTCTGCCCCAATTTTCGTCAGGATTTATACGATATACATACGATGAACACAGCAGACTCTCAAATGAAGCTCTTTCCTAGTAGCTCTTACCATCATCGTTGCGCTTGGCCGAGAAGGGCGATCCATCTTGTGGGTATATCATTGTCGCAAGACAAGCTGGCACACACTTGCGACAAGTCCTCCAGTATTCGGCTGATAACTGTCGGGGCTGCAGCTGAAACGACAAAGTGGTGTTGATCTGGTCAATGGGCGGCTTATGGCGTAGATCTGCCGCATCTCGAACCTGCCTGGACACACCACAAGACACGTCGCTCAGTCTTGCAAATCAGGTTCTATGAACGTCAAACCCGGCAATCAAGCTTCATTCGTGAGTTGGTGTGAGCATTGATGGAATGCAATATTGTAGCACCCTGGCAGTCACATCACCGCGTTTTTGTGGCGGAGTTGTAAGGCAGCGTATCGTAGTCGTTGAGGTCAGTCTTTCGATCACGCTAATGCATGCTAATCTAACAATGGGGCCAAATTCAGCCACTAGTGGGATTCAGCTGCATTCCCTTGGCCTAACACTGAACCTTACCAGCTGTCGCTGACAAGTCCTGACGAAAACTGTGAGTACGTCTCCAAGAATTATCTAAACACACTACGATTCCTCGCCAGGCCATACGTCAACGTCATGTCTGTCTTGCGCCGTCCATTGCGGACTCCTCTCGTTGCTGTATGTCTCGTGTTTCTGTTCGTTCTAACCTTTTGGGGGCTGAGCCTAAATGCTCCGAACAAGCCTCATGATGGGATCGCTCTTCATAACGATATGCCCGAAAAAGCTCTAGTCATCGCTTCTACGAAGCATGAGAACACATCTTGGTTTTATGATGAGCTCTCGGAATGGCGCAAATATGTCTATGTAGTAGACGAACCGACAGCTGATCTCACTGTCACGCGCAACAAAGGTCGAGAATCAATGGTATACCTTTCGTAAGAAGACAACCCAAAGAGACGATGTTTTTGTAGTGCAGGCTTGACTTTGAGCGTAGATTCATCATCGACAATTACCGCAAGTTGCCGGCAAACATTCTCTTCCTGCATGCACAGAGATACCAATGGCACAATGACGATCCTGACTATGACGGCCTATCGATATTGCGACAATTCCGCATTCCCTACCTGCGAGAGAAAGGGTATCTCAACTTACGATGCGTATGGGTTTTGGGCTGTCCGACTGAGATTCGCCCGCTCAAAGATGCGGGAGATCTAGTTCAAACTCAGGCTCATGCAGGGCACTTTTACAAGCAAGCTTTTGAAGAGCTCTTCCCAGTCGCGCAGTTCCAGAAGCGGTTGGTGTGTCCTGTTGTGCGCAATTTGCTGCTACGAAAGAAAAGATACTGGAACAACCGGTTGAGTACTATGAGGGGATCCGAAATTGGTTGTTGAAGACGCCCTTGGATGACTCAATTAGCGGCAGGATCGTAGAGTATTCGTGGCATAGTAAAGAATCAAACCCTGGAGTTAAGAACCCGCTGACGTGTACAGTGATATTTGGGCAAGAACCTGTTCATCGTCCCGATGCAAGCGAATGCTATTGCAAAATGCTTGGTATGTGCAATCTGCAGTGCAACTCGAATGGGGCCTGCGAAGGTCGATACGCACTGCCTCCGTTTGCTACTCTACCTGAAGGATGGCCGACAATTGGCTGGCACGGCGAATTTCGAACACCTGGAGTTCCAGGTTGAGGTACTCGCTTCAAATGATCGTAGAGAGAAAATCTATCGTTATGAGCAGTATATGAGATGTGCCTATACAAAGCTACTTCACTGGTATCGAGGGAGTATGTGTTCTTGCCGTGCTTGTAAATCCTGGCCTGATGGGGGACATATCGGGCAGCTCGTGGTTGAGAAAGATCGGGAATCGACGCCGCACATCAATGAGCTACAATCTTATGGCCGATTGAGTCTGCTAAAAGCGATCTAGTCGTCATTCACTCCGTGTCATGGTCGCCCTAGGTCGTTGCCGCCACATAAGTATGTTATCATTATCAAGTGGCAGCTTTTCCATGCTCTGGCTTCATAAGGCGATCGGCGCACCGCTTACTTCTGCATACGACTATAGGACACTGAAAAATAGTCCACCCGCGTGATCCGTCAAAACTCGCAGTGCTGTGTTGAGGTCGAGCGGCTGCAACGTATGGGTTGAATGACGGGGATATACGGCAAACAGGATTCTATTCTGATCACGGTAGTCAATAAAGTTCATTGTGAAGTGGGATATATGCCCATCTGGAATCAGTAATCGATAGCTTGATCGTGCCTTCGCCTTTGTACTGCGACCAAACACCTGTTTGAGCCACGCTAGGCCAATCTTTTTGTTCGGCCAGCCAGAAGCGGATTAGGATATATGAGCCTGATGGACATCAGGATCAAGATGAGATCCATCCGCGCAGACGCAGGCTGTAAGCGAAATCCACTCGCGAGAGCCGTCTTTCATAGTACTCCTAACCTTCTGATCCTCATATGAAGCTCTACTGAAGCTCCTTTTTGAGCAGCCAACAACTACAAGTATAAAGCCCTTCTCATCCATATTGTATGTGTGCGGCGGCTCAACCTTGTAATACTCTATTTTCTCCTTCAGTAGCTCGAAGTATCGCGTACACTTTGCACTAGAATCGGCGGCGCGATGTTGACAGTCCATAGACGTTGACCATCGAGGCGTGGGCTCGTTGGCATGCCTCTGGACAAAATGGTCAACCCAGCTAATAGAAACGCGTTTTTGTTTAGGATATTCCTTTTTTTTTTTTTTGCAATATCGGAGGGGTAAATTTGAATCATCTCTCTTCTTTGTTGTAGGTGAGCCTCTGTAAGCTACAGTATGTACTTTATAAGCTCATCCTTCTCCTGTAGTCGTAAGTTGCGGCGTGGTAAACCAGATTCTTCTTGCGAACGCGTCTGGCCTCGGTATTTGCGTGTCAAAGTCGAGCGCACAGCTCTATGCTTTTCTGCTATTCTTAACCTATGAGATTTGATCTTTAGTTGCCAAAATACCACAATCTGCAATAGTTCCTCTTAATCCTGTTGTGCTGTGAAGCTGTTGTATTAAGAATAATCGCCACATTACGCGTCTCGGCGCATTTAGGAATGGCGCGCACGGACTGCCAAAACACGGTACTGGACTTGCTGGGGTTCGTTTTTCCGAGACGCCAAAATAAGCTATCCCAGCTTCTTCAGAGCTTTTCTGTGGATGCGGAATGTGATGAGATACTGTTTGTACTACGATTTGGTGACAAACTAGATCTAGCGTCACAATCGCGCTAAGTCGCGAGGAGTGGCACGGTATTTCGCGAACGACCCATAGCACGCGACTCTGTCCGTCACAACAACACGATGCTTCTCGAGCTTGATCCGCTCATGTTTGCTGCGTGCTCAAAACATGGTTTTCATGCACAAGTGCACTTCGAACGCAGCTCCTCCCGTCTTTCTGGAGCGCCCGCACCTGCAACTAGCCTCAACAATCTTTATTCCACAACCGGGGTTGAAGTCTGATTGACGTAATGACGGCCCGTCTACCATCTAATGGCATCTTCGGACTCAAGTTTGAGGCTAAGTCCTACGTGGTTTGCTCATCTAGCATCGGTAGGATTTTCGGACCTTCAATGGTGATGTCAAAGCCGTATCCACATCCCAGCTGGCCCCGCAAATGGCCACGCCGGCTCACATGGCGTCTGGATCGCATCGTGAACGGTACCTGTCAATCTGAAAAGCTCCCTGCTGTCCTCCCCGGATTGGACTCCGCTACAGCTGCAAGAGCGACTTATGATGCTATGGAGATGCTCAAGCTTGAAGTTTTTGTGTTACCCCGCAAGTTGTCGTGGTACGGTGGCTCAAATATGGGAGCATAAATAGGAGCTTGTGGTTTGGTAAAAGACTTGCCAAGCATCCGGAGTTTGATAGCTAAGCCTTCGCTCTCGAAGTCATTATGAGATTCGTCAATGTTGCTGTTTCAGCAGCTGCGCTCGCTGGCCTTGCATTTGGTGAGTCTGCTTCCGCCATTCATCCAGCTGCACTTCTGACATTGAAGCAACAAGGTCAAAGCATTGCGGCGTCAGGGACAACGCGAGTTATACCAACTCTTACTCCTCAGATCAATGCTCTTCCCAGCCTGACGCCAACAATCTACGACGATAGCGCGCCAGACTCTCAAGCATGTCCAGGTTATAAAGCGTCCAATCTGGCTGACACTAGCCACGGTTTCACTGCTGACTTGACTATTGCTGGGGCCAATTGTCAGGCATTTGGCAACGACATCGCCGATTTGACCCTCGAAGTGTCTTACCAAGCCAAGGAGCGCCTTAATGTTCGCATCTACCCCAAGCACATCGCACCAGCGAACAGCACGCAATACATTCTTCCAGCTTCTCTGGTTGATCAGCCTGAGTGGGATGGCAAGACTACATTGAACAGCAGTGATCTTAGCCTCGAGTGGAGTAATGATCCTACCTTCCAGTTCAGGATCTCACGTGTCCATACTGGAGAGGAACTTTTCTCGACATACGGACATGTTATTGTTTATGAGGATCAATTCATTGAGATTGTGACAAACATGGTCGATGTAAGTAATCGAAGACGGTTAGAGACAACTTGTGATTAATAGCTTCATGCCAGGATTACAACGTCTACGGTCTTGCAGAGAATGTTCATGACTTCCGTCTGGGCACTAACCACACCCAAACGTTCTACGCTGTGGACGCTGGTAATACTGTCGACCGCAATGTATATGGGGTGATTCCCTTCTATCAAGAAACCCGCTACGGGCAAAACGGTTCCGCGACCACTGCTCACGGCATGTATGCCCGCAATGGTATGTTGAACTGGGACAAATGCAATGACCGGATATTGACTCGCTCCAGCTCACGGCCAGGAATGGTTGCTTCGTGAGAACACCATCGCTTACCGCACTTTGGGTGGCAGCTTCGATCTCTACTTCCTCAGTGGTCAAAAGGAAGATAAAAGTTCGAGTGCTCTGACAACCATCGCCCAATTCCAGGCTGGATGCATCGGCCTTCCAGCTATGCAGGTTAGTGAACCTCAAGCCTGACACGTCTGAATCGGCTAACTACTGCAAGATGTACTGGACTTTTGGCTATCATCAAGCCCGTTGGGGCTACGAGAACATCTCCGTAGTTCAAGGCGTCGTTGACGGTTACCGGGAGGCCAATATCCCTCTGGAGTGCTTGTGGAACGATCTCGATATCTACGACCTATATCGCGACTTCACCAATAACGAGGTCACATATCCTCTGCCAGCATTCACTAACTTCATCGAGCGGTTGCACGCTAACGGCCAGTATTACGTCCCTATTATCGACAGCAACATTTATGTCTCAAACCCCAACAATGCTAGTGACACGTACGCGCCCTTCGAGAATGGTGCAAATCTAGAAACCTACATCCGAGACCCTACTACTGGTAAGTTCGTCCTCCGAACTTGGCATTTAATACCTTCTTTAACTCTCTGTTTCAGGATCTTATTACTACGGAGACAACTGGCCAGGCTTTAGCGTTTGGGCGGACTGGCTTCTCCCGTCTTCTCAGAGATGGTGGACCAATGAAATCGTCCAGTGGCATAAGGGTACTCCCTTCGATGGCATCTGGATTGATTTGAGTGAGGCTGCATCTTTCTGTGCAGGTTCATGTGGTAACGATCGTCTCAACGAGAACCCTGTGCACCCACCTTTCCTCCTGCCCGGCGACCCACTCACCTTTGACTTCAACTATCCCGAAGGATTCAACATCACCAACGCAACTGAAGCTGCTTCTGCTGCTGCTGCCTCGGCATCGCAGTCTTCAGCGGCCTCCGTCTCTCCTGTCCTTCCGCCTGCCACCACCACCACTCAAGGCAGGACTGAGCCAACCCCTGGTGTACGCAACCTCAACTACCCACCTTACGTCATTAACAACGTGCAAGCGGGTCATGCGCTCGGTAAGAGCTCGATCGCACCTAACGCAACGCACAACGACCAATATAACACGACCGAGTATGAGATGCACAACCTGTTTGGTCTGCAGATCTCGAACGCAACTTACCATTCGCTGCTTGAACTTTTCCCTGGACGTAGGCCTTTCACTGTCGGACGCAGTGTCTTTGCCGGCAGTGGTAAAACCACCAGTCATTGGGGAGGCGACAACACAAGTACTTGGGGCAGTATGTTCTTGTCGATCTCGCAAGCTTTCACCATGATGATGTCCGGTATCCCCATGTTCGGAGCCGACACTTGCGGTTTTGCTCGCAACACTGACTTCCAGCTCTGCTCTCGATGGATGGAGCTCAGTGCGTTCTTCCCCTTCTACCGTAACCACAACGTCAAGGCCACTATTGGCCAAGAAGCATACCGCTGGTCTTCGGTCGCAGAATCTGCACGCCGCGCTATGGCTGTGAGATAC